TAGCTCGTGCGAAAACTGGTTTCTGTGTATCAGATCCTGTGTGGCCATACCTATGTGGCCTACGACACTGCCCTCAATCTCAGCGCCAACGGTCTGTTGTTAGTGCTTCACCGACTATTGCACCGGAGCTGCCTCTGAATGGTTAGGACCAAGTTGTATCGCTCCCGATAACAGGGGCCCAAGGCTGACGCAACAATCCTTCTGTTGCGAGTGGTGAGACCAGCTGTGATCGCACTGGACGCCATGGATGCAGCTTCAAGTGCAACCGAAAATAGGGCGGTGCCCTCACCGACAGAAGTGAAAAAAATATGCGGCAGTGTCGACTAGCGAATGATAGCCAACCTATGGCAGACTCAAAAAGACCAGCTGCAGGAGACGGATAAGAGCCTCGTGAAGTGGGGCAGTAGAAGGAGTGAGGCAAAGCCCTAGACCTGCAAAGCTGCGCCGTCAAGCCTTGATAGAGGCAGATATCAGGCCGTTCAGAAGTCGTCAAAGACAATGCGGTGGCGCCTGTCGGATGATCAGGGCAATACGAGCTGTCGTCGACGCCGAAATGGGGGAAGTGGGCAAGGGATAGGAAGTGCCTGACCCAGCAGACGCTTGGGTTGCAAGATCCATGCAAACGATGGCCAGTCGCATCCGACAACTCGATTCAGCTGTAGCGCAGACACGGGGTACCCATGGTAAGACACCTCGGGGCAGTTGGGGTGAAGGGCAAGATGCACGCGGGCCTAGGTCGCTCCACAAAGCCGATGTGCTAGGGCCCCTCGGGCCGGTCTTGTCCCGTGCACGCGCTACCCAATAACCTCAGTTTGCAACCTCAGGGCCCCGCCTGCCGCCTTCTACACACTAAAAACGACTCTTTGCAGCACCACCCTCGTTATCCGCGCGACTGAATCGAACGTCAGAGCTGTGCCGGAGTCAGCCTGGAGCTCTATCAATAAACGTCTGGCGTCTAATACCCGCACAGCATTGGACAGGACACGCGTGTCCCACCCGACAAGCGCCATGAACCCACGCATAGAAGAAGTTAGCGAGAGTGACTCAGATCCGTCAGAGATGGATGTTGAAGAATTCAACTCCCTGATTGAAGCACGGAATATTCCCGCTTCTGGCCCCGCGCTGTCTCCCATGCCCGCACACCTGCTGCAGCCACAGTCGCCCTCTATCAAAACCTCCACAGACCGCGAGAGCTCCAAGCACTACCAATGCATATACCCCATATACTTCGACAAGGCACGGACGAGGGCAGAGGGTCGTCGAGTAGGACAGGAGCTCGCAGTGGAGAACCCGCTGGCTCGGGAGATGGCCGATGCCGCTGCGAATCTGGGACTGCGTACAGTATTCGAGCCTGACAAGACCCACCCCAAAAATTGGGAGAACCCAGGAAGGGTGCGTGTTCTGCTAAAGCAGGATGGCAAGCTCATGGATGTGACCATTAAGAACAAGCACCATCTCTACGTCCACATTGCAAAATACCTCCAAGCGAACCCAACGCAAAAGACAACACCCTTTAGGCTCCCAATAGCGGGCGTACCCATGCCAAAGGAGATGCCCGAGCCTGCGATTCCTAAGGGCTGGAAGATGAGCAAAATTCTCCCCCTCCATTCGCCTGCTCTGACCGGTGGCGGGGTGTCCGATGATATTTTCCAGGACATGATGGCACAGATGCAAGGAGAAGCGGCAGGAAGCGGCGCAAGCAGCGGCACAGAGAACAAGAAGAAGATCAAGGACAAGAAGAAGAAATGAGGCAATGCGGCGAAGGTGCCCGCTCTCAGCACGCCAGTAAGAAACCTATGACGCGAAAGTCAGCATACGACATGCGTGATGTCCAGCCGCGCCGCATAGTCGCAGTGCTAGGGCTTGGCAGTCTACGAATAGTCGCACAGCCGCGCGCCTAATGGTTTGCGGGGTGACCGAAAGCGGTGCCACTCCATGTATATCGAATCAACACATTTAAGACATCCGACACCTTGCAGCTTGCCACCCAGTCATTCCTCCCTGCAGCTTGCCACCCAGTCATTCCTCCCTGCAGCTTGCCACCCAGTCATTCCTCCCTGCAGCACGGAGCATCCAGTCACTTCCAATCATGCAATTTGTGCTGTTCTAATGCTATAGGCATGACCTTTTGAGATGCGCTAGGAGGCTCTCTAGGACTGAACTACATTTACTGCGACTGCAGGATAACCCTTAATATGTGGGTCTAGTAATAATCGAATGAGTGAGGACTTGGCTTCGCTCATCCGGTATCGACCACCAGTCTCCTTTCGACAAAAGTCAGCGCGCTTGACACTGTGACTCGGGCGACAACTCCAAGGGACATAAGGAACGGATACTGCAGGATGCAAGCCACTTTGCGATAGCCTGTACGACAGAAGCGACCGCATATGCAGCCACTCGCGTGTCGGAACGCCTTGGGACATCCCCGCAAACCCATCGATAAGGTTTTCTGTGCCAAATCTCGGTGGCTCCACAATTTTCCACGCTCCATGTCCTCCCTTGCATGCGGCACAGTGCGTCCTTGGTCCCAGGATTCGGCTCCTACACCCACTCGCTTTGACGTCTCCATTATCGATCATTTCATGCAACCGAGACAATGTCTTACTAATCTTCGATTAGCTGCTGGTGTCAATGAATGAGAGAATTTGCAAGAGTAGCATGTCTATGCGCATGATTGTTGATCTGCAAGGACCCAAATTGCCGATATGCTCGCAGTTGCTGCGGGGCGAACTGCAGGCGTTCTTCGACTAACAACATTTGTTGTGAGCTGTACATGGAACGGCGATCTCTTTTGATATGATCTACGCTTTCTACACACTAGTTCGATGACCGCCGATTGACTGTCTGCCCTCGCTACTCTTCCTGTACTGCCGCGGGTCTCTGCTCAAGTTACTTCGCCGATGTGAGACAGCACGGTAAAATCCGCTGGGTAAGACTCATAATACGAAGTAGCAACAAGGACTGGAACTTCATTGTCTGAGAGAGCCGCGACATGGGTCGAGACGAGACAGGAGAAGCACCAAGCAGACGCCAGGAACAGCGTCATCTAGCCCTATCAAAGAGCACAACGGCCGATAAGGACTGGCGCAACTACCTTGGACGTGCACCGTGTAATACTGCTGGGAGACGACATACAAACATGCGCGCAAGGGGTGAACGGTCCTGTAAGGATGCCATCGTCCCGCAGCCACATTGCATTGACTGTAATCCAAACTTCAGTTCTCCCTCAGCTACTGAAAGTCTTCGGCAGGAAATACATACCTAAACATCGGTTGATGCTTCTGCGCGTCAAATTGGGCTACATTGAGTACTCCCTGTGCGTCATCGAAGACGAAACACGAGAGTGTCCAACGTGCCAATGCTGCATGACATTTCGACAGCGCCACCATCGATCTAGAAAACGCAAAAAAAAAAAGCTGGCGTACTCCTACATGCGGCAGGCGGATATACCCACGAGCGAGCGAAGTCGTCCGTCGACGAACTACATCACTTCCAAGCTAGTATGGGGGCATAGCTTCGGTAAACGATAGTGACACTCGCGGATCCGCAATAGTGCTCGTGCGCCACGGTCCGAATAACGTGCTTTTTCTCATGGTTCTAGGCTACGATAATACTTGTATATCAGCCACTCGGTGAAAGTTTCCGTCCACGAAGACCCCAGCTCAGCGACGGAGCATTTTTGCGATTCCTTCTTCCGCAGCAGACCAATACAGGCTTCGCTTCACTTTATGCACTCGTGGATTGATTCGGCTAAAGGAATGATGCACGATAGTCGCAATTGGTCAATTAAAAATCCTTTTGCTGTTGTCATCATACTGGCTACATACGTTGCTATCTCTTCTCCGCCCGCTTCACCGGTAGACTTCCCTTCCTCACGCAACTAGTCAGGACCAAGCCTCTTGACCACCAAGCCATTCGGCAGACCGATATCCAACTTCAAGGCCAATGGCACTTAGCAGCTGAACGTGACCCTTGTGTCCCTCCCCAGCTCCAGGCGAATATCAAGTCTTACATACACCGGACCCTCCCGTATCTGCAGGGCCTATTCCCGCAAATAAATAAAAAATTAAGGAAAAAAGACGCGTGGCATCCGCAAACTGCTCCTTGTCGAGAAGTCCTCCACGTATCACCTAATCTATTGGCTAGTAGCATTCGCAGGGGGAAAAAGATAGTCCGTCGGAGAAAATGTGCGCAGCGAATCATGATGCACTGAACAAGAAATGTGATGAATCATTCAAGGGCTGGGCTTACTGTATCCCATTGCCTTTCGCCTCACTAATCGGGACAGTGAGGTATGTAGTGGTATAATTTCCCATTGTCCTTGTCATGGGCTCGCTGCATGCATGCGTCGGGAATATGGCACCCTGCATGGATAGTCACGGATGTACATCACACCACCGGAAAAGACTGAGTAATCAACATTTACAGTATCGATTCAAAAACTCGTACTACTAGCAAGGGGGTGACATATACATGAAAGAGGATCGGCTTGCCGTAGCGTAGCCGTAGCGTATCCGAAAACACGCAACGCAGAGGTTGAGGACTAGCCTCGGTCGGCGGCACTACTATCTATGCTTCCGTTCCGTTGGCCGGCGCGCCTTACGATGACACACCAGCTTGCTGGGCGAAGCCGAGCCTGGGAGTGCCGTTGGACATGTCGTGAACAATGTACTTGCTCTTGAGGAAGATGTCACCGAAGATGCTCTGGCCGATGTCGGTGTCGGGCTGCATGCCGCCGAAGCAGGTGCTGGAGCCGTCGGTGATGGGTGCGTAGTTGATGTACTTGCCGGGCACGGTCTGCTTGACGCCGGCGACGGTGATGCTGAAGTTGGGCAGGGTAGCCGAGCATGGGAAGACGTAGCCGCCCTGGGTGGAGTCGAGCTTTGCGCCGGAAACTTTGGCGTAGTAGGCTTTGGCAGTGGCGGCGGGGACGTACATGAGGGTTGTGCCAGTGTCGAGGATGCCGCTGATGCTGGAGGAGACGGTGGCGCCGGTACCGACCGAGTAGCCGGATGCTGTGAAGCCCCAGAATCCCTGGGATGCGTCGGCGTTGACGTAGGTGATGGCGCCGGTGTACTTTGCGCTGTCGATGTAGCCGAAGTCGTAGGTACCGGCAGCGTGATACTTGAGGGTCACGGCGAATAGAGGCTTAGCGAGCTGGCTCTTGACGGTGTCGAACCAGGTCGTCTGCTGCTGAGGCTTGACGGTGTTGATGGAGCTCATGGCGAGACCAAGAAGACCATCGGTGTCAACATCCTGCGAGAACTGGGCGGAGACAGAGGTGGCAGCCTCAACAGCCTGTGCCGTCGCGGTGACTTGGCCGACGGTGACCTTGTCAGTGTAGACCTGGCCACTTGCACCAGATCCATCGCCGTAAGAGATCTTCCAGGTGTAGCCCGACTTGCGCTTGGAGGCATCGGTCTTGTAGTAGTCATGGCCAGAGAGCGAGGACTTGGCCTGAAGATCAGAGAAGACCCATCTGGAGTACATTAGTATCGAATTCCATTCCCGTTTCGTTCACGGAGCCTATTGCCACGGACTCTGACCACATGGTCCAAACGCCTGACAATCTTGCTCGCTGCTAGAGAGGATGTGCACTTACAGATCGGCACTTCCAGTGTCGAAATCGAGATGGACAGTGCTGGTTCCGACAGTCACGGGGCTCAGGTAAGAAGAGTCGTACTGGTCACTGGGAACAGCTGGGTCGCTGCCAGTGTTGGCATCAGCCTGGACAACTGCGTTGTTGTCCGCAGCCGCTTGGATGTGCGCAGGAACAGCCTTTCCGTATTTGCGGAGGGTCTTGGCGATCTGGGCGGGGCCTGAAGATATCGTTAGCCTCAGTATCTACAAAAGATATTCGGCTATGCTCACCATTCTTGCGGTGGAGGCCGTGCGCAACCTGCTTTACTTCGAAAGCATCACGCTTCTCGACTGGGGAAGCAACGACCGAGCTGGTGAGGGCAAGGGCCGCGGTGAGGTAGGTGAACGAAGGCATGATGGTCGTCGAATGATCGAAGTGTACCGGAGAAGCGAAATATTAGCGGATGGAAGCTGTTTGACCACAGGAGCGAAGATGGCTGCGGATGAGGAAACAAGACATGGCGAAGGGACTTGGCTTTATACCAAGCTTTGCCACGAGCACGCCAGCAGATGAAAGTGTTACAATGATGCGCACACGGCCTGTACGCCCTTAGTCGCCTTCACCGCAGCATGGTGCAGACGTGCGCCAGAGATCGGCCGTCAATCAAAGTGAGAGGCCACTCATGCACCCTACCCTATCTTGGCAGGTACCAATGACTCCGGACACGAGTGTTTGCACGTTTCCAAACAGGACCTGCTGTGTTCGGCAAAGCCCCACGGAGGCGTTCTCAAGGCGGAAGGAGAGCAAACACTCGTACTGGGGAGAGCATCTAAACGCTGGCTCCAGGACCACCGCAATTAAAAACAGGCTCTGCGCAACGGCGGCACTCGTAACTTTCGGCAATTGTACAGGGTACTCCAGAACAGACAAAACATTGGTCCATGTGTAATTGCACACTGTGGCGATTCCCTCCTGAGTGGCGCTGTTGGCAATCGCAAATCCGCCCTGTGTATGCCTACGACGCGGGACGATGTATGAAAATGACGGCACGACGAGTAACCATTGGCCAGGTGACCAGATAACAGGATAGCTCGTGGAGATGGCGGCATCATGCGCGGGGGATCGTGGTTGGTGGTGCAGGGAGATAAGCTAATGGCTACCGGCCACAAGCTTTGGTCTTGGACTGGCACCAAGCCTCGGCTGCTCTTCCTTGACCGTGATAAGCTTCGGATCCTACAGCCACAACCGGGATCAGTCCCAGTTTTCCATTGTTTGCTGTTTGGGTTGACAAGACGGGGTAGCCGCCCTGTCTCGGAGGTGACGGCGTCCGTACCATGAATTAAACGTGGAGGCGAGACATGCTCGCCGAGCGTTTCTCAACTCTTACACAGACGGATGCGCGCATGTCGACCGTCTATCTCTCGTGGCTGGCGACAATCATGGCAATCAAGAGCGGGGGTATCTGATAGGACTGCAAGATCGCCAACACACCCGCAAGTTGCTACCCAATTGACCGAGCATGTAACACAGGTATATTAAGATTGGAAACCACAGGCTTGGGGGCCTGTCAATAGTGCTGGTTCGATGATGCGCTGTAGCCGCTTCGGGGAGGTGGGAAAGACAAAGTGCGATGCTGGACGTGTCGGAGCCCGCCAAGCTAAGGGATCGACCCGTGTCTAATCTGCTTTTGTCACATCAGAAGGCAAATCCGCCGAATAGTCGCCTGGACCTTGTCAACCTCAGGAAGAAGCGATTCGAGCTGCAGCCAGTCACATGCCACCTCTGTACATACACAGCTGCCTCTTAAAGACAAACACGATTTCCAAGCGTCGGACGAAGGCTTGTCGAAGCTTAGCTGACGTGAAGGGGGAGCTCAAGCATTGATAACAGAGGCGAATAAGAGCTTCTATCGCAGGGCTCTGATAGAGCTGATATGTTTGATTAGGGATTGCAAACTCGAACCACGAAACTGTTGTGTGTGTGAAGCTATCCAGCCTTGGCTGTGCGCCGCACAGAATACCGCCGGCAACGCCGAAGTCCATTCGCTAGTCTGCACTACCTGCACCCTTGACTGCACCCTCGAGTTCTGCGAGCGCTGCCCGATATGCTTTCTTCCTCCCGTCCGCCGTGACAGCACTCTCCTTCCATTTCCATGCGCTTTACCTTCTTATTCCCCCGCTTTACCGGAATCCCCCTTCGTGATCTGCTTGATAAACCACGCTGCCTCGGTCTTGGGTGAACAGCGTCCATGCTTGCCCCCGGATTTGCCTGCGCGAGCTGTTCGCCCCACTCGATGGACATAGCTGGTGATGCTGGTTGGCATGTCGTAATTGATAACGTGAGTGATATCTGGAATATCAAGGCCACGAGACGCAGCATCGGACGCGATGAGTATCTTGATTTCGCCGGTACCGAACGACTTTAGCAGCTTTCTGGAGGCTTCTGCGGTCAGTGCACGCGTCATGGTCTTCAGATGGTTCTTGAAAGCAGGCGCGAGAGTTGCAAGCAGATGCGAGAGGCGAGATGCGTTTTCTGTGCTCTTGGTGAATACTAGGACCCGGCTCGGATGCTCTGCAACTCCAGTTTCCGAATCTTCGTCTTCGTTATTTTCGCCCGTCTCAATCCCTGTGAAGACATAATTGAGTAGCACATATAGGAGATGAAGTGGCTTGTTCGAGCCATCCGCGACATGGACCGAGAACTCGTCGAGTGTTGATGGCAGTTCGAAGTTGTTATCCTCGTGGTCGAGGGGCTGGACTTCGGTAGCCTCATCCTGTACGACCACAAGTTTTGGCCGCTTCAGCCTCAGGGTCCCGAGTTTCGTCAGATCCTTTTCCATGGTTGCGCTTAGGACAATCTTGGTGAGCTGTCGCCGCGCTGGTAGTATCGCAGACCACATCGAATTCGCGTCACGCTCGCGCTTGAGAAGGCGTTCTTGTGCATTCATGAAGTCGACTGGGGTCTCGCCATGAAGCGCATCCATCAGCACGCTCGCCCAGCCCTGGAAGTTCTGGTTAAGCAACTGATCTGCTTCGTCGATGACCAGCCACCGAACAGAATTGAGCAGGAAGCCCGTGGTATGCTCGATGTGCTCGACAAGTCGCCCCGGCGTACAAATGAGAATGTCTACGCCCGAGTCGTACTGAGGGATGTGGTCCTGTGGCATGTTCATCAGGTCGTCCAGTATTCCCCCTTTCTCTACAAAGCCCGTTCTGAACTGTTGTGATGCCCTCTCATGCAGGTCTTTTGCCCCTGCAGCATGAGGGGGTACAGAGCCCTCAACTTGACCAGCTGCTTCTGCATCGGGGGGAAAAGCGGTATTGCCCAGTGCTGTGCCCACCTTGATCTTTGTGCCAGCGCAAAGATCTTCAGCAACCTGCAGAGCCTGGTTGACAAGCTGCCGACTAGGGACCACAACAATGGCAGATAGTGTCGGTACGGCGCGGTCTTTGAGGGCCTCGATTATAGGCAGTAGATATGCAAGGGTCTTGCCAGAACCCGTCTTTGCAGAGACGCATATATCGCCCAAGTGCTGCTCGAACCCCTGATGGAGCATCGGTAATAGTGCAGTCTGAACAGCAAGAGCGTCTTTGAAGCCCTGTGATTCTAGTTTCTTGAGGTAGTGCGCGTCTACGCCCAGTTCTGCAAATGGGACGGTTCTGGACGATTCGACGGTGGTTGGCTGGGCGAGCCATGGCGGCAGGGTGGAGAAGGTAGGTTCGAATGCAGTGTCAGGAACTGGCGCGGGCTGGGGCATAGGCTGCAAATCATGAAGCTCTTCAGCGGGCTGCTCGTCCTTCTCTTCCGAGTCTTCCTCCTCTTGGCGCTGGCTTTTGGCTTCAGCAAGCTTAGCGACCTTCTCAAACTTGTTGAATATGGCCTTGTGCTTCTTCGAGCTGTCTTCAGCCGGCTCATCCTGCACTTCGGCATCCCTCTTTCGCTTCTTTGGCTTTTTCGCGGGCTTGGGCGTCGCCGATTGTGGCGCTGGGGCCGGAGACTCTCTGCGTTCCTGGACAGGGCTGGATGCCTTCGGGGTAACAGCTTTCGCTGGGCTGCTCGCTGGCTTGATTGCGGGTGTGGGTGGTGCCCATCGTTTGAACAGCGGTGCAGGCATTTGACTGGCAGATGCGCTCTTGCGCGGCGACTGTGTTTTGTGCAGCTACTTTTCGATGTTTGAAAAATGTGATATGGCTTAACGAATTGAGAAAAGCCTGCCGCCGCGCTAGCAGGAAGGTATGGTCGCGTGTCGTTGACGTGCAAGCTCGAGTCTGTGCGCAAGGTTGGTCGAAGTTTCGCAAGCCTTCCCAAAAAATGGGGGCGGGATGTCGCGCGAGCGGGGAACGGCCCGACCGAGCCGTGACGCGCTTGGGCTTCGCGTTGCCGTGAAAGTGAACCCCACAGCCCACCACACTGTCGCATCCCACATGAGCCATTGACTTGTCATGTATACACACTGTCACCAAGCTCGAGGTATTCACCCTCACATACAGCAGCCATGCCCTATAATATCGCGTACGCATATGCAACCCCCCAACAGTCCAATCTCCCACCTAGCTCACACAGCATAGCATGGTCAGCGATAATTTCTACCCCCAGCCTGGTATGAGTTGAAGCACCCAAACAGAAAATATGTTTCTTATACCGAGTAGGAGGAGTCGAAAGTCACATGTACCAGCTCTCCAGCGTAAGTCTACAAGCGCTGCCATTCTTCACTGCTCTGACAAGCTTCAGAAACTCATCGATCGCGGCCACAAGGTGATTGTCATCACTCATGCCTACGCTGGCCGGACTGGTGTACGGTACCTTACAAATGGCCTGAAGGTCTACTATGTCCCCTTCCTGGTCATCTACCGAGAGACCACGTTTCCGACCGTCTTCTCGTTCTTCCCCATTTTTCGCAACATTATGATCCGCGAGCGCATCGAAATAGTACACGGGCATGCTAGTCTCAGCAGCTTGTGCAATGAGGCTATACTGCATGCACGCACCATGGGGCTGAGGACAGTCTTCACAGATCATAGTCTGTTTGGCTTTGCAGACGCAGGAAGCATCCTCACCAACAGGCTTCTCAAGTTCACCCTCAGTGATGTCGACCATGTCATCTGTGTGAGCCATACCTGGTCAGTACTTCAACCAAAGCGGACACGAGACATGCTGATGGAGACTAGCAAAGAGAACACTGTCCTTCGCGCGTCTCTCGACCCACGGATGGTGTCAGTGATACCCAATGCTGTAGTTGCCGAGAACTTCCGTCCTCTTTCGCTCGAAGCTGGTGAAGCACAACAACCTAGAGCACCTGGTCCGCCACAGCCCAATGGATCCCGACGAGATCATCACAGTCATTGTCATTCAGCGGCTTTACTACAACAAAGGCACTGACTTGCTCGTTGCAGCTATACCTCACATTCTTGCTGCGCACCCAAACGTACGCTTCATAATCGCCAGAAATGGCCCCAAGGCTATCGATCTGGAACAGATGATTGAGCGAAATGTGCTTCAAGATAAAGTCCTCATGATCGGCCCTGTGCGTCACGAAGAAGTTCGAGACGTCATGGTGCGAGGGCACATCTATCTATGCCCATCGCTTACCGAGGCCTTCGGCACCGTCATAGTAGAAGCAGCTTCTTGCGGACTTTACGTCGTGGCCACACGGGTCGGTGGCATCCCGGAAGTCCTTCCCACGCACATGACTGAATTTGCGGCGCCCGAAGAAGACGAGATTGTCGAGGCTACCGGACGTGCAATACAAAAGCTGCGCGCCGGAGCAGTGAGGACTGACCTATTCCACAACCAGGTCAAGCAGATGTATTCCTGGACCGACGTTGCGCACAGGACGGAAAGAGTCTACGATGGCATTAGTGGTGCCATCAGCCACGTCGAGTTCTACCAAGCCGATAGTGCTCCTGGCGCATGGGGTACAGCTCGAGGTCGTGCGGGTGTCCGCAGCTTCGCGTTCGTTGAGAGACTGAAGCGATACTACGGATGCGGTGTCTGGGCCGGCAAGCTCTTCTGTCTCTGTGTTGTCATTGACTATCTCCTCTATGTGGTACTTGAGATCTTCGCACCGCGATCGAGGATCGACATCTGCAAGGACTGGCCGAAGAAAACCCCTAAACGTACGAAAGAAAACGAACAGATTCTGCAAGCACCTGCACCCATCGCCGGTGAATTGAAGAAGCTCAGTCCACGACAGCGTCGAGGTAGAAGAGAAGAAACGCAAGATGATTGAAGATTCACTAGTTGAGTGGACGAAAATATGCAGAAAAAGCTTTTGAATTGGTATAATATTACGAGTACTGCTGCCCACATAAAGGTATCACAGCCTTCGTCACGAAGATGAACTATCTACTCAGCCACCAGGCCGATTAGTCGAAGGACGCCAGCCCCCGACCCCCCCAAAAAAAAAACGCCGACCAATGCTCTGTACAAGAATGCAACGACACACAACCGGACACAACTATCCGTAGAACCAGTACTGTGCACTGTACTGCACTTCAAAGCTGCTCTTCTGGCCAGCACAGTTCTTGGGCGCCATGCCGCCGGCAGTGTGTACGCGGTAGACGTCCTTGTAGTCGCCCTCGACGGCGTTGAGCTTCAGCCATGCGACGCTGCCCATCTGGTTGGGACCGAGGGAAGAGTCCTTGGGCGCGGCGCTCTTGACGGCGTCGGGTGTGGCTTGCACCCAGCCGAAGTTGGTCTCGGGCGTTCGCAGGTCGAACATGGGCACCTTCTTGTCCGTGAAGTAGTGGTGGCCCGAGGTGCGCTGCTCGGCTGCCTTGCCCTTGGGGACGGCGTAGTTCAGCGAGAGGGTTGTGACCTGCGCGAGGACGTTGTCGTTGAGGCGTGTGGCATCGCACGTTGCGTTGAAGAGAGTGGCTACCGCGCCGTTTGCTATGGGCACGACGTCTGCGGAGTCGGATGCGCAAGTGTAGTTTTGTGTGCCGCGGCCAATGGCAATGTGCTTGAGTGTTGCTCCGGCGCTGATGGGAGGGAGAGGTGTAGGCGCTAATAGTAGGTCAGTACTGTGGTCCAGCGAAGAAGTGAAGAGTAGCACATACCAACTGGGAGAGCTACGTTGGACAAATCGCACAGCCCGTTCGTCTTGACCAACATATCCATCACCGGCTTGGGCAGGTCTTGCCTCGCAATCAGGTTGGCTATTGAGTCGGCAGGCTGGGTAGGAGCGGCGAACAAGGTCGCGGGCGCAAGGGCCAGGACAAGGGAGATGGTGTTTGTGAAGATCATTGTCGAAGTTGGGTATCGTGTAGGTGAGGTGAGGTGAGGTAAGATGTTGTATGTCGTGTGATGGTGATCGTCGTGGTATATATTGTACCAATTCGTCTCGAAATAGCAAGCCCGTTTCGTGTCGTTAAGAAAGAAACCCCGAAATAAAAAGAGAAACGGAGTACACCCTAAAAGCAGAAGGAAAGAAGCAACTGTCTCAAGAGGATGTCGATGCGTGAATGTGTTGTGTGTGGGAAATGCAAGAACGAGGCGGCACTTCTGGCCATTCTATATACATTACAAGCCCACTGAACGTTTGGGCGCGTACACTGGTATGGCTTTTGACGCTCTGTCCCACCCGCCCTAGGAAATGGCCCCAAATATAGCATGCCCGGGGTCTGATTGGGTGCGCTGGGCAGGCGAGCTAGATTACCGAGACGCCGCTGGGATGGGTTATTTTGGGGCGATTCTTATTCGCGGCGATGGCTAGTGTGAGAATAGTCATCTTGAGGTGTTAGGTGAGGTGAGGTGAGGGTTCATGATGATGACTATGTAAGGAGGAGGCGTACTCTCATTACGCCCTGCACTGCGCTGCCCTTCTCACACCGTCTGTCGCGTTCAATCTTTTTGGAGGATGTTTACAAACACCTTCGCGATGGGAATAGAAACACATCCGCATCCACATCCACATCCACCTGCAAGCTACCAGTACCCACCTGTCGACCGGAGGTACACACCCCATTGGTCCACCACAAGAGACAGCGCTCGTCCACTCGACCCAGAATGCCCGTCCCGCAGAGCCGCCCGTAACCTACCAGCCCACATTTCTCAGCCAAACCTATGTACCTTTTCCCCAAGCGGCAGGTCGCGTTGTGAGATAATTTTGTCTTAATATAGCCGTCTTGAGTTTGCGTGCAAAAGGTGGTTAATTTACTGTCTTTGAGATGGGCCAATGGGCGGCAAGGTGGCTGGGAAATGTAAGCGCCTCGAAGGATGTCAAGCAGGGAAGAGCGGGATTTGAACAGGGGTATGAGGGAGTGGTTGGCTGGGAACGACTGGTTTTGAAGATGGTGCCGGGCGGGAAGTGGAGCCTGCTGTTAATCGTTCGATGGATCTTTTGGAAGAGATGTATGTAGAAGGTCGGCTACGACGGACCTGTGAGCGAGCTGAACGTGTACCACACCTGCCTGCTGCAGATTCCAAGAACTTGTTTCGCCTTCCGCTCTGCGTGCCTAGCTGAACAAACAGCGCACGAGACTCGAGGCACACGACGGATTCTTGACAAGGTGCCTGGTCCTGGCGATGCATGGCCAATATCGCACTTCCCAGTTGTACCCGGCAGCGAACCTTGAAAAGGTCGAGAATATGGTAGCGAGGCCGAGAGCGTTACGCTTGCATATACTTGAGATAAACCTTGCCTTGCTTGGACTGGACTGGACCTTGAGGTAGAGCTGGAATTGTTGTCGCCCACAATATTTTCCAAGATGACCTTTTACGATGGATGCGGGACTATGCTGGTAGTGGTTACAAGAGGTATGCTTTTGGGACGGATGGCTGGCTTGCCGCTGCGGGAAGAGGTAAAATCGTTGGACTCATGGCAGGCTGGGAAAAGTTTGAGAGTGCATGTAGCTAAGGATGAGGCGCACGAGCAGGTACGATCGGGGAAGTCTAATCCAACAGGGGTGACGTGATATGTGCTGGGATTCGCCAGCCACAGGTAGAGGAACGAATCAGGGACGCAAAGTCGTTATGCGATGATGTTGTGCGATGTACACTCGAGTCTACATGTGCCACAGGTCCTACCCTCGTCGTACCCTCACCCATACAGACTACCCACGCGACCATCGAACAATCAATCTCGTACACACACACATCACGAATGTTCACATGTGACCATCTTTCCAGAAAAACAAGGTGTTCGCCACAGAAAGCGCCACCTTCATGAAATTCCCTACGCGCCCGTGGCACCCAGTGCTGACTATCCACGCGCTCAAATCCAGACGCTATTCGAATCGCCCGGCACGTCCACCCATCTATCCTAATCATACAGACAAAGGACCAAACTGCCCACTTATACAGCATCCTTCAACCCCACCGTCGGATCATCCAGCGGACCCCCCGGCGTCCCCGCCGCCACAATCGCATTGCCCGCCACCACCGCACCCCCTCCACTCCCCTCGCCAAACAGCATGTAGAAGACGATAAAGTGCAGCGCGATGAGGTATCCCGCAAACATGTTCCTGCTAATCCTTGTTTGGAGCACGAATTTCGTCACGCGCAACACCATGCGTTCGAAGAGATGCATGCGCTTCATGGCCCTCGCACTTTCACGCCCGCGGAACGCCGCGAACGGGCTGAGATTGGATTCGTAACTGGCTTTGTAGCGATCCGACGCGTCTGCTGCGATGTTGACAGTTGACGGGTTTGTATTCGCATTCGCAGAATACGGTGTGCGATTGTAAGAGTTCACATATCGTGTCTTCTCATACAGGTCGAGGTTATCTTTCTGCAGTGCGCCGATTTCGCTGCGCAGAGAGGAGACGGTTTGGTGTGATTTCTGTAGCTCGGCTTCCAGTTCGGAATTGCGCTTTTTGAAGCGGTCGCGTTGCGCGGTGACCATGGGGAGGATGCCGGAGCCACCACCCATGGGCTCGCCTGCGCGCAGGGAGGCGAGGGTGTTGGAGGGGCTGTTGTCGAAGCCGGAGATGATGGAGGACGTAGGTGAGGAGCGGCCGCGGCGCGCGGAGCTTTGGGGGTAGCGGGATACGTATGTGCCTGCTACGGACATGCCTGATGGGTCGAAGGCATTTGAGGCCTCTTGTTGGACTTTCTCGAGATCGGCCTCGAGGGTTTCGTTGAGGGCTCTCGACTTTTCGAGATCCATGTTTGCGCTAGAGAGCTCTTCTTGGAGAGCTTCCAGCCTGCTCTGTAGGTCTTGGTGGGACACGCGGAGGACGGTGAGCTCGTTGCTGAGCTTCTTGTTGCGCGCGAGCAGAAGCTGCTCTAATGTCTCGCCCTTGCCTTTGCCAGCGCCGCCGTTCTGTGAAAGGGCGAGCTCGGTAGCTTCGTCGTCGTCGTCTCCTGTAGCGAACTCGATTGACTGTGTTCTGTCAGCAAAATCTATAGCAAATCTTCGAATTCGCATACCTTCAGCACTTCGAGCTCCTGCTTCACGTTCTCGTAATCACCCCATTTCTGGACCTTTTCACGCAACGCGTCCTTTTCACTCTTCAGTGACTTGATCTCGCGCTCCAAGCTTCGCGTCTCCGTCTCGAGTTTTGTCCGATCAGAGTCCTTCTCGAAACGCGCATTTTCAAGCTTGCGTAGAAGCGAGGAGTTTTCGGACCGCAGTCGTAGGTAGGATGGATCGTCTTCGACTGCAACGTGCTGGGCTTGTGAGGACGCTGATTGGGCGAGCTGGAGGCGCAACTGTTCATTGCGTGACTCGATCTCGGCCAGGCGGTGACTCGTCCTCTCCAACTCAGAGCTGACAATCTCGAGCTCCGCAGCTGTGGCTCCTGACCTGCTTTCGCCTTCACCCTCCTCTCCCTTGCCAAGCCTTTGCGACACCTCATAGCTGGCCTTGAGCTCTTTCAGCAGCCGGTCTTGGCTCTCGACCTTTTCTTCCAGGCTCTTCTCCTTGGACTCCCAGTTGTCTTGTTTCTCGCTCAGCACGGCGGACCACGACTGCTCGACCTCCTTGATCTTGCTGTCTCGGGTATCTTCGAGGCCTTTACGTGCAGTCCTCTCCTCCTCGAGCTTCTTCTCTGAATCGTCAACCTGTGTGGTCAAGTTTGCGACTGTCTTCTGGAGTCTCTCGTTCTCGGCTGTAATCTTTGGGACGGTTTCTTCGGCGGTGACGAGGGAGTCGACGGAGGCTTCGAGCAGAGGGTATGGGTCTGGGGCTTCTGACAGCGGTGAGTAGACTTGGAAGAAGGCAGCCTGGACCGTCTTGGACTGGTTTGAAATAAGGTCGATGAAGTTCTGGTATGCTGTATGGCCGGTTAGCACAGAGCCGTAGCGTTGCACTGAAATCTGAGATGTGTACATTTCAAGAGCGCCTTGAACTCGTTGAGCTTGCTGGCGTCGTCAAGCTTCCTGAAGTCCTTGGTCTTCTGCGCGAGGTCTTTTCTTTGCGTGAGAGTGTCTCTTTGGTTTGCGACAATGTCTGATGCGACCGTGTCGAGTTGTGGAATGAGCGTTGTGAGGTCGATGTCTGGCGCACTGTTTAGCTTCCTGATGTGTGGTTGATGCGCCCGGTCTTCTTACTCCTCCAGGCGCCTATCGCCTTCTGGAACTTGTTCTCGTCGCCTCCGTCTTCCTGCGCGTCGGCAACTTGCCTCGTGTCCTGCGCCGCCTCCAGTGAGCTCTGCTCTTCCGTGTCAATTCCGCCTTCCATTCTAGCGTCTGTTGGAGAGGGTGTAGAAGAGTCTCGCCGAACGATAGCGCGTCGTCACTATTGGGCGTCGTATACAATTCCCCGCAAATGCATCCAAGGCGCGTCGACTTGCATGGGTCGGATCGGATTACGTATGCGGACAGCTTTCACTCCAGCTCGGGAGTGCTGCGGCGCACAGGGCAAGCCGCGTGTGGGGGCCATGGATCATCATGGTTCGCGATCCAGGCACCACATGCGCATGCACAAGCTCCCTTCACCCTCTACAATGCACGCTTCCCGTAGAATGCGCCAATAGCCAGCCATGGCGCATAGAGTGCTCTTGAAACATGGCAGAAGCAGCTCCTCAGTCGCAATTGACTCCGCGACCACCGCCCCAAGACGGGCCCTTCATCCTCCGCAAGCTCGTGTCCGACCTGCCGCTGTCCGCTGATGGAGACGCGGCAGACGTGCGCATAACATGCGTTGAAGTGTGGAGTATGTACAGCCTCAGAAACGCCTCATGGGTCCTGCAATTGTACCTAGTTAGTCAATGTAGCTAATCAATCCCAGACGGTAACCTCTACGTCGGTACCTCAGCCGCCGAGATCATCCACTTCGTCCTCCTGCCCCCAGAACCCGATGACACCTCGGGAGAGCCCACCGCGATAATCGCATCGCGGCTGGAACCGCCTCACAGTGACCCCAACGGCCCCGGCGTGCAGCAGATCCTCATCCTCCCCAAGGTCAACAAGGCCTGTATACTGTGCAACAACACCTTCTCCATCTACTCGCTGCCCGAGCTCAGCCCCGAGTCCAACTTCAAGCCAATTGCTTGTCTATGGGTGGGAGGTGTCGATCTGAATGAGGGCCAGGACGATGACGCTGATGGCGGCGTCGACGTCGTGATTGGACTCAAGAAGAGGCTGCGACTAGTACACATATCTGAGCACTCCCCGCCCAGAGCGCTTAAGACGATCGAGTACGGAGGATGCCTGACCTCAGTACGGAGAGACGCCTACTCGTGCGCCGCCGATGCGCATTCGTATGCGCTACTCGATGTTGTGCACCAGCAGAAGATTGGCTTGTTCCCAATATCCTCTCTAGACCCAGACGCCGGCGATGTGGGTGGAGCTGCTGAGAACATCGCCTCGATACCTCAGCCGCCGTCCAGGAGCGTCTCCAACGCAAGTCCGGTGCCTCGGGTCCAGGAAGAGCAGCGCGGTCATGCTCGAAGCACGAGTCTGAATATGCTAGGACTGGGTGGTCCACCATCTAGAACAGAAAGTCCGCGAGCGCCGCGGCAACGATACGGTTTCGATGTGCCAGAGTCGCTCTCGAGAAACATGTCCCCGGCATCTGCGCGATCGCCAGGTCGAGCCCCTGGTGGAGAAGCAGGAGAAAGATCGTCTAGTCTTCCTAGGAGTGGTGCTACGTCTCCAGAAAAGCCGTTGCCTCCGCCCCCAGAAGGAGAAAATGTGCCGCAAGTGCAAGTCGAAGAACCTCGCAAGCCGCCCCCGTTTGTGCCTCTCAGGCCCCACGTAGCTTCCCCCAATCCGAACGAGTTCCTGCTCACAGTAGGAACGACTCCGTCTGAACCCGGTGTCGGCATGTTTGTCAATTTAGATGGCGACATGTGTAGAGGCAGCATACAATTCAGCAGCTATCCTGATTCGATCGTGGTCGATGGCTCCGGCATAGACCTGGCAGCATCGACTGGCCCTGACGTCGATGCTGAAGAGGGTTACGTCATTGCTGCAGTGCATCGTGAGGAAGAGGAGGAACTCATGTATGGCGTTGAGATTCAGCGCTGGGATGTCGATCCGAGTGACGCTGAGAGTAACAAAGAGTGGCTGGACCTAAGCGGGACTGGCCTTTTAACGCAGGAGACCGGCACGCACGTAGCAACACCACTTGGTATGCGCACCGTAGTTGAGCCGTATGACCTCATATTGTCTGAGATTGGAGCGAAGCTTTCGGTCAAGCGGTTACAACTTGGTACTGTTGCGAATCCTGAAGAAGCTACAAAAGCTACAACGGCCGCTCAAGTCAAGGCCGATCGCGAATTCACGGACAGGCTGTCGAGATTGCAGACCAGAAACCTGCTATGGGCTGACGACCAGATATGGTGGACTGTGCGAAATCCGCTCGTTCTGCGATTGGACGCGCGCCTTGAGAAAGCACAATTTACAGCAACGGGCGATGGCACACGAATACAGCCTGATCGTCGTCAGCTCGAGAAAGTGCTCGGTGATATCCGCGGGCAAGAACCGCAGAATGAATCAGAGTATCTCAGCCTCATCTACATTCGCCAGAAAGCGTCCGTCATGCTCTTCATGGATGTCATACTTCGCACGAAGACGAACATCATAATCTTTGAGAACGAGAAGCGCATTACTGAGCAAGCACTCATTGAGGGCGAAGTAGACCCGCGCGTTGTCTTGAGTCTCCTACCCATCTTGCAAAAGGAAGTTGTACAAGGGCCCGAAGGCATACAGATCTCAGGTGGCATCACCACGCTTGTTGAGCAGTTCTTGCAACAAAACGATCTCGCCGCTATGCCGACCGATATCAACGGCCCATTCGGCGACAACCTCTTGCACTTTTTAAAGAGGTACCTTCAGTTCTGGAAAAGGCAGAAAGGCATGGCGAGCGTCACGAACGACCCTAACGTGTTTCGGAGCGTAGATGCAGCACTCCTTCACATTCTTCTCCTCTTAGATCAGGGCAGTGCCAAGGGGAGCTCAAGTCCTGGCACTCATCGAGCAGAATTGAACGAGCTGGTTGACAAGGAAGTTGACTGCTTTGAACGCGCCGTCGAGCTTCTTGAGCAGTTCAAGCGGCTGTATCTTTTGAGTCGCTTCTATCAAGGCAACTGCAAGTCATCAGAAAAAGCGCCAAACGTGCTCGCAACTTGGAAGCGTATCCTTGACGGAGAAGAAGACAAGGGCGGCGAATTTGTGGATGGCGAGCGCACATTACGAACATATCTATCACGATTACGAGATAAGTCGCTAGTTGAGGAATATGGCGCGTGGCTCGCAAATCGGAACCCCAAGCTTGGTGTTCAGATCTTTGCAGATGACCAGAGCAAAGTAAAGTTCGAGCCGTCTCAGGCTGTTGCCCTTCTCAGAGAAAAGGCACCCGGTGCTGTCAAGGAATATCTGGAGTACCTAGTCTTTGGTAAGAAGCATACGCAATACGTCAACGAGCTCATCGCCTTCTACTTGGACACCGTCATCACGGAGCTGGAGAGCAACTCAGAGGCACGCGCCATGCTCGCACAAACTTACGAGACCTACCGCATCCTCGTACCACCAAAACCCACCTACCACAGCTTCATCACCGACAACGCCATCCCAGCAGAATGGTGGCAAGCCCGACTACGCCTACTCCAGCTTCTCGGCTCCAATCAACCAGCCACATCCTCCTACGACGTCAGCTCGATACTATCGCGCCTCCAGCCCTTCGAGCAAGAGCTCGTCCCCGAAATGATCATCCTCAATGGCCGTCAAGAGCGCCACCAAGAAGCCCTGCGCCTCCTCGTCCACGGCCTCGGCGACTTCGACACGTCAATCTCTTACTGCCTGTACGGCTACAGCTCCATCTTCCGCCCTATCACTGCCGGCCACCTACCCATCCCCGCATCGGAACTCCCCAGCCGCGCCGAGCAATCCCGCCTCTTCAACTTCCTGCTGCAAGACTTCCTGCAAATCGAAGACCTCTCGCAGCGCGTCGAGCGCACCAGCGAACTCCTAGAGCGCTTTGCGGGCTGGTTTGATATCGGCGATGTCTTGGCGCTTTTGCCGAGCGATTGGAGCGTGGATGTTTTCTCGGCGTATTTGATTAATAGCCTTAGGACGCTGGTGCGGGAGAAAGCCGAGAGCGGGATTGTCAGGGCGCTGAGTGATGCGCAGAACAGTCAGGCGAGTTGCGAGGTTGTGGTGCAGAGGGAGAAGATTGGGGCGACGTTTGAGAGGGGGGAGTAGGATGGGGAAGAGGATTCGGGTTGTACATAGAGGTGTGGTGTGTGTAATACGAACGTTTTTCTTGATTTCATAATTGAGATTTTGGTGTCTGGTGGTGAAGTGCTCTTGCTTGTTGAGTGGGTAGGTTGCTCCTGCCTTTACCTGAGGAGTGCGACGGAAACATCACGTGCCGAGCTGTCTTCTATCACCTCACGTGCAAGCTTGCAAAATTCTTGAAACCAACACTCTCGCGCAGCACTCCTACATGTCGAAATTTCTCTACGTCGCCATGAGCCAGCCCGTTGGCTTCGCGAGGGACAACACGAACGAGACCGACCTCGAACCAGATTCCGCAAGGCGTGCAACTTCACAGCGCAGTAGCCCTGGAAAACGCAGTGCGGACGAAATGCAGGGCTCTATCTTCGACAATGATCAGGCCCGTTCACCCAGTATCTCTGAGCCTTCAGCAGACAAGAAACCGTGCCTTGCTAGTGGCGGACCGCCGTATGAACCAATGCACTTTTGACACTACTCTGCTGACCAGCTTTAGTATCACTTCAGAGCCTGTAGTGGTCATCGTAGGCGAAGAACAGGAGAAATTCTATGTGCACGCTCACCTGCTGGAATCATCCTCCGAGTACTTCCTCGCAACATTGAGCTCAGAACGTGTTGGAGACACGCTACGAACAGTCAAGCTTCCCGATGTCGATGCAGACGCTTTCAGGTTGTATGCGAAATGGCTCTATACCGGACGCTTCCATCTCTCGATCGGACCCGACACGTATGTAAGAGACAATTCGACTGAAATGCACTGGGACGAAATGTCTGCTTGCTATGCGCTGTCCGCTACAATCCAAGCATCCGCCTTCGGTGACGCCACCATCGACGCGTTCATAGGCCGCATGATAATCCGCAACGACTCTCCCATCGAACTGGCTAAATGGATCTACCCTCGAACAGCCAAGGGCTCAGCACATCGAAGTCTATGCCGAGACATCGTCGTTCACACGTGGGATCGCAAACTCTTCGGGCGCCTGTGGAAAGAAGACTACCCTAGGGAGTTTCTTGAAAACGTCTTCGCGGACGTCAGCCTCAAATTCGATCGTGGAGTGCGATGTAAAGAGACTGCAGAATTCCTCGAGCCAAAGAATGGCTGCACATATCATGAACACAAGCGGTTATCGTTGCCTTGCTACAAGATCGCTTTCGGTAATAGATGAGCTCACAGGTGCTCGGAGAACGCGTTAGTGTTCAGCCCAAACATATATATCTTCCGCTCACATACCACAGAAAGAAGGCAAAACTGTCTTCGCACCACATCCATCGCATAACACGCCCAGAATAATTATCATGTTCGATAAATCTACCACAAGTCACGGGAAATGGGATCTACGAAACCACTGCAGTCGCACATTTATTAGCACATATTCAAGCGTCACCGGATATCGTTCATATTCCATCAGGGCGAACACAAGCTTTCGAATTGCTCCATTTCAATAATCATAGAAGGACTGAAGTGTTTAACCGAAGTTCATCTTGTTTCTCATGATTTATCCAAAGTTCATCCCATATCCAATAATATCTCCAATCCCCAACTTCCCCTTCAACACCTCCATCCTCTCCCTAATCCCCTCAACATCCCATGTCCTCAACTCCACCCACTCCTTCAACGCTCTCACCCAAACCGCAAACTCCCCTTGCACACTGGTATGTCCCCTGTATCCCGCCTCCCTCAGCACCAGAGTAGCATTCCTAAACGTATCCCAAAACTCCCCAATCTCATCTTTACTCGGTACTTCCTCCACCGGAGCATACACTCGCTGCATCACCCCCCGCATCACCAACAACCCTTTGACCTGCATAAAAGCTGCTCCAGCTCCATCATACCACTTCCCCGGCTGCCACACGACTTTATCCCTGTATTCGTCTTGCTCGAGCACATACTGCAGTGCTGCGCCGACAATATCCTTACCCCAGTCCCGCCGTGCATCGACATGAACAGCCGCCACAGCTAGAACCAGGAGTCTGAGCGACAGCGGACTAACGCGCATGAAGAACATCTCACAGTTCATTTCCTCGCCATCGTCGGACTTTGTGCCGAGAACGTGGATGTGATCGAACTCCGGAGATGCGAGTGGCGGGAGGAAGGTGTGTAGGGGGATGAGCGTATTCGCCACAACAACGCTCGGGGAGAAGAACCTATATTCTCAACATTAGTACGCGGTTTCGAAAGAGTAGCGAGGTGGGGATACAGTATCCATTCCGCCCTCTCATTTTCGTCCTTCAGCAGTTCAGACGTGATGACGTGTTGCAGCCACAAGAGTGTATTTGCGAAGCCCTTGACGAGTGGCGTGCGCAGGACGTGTGTTTCGTAGCTTTGGGAGGCGTGTAGGGCGAGGGAGCGGGCGTATACGCTGTTTGAAGGCGCGTAGGCGATTGTGGCTTTTGCGATGCGGATGGACGAGTGGGCGCGGGGCGTGGTTAGATTGGTTGTTTGGAGGGTGGGTATTGGCGGTTGAGATGGGATTAGGGATTGTAGGGCGAGATATAGGATGAGTAGGATGGCGGCGATTAAGGCGAGAGTGTAGGTGCGCTTGATGGAGCGCCGGATTGAGCAGAGATGATGGAATCTTGGACTCAGAGGGTAGGTTTGGAGGTTGATTGAGGGCGCCATCGCGGTGTGACTGTGTGAACTGGAGAGTTCAATTGCTACAGACTACATACAACGTAGTGGTGAGGTCGAGGTAAAAGTGAAAGTGAAGGTGAATCACATATCAGCCCAAAACAAAGTGAAATAGGACAGATATTTCTTAACTCTCGTAACCCGCAAATAACATTTTCTCATCGAACTGGTTGTAAAATACCTGCTACCCATGCATAGTCGTGAATGTTCATCCTCAAAACCACAAGGGTATATTGAAATACTTTCTCCTCTTAAAATCTCCCGATCCCACTCCTCGCGAACTTCTCTTTGTTTGACTCAATAGTGAGAGACTGAGTAACTCTAGATACTTCGCTCCAGAACAATAGCTAGGAGGAAATCATCTAAGCCCTCTTGGGCTGCTCAGCGGCCTTTGCCTGCTCCTCTTGAGCCTTCTTGGCCTCGTCGGCAGCCTTCTTCTGCTCCTCCTCTGCCTTCTTGGCCTGCTCGTCAGCGGCCTTTGCCTGCTCTTCCTGTGCCTTCTTGGCCTCCTCTTCGGCCTTCTTTGCCTGTTCCTCTTCAGCCTTCTTGGCCTCCTCTTCAGCCTTCTGTGCCTCCTGGTCCTTAGCCTGATCCTGGCCTTGCTCCTGCTGCTGAGCATCCTTGAGAGCCTGAGCCTCCTGCTTGGCGATCTCAGCGTTCAGCTGAATGTCGGCGGCATCGTTGTCGTTCTTCTGGAGGTCCTGGATGTTCTGCTCCCAGATACCGCCGAGGGCCGCAGCCGGGTCCTCGGCAACAGCGCTCCAGGTGGGCTTAGCACCGAAGAGCTGCACGCCCTGGGTCTTGGTGGGGATGTCGTTGCGGACGGCGCCGGTGGCACCAGCAATGCCGTTGAACTGGCCAATGTTCTGGAAGGCGTTGTTGCCCAGGATGTCCTGTGCAATCAGCTTGCGGCTGTCGAAGACCATAACGGTCTGGGTCTCGCGCGCGCCGCGGTTGGCGACGACGACGCTCTGGGCAAAGATCTCCTGCTGGATCTGGTTGCCGCGGCCGTCGTCGATGGCGATCTGGATCTCTTGGACGACAAGCATGACGGTGGTGACGTCGCGGAACTGGTTCTGGAAGTTGGACTTGCGGAACAGGTTGTTCATGTCGTTGCTGAAGCCGTTGTTGACCTGATCGACGACGAGGACCTGGTTAACTTGCTGGACGATCTGCTGTTGGCGACCGTTGTCGATGATCTGGAGGTTCTCTTGCTGGATCTGGATGATCTGCTGCTGCTCGTTGAAGTTGTTGAAGCCATCGGCGAAGTTGAAGCCGTCGCCCTTGAAGCCGTTGAGTACAGCGCCATTGAAGCCATCACCAAAGATGTTGCTCTGACGCTTGGAGACGGGAGCAGAGATGGGCTTTGCAGCTGTGGAGTGTTGTTAATGTCTAATCCCAAGCTCAAGAAGTGGAGGAAGGACTTACCAGCGATGGTCGCAAGGGCGAGAGTGGCGAAGTACTTGAGAGACATCTTGTAAAGAGTGTTTGTGGGGTTGTCCAGTTAATACGGAAAGGAGTGAATTAGTGAGTAGGATTAAACGTCGCAGACGTGTGGTTAATTAAATTTGAAGGAGAGTGTTAAGCAGACTATCAAAGTCGCGAAGAGAAGAGAATGTATTAGACTGGTGAAGAGAAGAGAGTGTGGGATGAGGATGCAATTGGAGGCTTCCCATCAGCAGCATATATACAAATTCTAGATGCTTGGGCACCACCAGTACCAAGAGACTGCTCGGTATTTGCCCCTGTATTGCCGTTGTCACATCACACTACGCGACCTGTCATGCCCACGGCGCACTTCCACCCGCAACGCCAAGCGGGGTGATGTGCCAGCCAAGAAGTGCTTGAATCTATGTGCCTTGCAGACTGAGGCGTAGTTAAGAGCCTCAGGATAGCGGATGCCCAGTATCCGAGGCGTCTGCCAAGAGGTGAATGTCGTGGAGGTGGCGTCGATCATGCCGGGCAACCGAGACACACATGGTTGTGGAGACATCCGAACGAGCCGGTGCTCGCTTTGAGACAGTGCGACTCATGAATCGTTGCGGAGGAGCCTATTTTCGTATTGCAGCGGTCTGCAAAGAGCAGGGTCATCGTGGTAGCTCAACGTTCTTCTCCATGAACGCAATCTCTCGAGTCGAGGCTCTGTACAAGTATCAGGATGATCATGCTTGGCCTGGTTTTGTCATGATGGAAACGCTGCAGCTTCCAAAGCCCTTCTGTTGCACAAGCAACTTACGCCATCGACCGGGACTCATCACGGTGTCCTTGTACTATACCATCACATCACGTATATGTCCTCGTACATGAGACGGCTCTGATTCTACTCCTTGATTGTATTCGAGGTGGCGTTCTTGATGAATGACTTCTGGTGTTGACTTGGCTGGCGAGACGGTTCTGAAACCATGCACGTGTTGAAGAGAACATCCAGCGAACACCCGGTCTTGAACGTTCCCCACTTTAGGTATATGACCATGCGTTAAGCAATGCAGATCATCTCGGAAGACGATGGTTCCCCGGTCAGTCACTCTTGGTGATGCAGATCTTTCATCTCATAAATTGCACAGGAGCGCTCACGATGAGACAACTTTCGGGCTTGTCAAGATGCAAAGCCACCGAAGACTGGCGCAAGATGCTAGGCGTGATCAAGTTATGAAGCATTTACACAATTCCTATATCCTGTCCGGTGTGGCCAAGGCGCTCCACCTCGTTCAATATTGAGGCGCCCACAAGTCTCCCAAACGCCATTCGCAGATGCAGCGCGCTCGCTAAAAGCGGGTGAATTATACATTTCGCCAAATACTCCAAGCCGCGGTAAATAGTTAAAAGAAACCGTCTACTCCTCGTCCGAGTCAGTGTCAGTGTCAGTCTCGCTCTCAGATTCGGCATCGCCCTCGGTGTCACTGCCGTCACTGGAGTCGTCCTTGACCTGCTTTCGCTTCTTTGGAGGAGCGCCTCCGGTCTTCAGTTGTTGCATTTGACCTGCGATGGAATCTATTATCAGGTCAGCCATGATTTTGTACTCTTTAGAACGGGAGTCAAACGTACCATCTTCTGGCTCGCTAATCTCCTCTTCCTCTTCGACCTCTTCAGCTTTGCTGGCATCCTCGACCACTAGCGTGACCTCCATCTTGGTGTCCATACCGATGTAACTATCACAGACCACATGCATGACAAAAGTATAGCTACCGGCTTGCGGTGGTGCGCCGAACTGCATCTTCAATGTCTGCACGTTGAACGTGGGTTTACCACTGACGTCCACAATAGGCTTATCGAACGTAGAGAATGTGAAGGGGGGTACTGCAATGCGGCCTTGCTTGCTGTCAGCCAGGAAAACATGCCACCTCGGCGCGTGGTCACGAGCGAAGTATGGCGCATGTGTGAGGGCAGGCTGAATGGGCTTCTCTCCGGAGCGATCGTTCTTGCGACCAGTGATAGCCGCAACATCACCTTCCTCAGGGTCAATGTCCAACAGGTCCTTCGGGTTGATCTCTGGTAGGTCTGTCGCGGCTGGGGGGACGAATCGGCACTTGAGTACAAATTGCACCAGACTGCTTGGAGTTACGAAGCGCTCTCCAACAACCTTGAAGAAGGCCTTCTCAATATTGAGGACAGGAATTTGCGAGGCCACAGACATGGCAGTGTTGTACTGGGCTTGCGAGAGAAGTCCTGATTCGACCACGCGGGCTTTTCGCTGCGATTCGGGCAAGCGCATGAATTCTTGTATGGTCAGATGTGTACGTGACCGCTCCGCCTCGGCTGCGCTAGCAACTGTTGGTGTGAAGTATGGAAGTTGCTCGAGCGGAGATGCGCCGGGTCGGAGAGCCTGAATGATGTTCTGTGAGGTATGGTATGCAGAGACGACAGCGCCGGTGCTGCCATATGCGAGCGAAATGGCAGTATAAGCTTCGTTCAACCGGAGTGCGATTGGCGCTACCTCGAACTTTTCTGTGCGATCATTAGCAAAACAACATAGATAACCTGGATTGATATATCATACCATCATTCAGAGTCTCGTCGTCAAGCTCAACGCGTCCAAGGTACGCCCAAAGTAGTGCAAGGACCTTGCGTCTGCGGCTGTCTTCCATGTCGTCAAGCTTTTGTCGTTCCTTTCTTGCGATAGCTTTCGAAAGAGGCGAATCCGGATCAGAAAGGATCTTTTGCTCCAGCTTCGATAGTCCGTTTTCCGCTTTGTGGCCATCAAGCACCTCATTGAACTCTTCTCCTGTGCTGAGCGCGCCTATCACACCAGACTCTCCCTGTTCGTTGTCGTACTCTCGGAAGATCTTGCCAGCACTAGCGACAAGCACCTTTTCCTTTGTCAACCTCTGTGTGCCATACCACCACTTTCCAACCGTATACGGCAGAATGACCCCGAGTGCGAGCGCGTAGATGAGCAGGACGTATTTTCCGGCACCCTCAGTCACGATCCACTTGGGTAGCGCGATACCAATGCTGAAGCTCTGCTTGCCGTCCGGGTGGCCATACTGAAGGAAGTTGTTGCGAATCTCCTCGTCGGTGAGGGCCTTGAAAGCTTTGGTGACATCTACCCATTTGTCATTGATCGACTGAATGGTAATGTTCTTCTCGGGATCCTCGCGAGCTTTGTCAGGATGTAAAGTCAGGGAAAGCCTGCGGTAACGGCTCTTGATCGCTTTCTCATCCGCAGTCTGTCACAGTTAGATGTGATTGCGCGCCAAATTGCATAGCTTGGCTTGAACTTACCGAGGGGATGCCCAAAACGGAATATGGGTCCCAGATATCTGGTGTCAACCGCGCAGTGACAAGGATAAGGTAGACCATGGCAGCGTTGAGTGTCCATCCTACCACCATGAGAAGACCCCGCTTTAGCCTCCTTTCGAGCCGCTTCTGCTTCTTGCGCTGTCCTTGTATGAGATCGGCATGTTCGGGGACGAATTCGGACTCTATCCGCGTTCCAGTGTTCTCGAGCTCTGGCTACTGTTAATGATTGAGTGCAGGATAGGTCGCCACGGATGCGCACCTTTGCTTGGCCTCAGGAATGAGATTGTGGTGGGGACAGTGACGAGTGTGGTGACTGTGAGGATGAAGAAGGGGAAGAATTGTCCCTGTCATGGGTTAGCAGCGCGTCGTTGTTGCGGACGCGTGGCAGCGCACCTGTTCGTCGTAGTTGTAGTCGGTCCCGGACATGGTGGGCAAGTGTCCTTTGAATGCGGTTTGGAGATGTGTCTAAGGAGCGACGAAAGGAAATATTACTTTAGTCGTGCAAAAGGCGCATGCACTGTAGGACAAGAAGGCAGTCTTAGACCTGTGGCATGTCTGGCAAGATGCGGGGAATCTCAAAGAAAGTCGTGGTCAAATAAGTCTGGGTTCCGACCACTGTGTTCTTTCCTGGGTTACGGCCACTCTAAGATTGGAAGCCACACCTGTGGCTAGTGGCCTTGGCGGCGCTGCCCCGGGCATGTCTGTGATCAAAGCTACGTCACCCTCAACTTTCGCTATATTCACATTTCACTGTAACTTATATGCTGTTGGGTTGCAGTGAAGGCCAGACATAGTCAATGCAGTAAGACAATAATGCTACAAAAGTCAAAGATTGCAGTAAATAAGTTGAGGGAACTGCGAAATAATGCTGCGCATAACTACAGTACATTTTCCTAAGATACACATACAGGTATTTACAGCAGCCGGGTGGGGACATGTAGCTTCCATGTGTCAATTCAAATAATTTTCTTCCGAGGCTAAGTAGTGTTTCCCCAAAGCACCTCCAATGCATTGCTCTATGCGCCGTGAACAAGAGCTGCATGTGAAGCACTCTGTCCATTAATTGCTACACCAGCATATATCTACATGGGATAAAAGAACCCGCGACAGGGTCGTGTGTGGTAGGAAATGGCACTGGCATCGAAATGCCCACGTGCTCACAATCTTGAGTATGTGCGAAGGTGTATCTCAAGTGCTCGCGACTGAGGCCGGATTCACCCGGAAAGTGCCTCCTAGCCGGTTGGCTCGGGCGTGCTTTGAGATGGACTTTGTACCGCATCCAGGGGTGCAGCGTGTAATGCTGGCTTCTCCGCGCGCTTCATGGTCCCATTCCTTCGCTTCTCAATCGCACCCTTCACCCAATCGGCCACCTCCTGGTCGAATACCGCATCGATGGGCTCCGGCAGTCCTTTGTCACCTGCAGCCTCACCAGCATCCGCCTCCGTCGCCGCAACCACTTCATCCTCATCTTCCTCCGTGATTGTTTCGGGTTTAGCCAGCGGTGCCAACCACGCATGTTGGAGCAACATGGCGTATGTCGGTCGAAGGTTCGGGATCTTGTGCAAGCAGCCTCGCACAAAGTTTCGTGCCGCGTCAGAGTAGCCCTCTGGAGGTAGATCCGGAGGCTCACCGTCGACGATCGCCTGCACGAAATTAGTACGATGTGAGTCGGGAAGACTAGCAAATACTCACACTCAGTTGACTGAAAATGTTATTGTATGTCTCTGGCGGGTACGGATAGCAGCCGAGTGCGCACTCAATGATAGTGAGGCCGAGACTCCAGATGTCACTCTGTACGCTATAGGTGCCACCTCCAGGGTTCGCGCCTGCTTGGGCGATACCACCTGACGAGATTCGCTCGGGTGCCATGTAACTCTGACAACCGATGTTTGTTTTGGCTATACTGGCCACCAAATTTCCACTCACACCAAAATCGCAAATTTTGATTTGGCCCTTGGTGTTCATCAGGATGTTCGTAGGCTTTACGTCTCGATGGATGATGTTGTGCTCGTCCTTTAGCGATTTCAGACCTTGGGTTGTTGCCAAAGTAATTTTGCGTAGAACACCCTCGGGCACACCATCGCCATAAAGTTTGTCTATTGATCCTCCGGTCCATGAACTCCATGCAGATATACACTGCTCCTTCTTGGAAGAAGGCGCCATAAAAGTCGACAATGTAAGGTGATACACAGCGGTGGAGAACGTCCAACTCCATGATGATAGCAGCAAATTTGGAGTCGTCCAGCTCGAGCCGTACTTCCTTCATTGCCATGACGATGCCCGTTCCAGGGCCCGCCGGCTTTGCCGTCGTCGGGCTGGCCTCCTCATCGAAACCGGACCGTGATGGCGAGCCTGGCGCAGCCTTGTTGCCCGCCAAACCCTGGCCTGGCTTTCGCATCCGCGGTCTGCTGTGCCGGACCTTGTAGACTGTGCCGTAATTGCCCTTGCCAAGCTCGTCAAGGGTGTCGACTTCGTCTAACGAAATGCTGAATGAGGTGCCACTTGCGAATTGCACGCCTTCCGAGTTCAGGACGGCCTTGCCTGCAAATGTGAGACTGCCAGTCTTGGTGTCCAGGTACTCGGAATATTTGTCCATCATAGTCTCAGGCTTCTTTGGTGCGTCGTCTGCGGTGCCACCGTTCATTTGAGAGAGTGTCATCTTCGGCCTGCCCTTCTTGCCAGCAGGAGCGGGGGTTGCGGCAGGTGCGGCGCCTGGCAGACCACCGAGCCGCGGTGCTCCACGCTTTTCTGCCAGAGAGGGCTTCGGGGGGCCGCCCACGCGAGGAACAGCAGGCGCAGACTGGAAGCCGCCAGGGATACCAGATGCGCCCTAGAGGAGGCCTGAAGCCTTGCAGGTATACCCGCCCAGGGACTGCCGCCAGGGGACATGGGGCCCCGTTGATCCAGGGCTCTGGGGCAATGGCCCTCTTCCAGGTGCGCCATTGGGAGGTGCGCCTTGACGGCCCGAGATGCACTGCTTGTATCCTGGTCCAAGATGTCTTGTGAGACATTGAGGCCACTGCCACGACTAGAGATGGTGGGGGCGTTCGGTGGACGGGGGTTTCTTGCTGCGTTGATGTTGCCCAGAGGTGTGGAGGAGTAGGTCATGTTCGCCGTGGCGCCAGAGGTAGAGACGGTGCGGGGGACGGGGCGGTCGGCGGAGAGGGCTGCGTGCGCGGCATTGGCGGACGGGGGGCTCGAGGAGGCGGCGGGAGAGGATGGAGAGGGAGATCCAAAGGCAGTGTCTGAGTCGTACTCGGCATCGGGGGTGGTGCCGTCGGGGGTTGTTACGGGAGAGGCCATGGTGGAAGTGAGCGTACTGCAGCCTTGGGCTCTGCGGGGTCGCGATGTAGGAGCAAGACGGGCAGAAAAGAAAAAGGAATAGACGCAGGTGAATGCAGGTCAAAGGTGTGATGCACCTCTGCTCCACGAGCCGTTGCTAGTGGGGTTATCGTGGAGAAAGAGAGGTGTGGGTAGTGACGTCGACGGGCGTTTGGCGTGTGGGAGCTCTGATTTCACGGTGATGTCGACTAGCACGGCAGCACAAACGACACGGCATACAGGGGGTGCGCGAGGGAGAGCTAGAAAAGAACAAGTATTGCGGGCGCAGGATGCTGGACTGGCAGAGCAGAAAAGCCTGTATTTTTGCGACGGCCAAGGTGCTGTAAGCGGTTTTGAGCGAGCCTCGATGCGGCGGTCGCTGTCCCCAGAGCAAGACACGCGAGGAAGACGCGGGACTGCCACAGGAATTCCTCATCTGCCCGTTAGTGAGGTGCAGCGGCGTGATTGAGTGCTCGCGTAGCCTGTCCTCGCTCGTTCCGCGGCGAGAACAAGACCCAAAGCGGTGCAGCCCTAGCGCCTCGTCGCAATAGGGCCATTGATGAGCATTTGTGGCTCAGATATGTCCATGGAGCTTGATCGATACGCAGTTGCGCCGGGTGCTTGGCTTTGTTGACTGCAGGGCTGCCAGCCATTGCTTTTCCGCCGCAACTTTATTTACCACAGCCCCCGTCGCAATGGCCGCGCCGGCGCTCTCTTAAACTTGCCCTGCGCTGCTGTGACGTCGATCACTTGTGATTCGAAACGACATTTGAAGACAGTGCGTGCTTCACGATAGCCCCAAACATTTTCTCGACGGCCGCTCCTGCTCCCGCCAAACCACGACGGGCGACAGACGCCAGGCATCAACTATGCCTTTCTTCTCCAGCCCACAGGCCCTTCGCCTGCGCGACCTCCAGCAGACGTCCACCAACTTCGTCGCGATGAGCGCGCAATCATACGACTACGGCGGCAATGGCTTCATGGGCGCTTTCAAGAAGACGCACAGCGCGCACCCGGATTTCGCCAACCTCACCTTGCTGGTCTTTGAGGCGGTTATGGAAGTCGTCTGCGTGAGCTTGCCAGGCTACATCGTCGCACGCATGGGGCAATTCGACGCCGAGAACCAGAAGTTCCTCGCCAACTTGAATACACAGCTGTTCACTCCTTGTCACGATGAGAGGGGGGCTCTCGAGATGCACCACGCGAACCATACTAACCAAACAACCAGTCTTTACGAAGCTGGCCTCGCAGCTGACAGCCGATAAGCTATCCGACCTTGCCGTCATCCCCATCATCTTTGTCGTACAAACACTCGTATCCTATATCGCCGCCATTCTGGTGTCCAGAGTATGCGGTTTCAAGAAACGCGCTTCCAATTTTCTCATCGCCATGGCTGTACGATGCAACGCCCGCATGCTCAAAATTCTCAGCTAATTGCCCCAGGTCTTTGGCAACTCCAATTCACTACCCATCTCTCTCGTTATCTCGCTCTCGAAAACGCTATCAGGTCTCCATTGGGACAAAGTCCCAGGTGACAACGACAACGAAGTCGCTGCGCGTGGCATCCTATACCTGCTCATTTTCCAGCAACTCGGACAGCTAGTACGCTGGACGTGGGGGTTCAATGTACTCCTCGCACCCGCCACCTCATACTCGGAAGAAGATGGAGGAAAGAGCAGCGCTTTGGAAAACGGCGAATATGATGACGATGAGGCCCAGCACCTCTTGAGTGATTCGCAATCTGGTTACTATTCGGGAGATGTTACGAGCTACGAAACGTCACCGGACATCAGCGACTCTGGTTCCATCTCCGATCGTGAGGATGTTCAAGCCGACTCTTACTTTGCTACGCCAACAAACGGGAATGTTGTCGTTCCAGGGAACGGTGTCGTTAATGATCAGCCCAACGGCAACCTCGTGAACGGACATGCGAATGACTCCAAGCCATACAAAGACTCTGAAATTCCAAAAGGCATCAAGGGTTGGCCGAAGCGAACACGAAATGCTGTGCACAACGTTTCCACCTCCATCTCTAGGGCATTTTCTTGGTTCGGGCGCAGTATTTTCCAATCCTTGCCCAAATGGCTCCAGCAAATTCTATCGAAGATCTACAGAGGATTAGCCCGCTTCCTCAGCGGCTTGTGGGCTTTCATGAATCCGCCTCTATGGGCTATGCTGGTCGCTATCATTGTTGCATCGGTGCCGCAATTGCAGCACTTATTCTTCAGTCCAGGGTCCTTTGTTAGCAACTCAGTTACACGAGCTGTCAATCAAAGCGGGCAGGTAGCCGTTCCCTTGATTCTTGTGGTCTTAGGTGCTAACCTAGCACGCAACACATTACCCAAGGAGGACCCACACGCAATAGAAGACCCGAAGATGGAGAGGACACTCGTCATTGCGTCTTTGGTGAGTCGCATGCTCATTCCCACACTCCTCATGGCGCCGATGTTGGCTTTGACCGCAAAGTACGTCCCTGTCAGCATTCTGGACGACCCCATCTTCATTATCGTTTGTTTCCTCCTTAGCGGTGCTCCAACGGCACTCCAGCTCGCGCAAATCTGCCAGATCAACAATGTCTACATGGGAGCCATGTCGAGGATTCTTTTCCAGAGTTATGTCGTATGGATCCTGCCATCCACATTGTTGTTGGTTATGCTGGCTCTCGAGACTGTAGAATGGGCACAGGCAGTCTAATTTCTCGATGGTAGCACACCGTCAACACATTGTACTATTACCCTGGTGGATCGATAAGCTTGGATTTCATTGTAGCATTGCAGCGCGGCGTTGGGCACATGGTTGGACCCTGTATTTTCCTATAGCCTCGTAAAGGCCTACGGCGTCTTTGCGCGAAGATTCGTCGTACATAGATCACAATACCAAAATCACCTCGTTATCACGCGCCGTCCTCAAGAGTTCCTTTTGCCAATCACAGTCTAGGCTCAGTCCATCCAGTAGCCAGCCGTCTACAACTGGCTACCCCGTTATCAGCAGCGTCTTCTTTCAGGTTTGTGCTGTTTAGCGTCGAGGCCTGACGTAGCCCGCCAAGTCACTTGCGCCACGCCCAAATAACGGAGGCAGGTGCGACCAAGCAGAAACACAAGACCGCGGAGACTTACCATCGAGCGGGAAAATTTGCAGTCCTCATTCCTTTACCTGAAGATATTCAACTGTGTATACAGCTGTTTCTCTGAACTACATACCCTGCAGCTGCAACACCCTAACCGCCAATCGACTTGGCACGTGGACCCTTGGCTCGCGTACTCTTGCTAGCGTCCACCTGGTTACAAGCCTGGCCACTTGGATCACATGTCCACGCCTACTTCAAACACAACTCTTCAAACCCACACTTCGGGACGGCGATTTTCACACTTCATATTTCGGTTGCGCAGCAGGTCTAATCTCGCACAGCTTACACAGCTCCAAGGATCGTCAGCACCATTTCAGTCCTAGCCTACAATGGCGAGCTCTAATGAGGGGTCCGCGCCGGGAGGCAGCACCAATCGAAGTGAGCGCCCCGAGCTGGCAAGGAATATTACCGTGGATGATAGCACGTCACCGCGCTCAGCTGCAAAAGGTACGTTGCTCCTCTACCATGGCCTCCGATTGCACATATGCATGACCGAAACACCCCGCATTCTGTACAACCTGCAATTGGTTGAACGACGGACGATGCAGCCTGTTTGTCTCCAAAGACATCTTGGGAGACCGCATGTCTGATCCAATGTGTTATGTACTTGTCTTGACGAGTTACTCTTGACACTCGCAAGCAAGCCACATAAAGCGTGCAAATCCATTAGCATATGGTGTGCTACCCCTATTGAGCAATATGACTTCGTGATCCGCACAGCCCATCCCATTGCACCAAGATCCTCCATTGTCGAACAACTGCTTATACGTTCCCACACAGTGGTCACTTTCCCTGACGAGAGCATCTCACCACTCATCATTGGAAAGAACAAAGATCTTGAGCAGAAGGACTATCTTGATCTCGACAAGACCGCACGCCAGTATACTTCCAGTCTGAGCCGCAAAAGGCTCTCCGGCAGGCCATCTATTGAGCACCTGCCATCTTACAAGTCTCAGAGCCACGATGGCAATCCTTCTCTTTCTTCTCTTCTTTCAGACAGTTCTGCAGACGGTCATCACCACCATGATGGTCTTTTGAAGCAAGTCAGTGCTTGGATCAAACATGAACGAGCAAGGCGCACGGCACGAAAAGCCAAGCGAAAGGGCTCTGCCAAAGTTGAGCATGAAGACCATGAATCTACTCAAGATGTCGCCGAAAGCGTCGTAGAAACTACCAAGACTCGAGGAAGAAGTGGATCTCAATCATCCGACGGATCAGTTGCTCTCGATCAGCTAGCAAACATCTTGGAGAAAACATTGGCTATCAAGCCTGCTGACACGAAGAGGAAGTATGCTCATGTCCGTAAGCTCTCGACAGGCTTGAAGCGTCACTCTCTAGTCACGGCAGACTCAGATTACTTCGAGTCTGTAGATCAGCTTGTTCCAAACTGTGAAGCCATCCTTGACAATTCGAAAACAATGGCGTACACTACCGACACCCCAGAGCTCGAGCCAGTCACTGAGAAGTCTGCCAAGAAAGCACGCAAAGAGAAAGAAGCATGGGACACGTTCAAGTTTGAGATTCTACGCATCGCGCATACACTACGACTGAAGGGCTGGCGGAGAGTACCATTGGATCTCAGCGAGCAGATGGACGTACAGAGGCTGAGCGGCGCATTGACGAATGCTGTCTACGTTGTCTCGCCGCCTAAAGACCTTCCTTCGCAAGCTGAGGGTGCAGATGGTGTCCCCAAGCCCAAAAACCCGCCGCCGTAAGTTTGACATATATGTATAAAGTCTCACGTGTTTTAACGAGGTACAGCAAGCTTCTGCTCCGCATTTACGGCCCACAGGTAGAGCATCTTATCGACAGAGAATCCGAGCTCAAGATCCTGCAACGTCTTGCACGCAAGCGCATCGGCCCACGTCTGCTCGGCACGTTCACAAATGGACGTTTCGAGGAATTCCTCCATGCAAAGGCACTCACTGCGAAGGAACTGCGCGAGGTCGATACCTCGAAGCAGATTGCGAAGCGTATGCGTGAGCTCCACGAAGGCATTGATCTTCTCAGGGAAGAGCGAGAGGCTGGGCCCTTCGTATGGCAGAATTGGGACAAGTGGGTCCAACGTTGTGAGCAGGTCGTGACATGGCTTGACCAGCAAATCAAGGATAGCGACCCGGAATCAATCCGAAACCCAGCAGACAAGTGGAAGAAGAGGGGACTGGTGTGTGGCGTGGAGTGGCCTGTCTTCCGAGCAACTGTCGAGAAGTACAGGAAGTGGCTCGAGGAGCAATACGGTGGCATCGAAAAGATCAACGAGCGACTGGTGTTTGCACATAACGATGTAAGTCATCTGCGAGTGAATTTTGTGAATGTGACAGCTGATTGGTCACGCTCTAGACGCAATATGGAAACATCCTCCGCATGGTCCCAGAGGGCGAATCACCTCTCTTGTTGCCAGCAAACAAGCACAAGCAGCTCGTGGTCATTGATTTCGAATACGCAAACGCTAATTTACCTGGTCTTGAGTTTGCCAACCACTTTGTAGGCCTCTCCTCAACTTGACACCGGCTGCTTATATATAGAACTCTTTATCATATGTAGAACAGCGCTGACGATAGCCTAGACCGAGTGGGCATATAATTACCATGATCCTGACTACTCATGGCGATGCAACACCAAGTACTACCCAACGCTTGAGGAGCAGCATCGATTCATATGCTCCTACCTGCTGCACACACCTGCATACCGAGCACCTGGAGGTTCCGCTTCAAACCCATCCACTCCGCATCTTGGACCGCTCCCTACATCTGGTAGCACCACTGCACTCACTGCCACTGCTGCACCCAACACAATCTCGGAATTCATGCTTGACTCCCGTGCACCGCCTGGGGAGAAGTACTCCGAGCAAGAGGCTCAACGTGAGCGCCAGACAGAGGAAGAGGCTAAGCGTCTGATGGCTGAGACCAAGCTCTGGCGTCTTGCCAACTCGGCAATGTGGGTAGCCTGGGGCATCGTGCAAGCCCACGTCCCTGGTTTGCCCGACTTCGACGCAGAAGAGAAGCGCGCCAGCGGCAACGAGAACGCGGCGGGGCTTGATGGAGCAACGACCGAGATGCGCGCAGAGGCAGAGGCAGAGGCAGAAGAAGAGAAGAAGGCAGGAAGCGTGAGTAAAGAGAAAGTGGGAGAGACAGAAATTGCAAACATTGGAGCTGAACAAGATGCTGACATTTACAAATCACAGGATGAGGAGGAGTTCGACTACCTCGCGTATGCGCAGGATCGCGCCATGTTCTTGTGGGGCGATGCCATACGTATGGGTATAGTCAAGGCTGAGGAGTTGCCCGCGGAATTGAGGGCCAGAGTTAGGACGGTGGAATACTAGGGGCTGAAGGAAGTGAAGTTCATACAAATGTCTTCAACAGTAGAGATGTGAATCCGACATTGATTGTCTGGTCTTAATCCCAACAGTGGGATGCTAGATACTACTCGAAATCACAATCTGTAACATAGCGGCCGTCGGCTTGATTCGATTCGACTCCCTTCGAAGGGTGACGCGTGCGCGCCCTGCTTGAAACAGTAAAGCAGGACCAAATATGATTTCACTTTAACGTGATATTGAAGCACCCTGCACTGTCAAGTGATTTCCATGTTGTTCCACTACAACATGATATTGAAGCACACCCCACAATCAAATGATTTCCATGTTATTCTGTGACCTGTGAGCCTTGCGCAGTACCCTTGAATGTATTTTTCATCAGGCTGGACATCCGCTACTGCTTGCAGCCCAAGGCCGTGTAGTATTGCCGGTGAAGATGCTCCATAATGGGCATACTAACGGCCACGTCGCGCGCCCCATTGTGAACACTGGACGCTGACTCGATGCCTGATGTTGGTCGAGATGGACCCTGGACTAGGTCGCTGCCGTATCCGTCATAGTGGGGCGACAACGTCACTGGTTCGCGGCCCAGTTTCGGGAACGTGCTCGAAAGTTCCAACAGGGCAGAAGTCACGACAGGCTACGAGAAAGCTCAAGATCTAACTGGTCACTGCCTGAGTCTTCGAGAATCAAGTCTTTGAGGGTATATTAAATCCTCGAGGCTGCCTTGACGTCGTCACTTTTGCTTCTCAGAGATACCCAGTACACTAATACTGTACACACTGCACAACACAATACCCCACCATAGACTCACGCTACCACAACAGCATTGGCTCAACCATTCCACACGGCCGTAGTCACTAATCATAATGACTTCGTTCGACGCCTATACGGACCGCGCAGCCAAGGCGCTGGCCGACAGCTTCGAGCTGGCCAAGGGCTATGCACACTCACAACTCACACCCATCCACCTCTCAGTGTCGCTGATAGATCCGCCGAAGGACCTCGCAAACCAAATCGACGTTCCCCCACCGCCGCTATTCAAGCAGGTCCTCGAACGCGCAAATGGCGACGCACAACTATTCGAGCGCTCTCTCAAGAAGGCATTGGTACGGTTACCAAGCCAAGATCCTCCGCCAGAGCGCACGTCGCCCTCACCTGCTATGGCCAAGGTCCTCCGTGCGGCTGAAGACTTGAGCAAGACACAGAAGGACAGCTTCATCGCCGTCGACCACCTCATCATGGCACTCTGCCAGGACGCGTCGATACAACGATGTCTCGCCGAATCCAACGTCCCAAACACTAAGCAGATCGACAACGCCATCCAGGCACTCCGAGGAACCAAGCGGGTAGACTCAAAGACGGCAGATGCAGAGGAGGCCAACGAGAATCTCAAGAAGTTCACAATAGACATGACGGCAATGGCACGAGAAGGCAAGATTGACCCGGTCATTGGCAGAGAAGAGGAGACTCGACGAGTTGTCCGAATTCTGTGCAGACGAACCAAGAACAACCCTGTTCTCATTGGAGAGCCCGGTGTCGGTAAGACTACAGTTGTCGAGGGTCTTGCCCGCCGCATCGTCGACGCAGACGTGCCAGCCAACCTGGCCGCCTGTAAGCTGCTCTCTTTGGATGTTGGTGCCCTGGTCGCCGGCAGCAAATACCGTGGAGAGTTCGAAGAGCGCATGAAGGGTGTCCTGAAAGAGATTGAGGAGTCCAAGGAGATGATAGTATTGTTCGTGGACGAAATCCATCTGCTCATGGGTGCTGGTTCTTCCGGAGAAGGTGGCATGGATGCTGCCAACTTGCTCAAGCCCATGTTGGCTCGTGGACAGCTCCACTGTATCGGTGCGACAACGCTCGGCGAATACAGGAAATACATAGAGAAGGACCAGGCTTTCGAGCGACGATTTCAGCAGGTCCTTGTCAAGGAGCCGTCGATTCCTGAGACCATCTCCATCCTTCGTGGTCTCAAGGAGCGATACGAAACCCATCACGGAGTCAATATCATGGACGGAGCTATTGTCTCCGCCGCTACATTGGCTGCTCGGTACCTCACACAGCGTCGTCTTCCCGATTCAGCTGTCGATCTCATCGACGAGGCTGCTGCAGCCGTTCGAGTCAGCCGAGAGTCACAGCCAGAGGCCTTGGACAACCTCGAGCGCCGTCACCGACAGCTGCAAATCGAAATCCACGCTCTATCTCGTGAGAAGGATGAAGCTTCGCAGCAGCGTCTGAAGGAAGCACGAGCAGAAGCTGCTAACATTGAGGAGGAGCTCAGACCACTTCGCGAAATGTACGAGAAGGAGAAGGGCCGCAGCAAGGAGATCCAAGAGCAGAAGCAGAAACTCGACGGTCTTAAGACCAAGCTCGCCGAGGCAGAGCGTATGCGCGACATCCAGACAGCCTCTGATCTCAAATACTACGCCATCCCTGACGTCGAGCAACGCATTCATGACCTCGAGAAGGACAAGGCCAAGGCAGATGCTGAGATGTATGCTCACAGTGCTGGTGACAATCAAGGATTCCTCAGCGACAATGTCGGTCCAGATCAGATCAACGAGATTGTAGCACGCTGGACCGGTATCCCAGTCACGCGACTCAAGACCACCGAGAAGGACAAGCTGCTCAACATGGAGCGCCACCTCGGTGCCATTGTCGTTGGCCAGAAGGAAGCTGTACAGTCTGTCTCCAACGCTATCCGCCTTCAGCGTTCTGGTCTCGCCAACCCTAACCAGCCACCTTCCTTCCTCTTCTGCGGTCCATCAGGTACCGGTAAGACGCTTCTCACCAAGGCGCTCGCCGAGTTCCTCTTCGACGACCCCAAGGCCATGATCCGCTTCGACATGTCCGAATATCAAGAGCGCCACTCCCTCAGCAGGATGATCGGAGCACCACCCGGCTACGTCGGCCACGACGCGGGCGGCCAGCTCACCGAAGCCCTCCGTCGCAAACCCTTCTCCATCCTGCTCTTCGACGAAGTCGAAAAGGCCGCCAAGGAAGTCCTCACCGTCCTTCTCCAGCTCATGGACGATGGCCGCATCACCGACGGCCAAGGCAGAATCGTCGACGCAAAGAATTGCATCGTCGTCATGACATCCAACCTCGGCGCCGAGCACTTATCCCGCCCCAACGCGCCCGATGGCAAGATCGATCCCACCACCAGGGAACTTGTCATGGGCGCCCTGCGCAACTATTTCCTGCCTGAGTTCCTCAATCGTATCTCCTCCACTGTCATCTTCAACCGCCTCACCAAGCGCGAGATCCGCAGCATCGTCGACGTTCGCCTTGCGGAGATCCAGAAACGGCTGCAGGCTAACGGGCGCAATGTGCGTATTGAAATGACCAATGAGGTGCGTGATTATCTGGGCTCCGCTGGATACAGTCCTGCGTATGGAGCTAGGCCGCTTGCGCGCTTGATCGAGAAGGAGGTGTTGAACCGCATGGCGGTGCTCATCCTCCGCGGCGCGATCAAGGATGGAGAAGTTGCGCGCGTGGTGCTGGATGATGGACATATTCTCGTCTTGCCGAATCATTCGGACTCGGAGGAGGATTCAGATATGTATGATGAAAGCGATGCGGCGGCGGAATTGGATGCCGATGATATGGATGAGGATCTGTATGATTAGATGGGCAGTAAGGAGATGCATCGTTAAGCATGGAGTTTTGGGCGTTTGATGGATATAGGGATGAATGAGTTATGAATGATGGATGAAATGCAAAACGGTAGATGCTGAGTAGGCGTTTTGGGTCGGTGTGATTTGAGTAACATGGCATCTGTGTATATAGTAATGAACAACTACATATACCTACACTTGAGCCCCCTCGTGTTGTGTGACAGCCGGCAAACCCATATGGGTGGCTTGCTTTTAGATTAGCATGGTCAAGCGAGACATCACAATGGCACCGCAAGTCATCCAAAGTGTCGTGAAATGTCATGAGCTTTTTGTCATTTCTTCGTCTATCGTCGCTATGACGGCCATCATAGGCAGGAACGTAGCCTGCCTAAGCCGGGGTATATGCATCCCACCTCATCATATTCCGCGCAACCTAGTAGAAGAAACCGAGAATCTTTCCAGCAACGTGCTTCCTGCGGGCCTCCTCGTGGTCCATGATGCCGGCCGAGGTGGTGAGGACAATGTAACCGAATTGACGCGAGGGCAGCAGCTTGACGACCCACTTCTCCATGTCGCGGAGCTGGACGTTGTAGCGGGGCGAGATGACACCGGTCTTGTTGATGCGGCCGTTGAGCTGGATGATGATCTTGCCGTTGCGGTGGTCGTCGACCTCCTCGAACTCGCCAATGTAGCCTGGTGGACAGAATTAGTATATGTTGCGGCCAAATAAACATCAGACATCATGGAAGGGTTCCGAAGACGTGTAAGTTGTACGCAGGAAATTCAATGTATCGGACACTTAAAGGACAAAGATCGTGTAACGCGAAATCATTGTCTAGTTATCAGCCCGAAGAGCAGCGCATATACCGCGCGCTTGGTGGAAGAACAGAAGGGTAGGGATGGGAAGGACGTTGGAACTGTGAGAGAGGAGAGAGATTTGGACATACCGTGACGCTGCATGACAGTCAAGAACTTGACAATGACCTTGGAGGACGGGCGGATCAGGACCTGGCGCTTGCCAGCCTTCTCGGCGTTGTTGATAGCATTGAGGCAATCGTTGAGGACGGAAGTCTTGACCATTTTGGCGGTTGTCTAAGATTCTCAATGGCTGAGTAGCAACTGAGGTATCTGCAAAAAAAAGTTGGTTAGCCTCCAGATGGCCAGAGCGTGGAGAGTGCCCTCAGTGCGCGTGCAGACATGAGGGTTCTTCAGCTCTTGTCGCAACGGAGGGAGCAGTGTCGCAGCGTCATCCGCAAGGATGCGTGCGATTGCTCCTCCTGGCTCTCTGCAGGGCACTCGGCGGCGGAGTAGACATACCTCGTGGATGTGCGGGTGGGTTGGCGGAAGAGGATGGAGGCGTGCAAAGTTCGAGATTTGAGAGTCGCGAAATTGCCCGTGGGTTTCTCGCCTAGCGGTGCTTGGCAGGAGCGGACCCTGGCGCGCTGCTGCACCGACCTCGCAGAGCACGCGCCAGCCTAGAACACCACCTCGAAGCACTTCAGATGTTGATATACCTTTTTCTGCTGCGCATATCGTGCCTAGACCGCCGACCGGAGAGGTTATAGGTGATGTCCAGCGATATGGATGAGCGTGGTCTCTGTCACGCGTGCACGTGGAGGCATGGGCGACTAACCATTCTAGTCATGACGTAGCATTCATTCGCCCCCAGTATCACTTACTCCCGCGCATACTATTTCCTAGTGTTGTAGTCACTCGAAGTATACATCTCACGATACCATCATGTCTGAAGCTTGTTGCACTTGCGCGGCGCTGTTGTCGTCGATACCACCAACATACGATGAGAAGACGGAAAAGCCAACACAGTTCGAGCGCCGTTTGGAATGCTGCGGTCGCGCTATATGCGCTCGATGCCTGACCGACAATCCTCGATTTGTGGACTACTGTCCATTCTGCCAGATAGCAACCGGACCATCACCGCTACCGCCACAAGGTCTCAGCGAGCCTCCTACATACTCGCCACCAGACGAGCAAGCAGATGATGAACTTCCAGCATACTCGGCCCACAACTCACTACAGCCGCCACCAGAGAAACCGACGAGCAGCTCAGAAAATGCGCCCGATGTGCTACACTTCGTCGACCCGAACAACGACACCATAAGCTCGCTGTCACTGAGATATGGCGTGCCCGCCGATGCACTGCGCCGAACGAACAAGATGTACGCAGACCATCTATTGGCAGCGCGGAGGACGATCTTGATACCCGGGGAGTTCTACAAAGGCGGAGTTAGTCTTAGTCCGCGGCCGCTCGAGGGCGAAGAGGAGGAGATGAAGAAGACCAAGCTGCGCAAGTTTATGGTTACTTGCAAGGTCTCGGAGTAGGAACTACCCTTGAAAGATCGATGTTCATGAAAGACATGCTGACTGGAAGGCAGATACGATGTTGCTCTCCTGTACCTCGAACAAGCAAACTACAACCTTGAGCAAGCGACTTCGGCATACAAAGCGGACGAGAAATGGGAGCAAGACCATCCTCTACAGGCTGCGAAACAAGGAAAGGCGAAGGCATCACCAAGTACAGGACGGCGGAAGTGGGGCTTTGGAGGGGGACTCGCGGGCCAGCTATCATAGCATGTCCTCGGGTCGGCACTCGAATCTTACGAGGGCACTTCCGGGCCAGTATACATGGTGCCAAATCAGCTGGAAGCTCTCCATGTCAAATACATGTATCAATAGGTAGGAATTTTGTAATGTCGCCGGCACACTTCGCACCACTGTTTTCCATCATACAGCACTTGAACTCTCCTGCGGACAAATACAACTTACTCAAAGCATGGTGACTGACGATTATTGAGACCTGAACATATTGAGCACATATTACTGATTTGAACCAGGCCACCCACCACTGGAGCCGGACTCGATACTCTCTGCCCAACACGTCGGCTATTCGAGTCGCAAACAACCTCGGCCACCCTTCGAGTACGAGCAAATTACACACTAAATAACACTGTTAGCAATGCTCGCGTGACAAAGACCCAGACAATTCAAAGCCGGAGTAAAACCACTGGAGCTTCTTCGGTCATCGAGCTCGGAGCGACGCGCGAGAACGGCAGAATCTTTATCGACAAGCTTTCTAACAAGCGATACTACGAGATTCATCCTTCAAAGTATCCCTCTAACCTCGCCCCACTCCCAGATTGGAGGAAGCCCAAGAAGACCGAACACCTCTTCAGGAAAGCAAGTGAGAAGGTCGTCTTGAAGTCACTCACGGGAACCAACATTTCGCCAATCGACACCCAGGTCTCATCGAGAAAAGGATGTAGCTTTGTCACCAGCTACTCCTTCAAAGACACCAAGGAGGGTGAGACCACGGCAATATATGCTCCAGGCAATCCTCCGTTATACAAGAAGCCGCACAAGGACGAATTTCCCATCGAGATCCCAACCGACAAGGGTCAATACTACATCGATGAGCACGCCGGTCGCTGTCCCGGGTATCAGTATCTACCAATGCTCCTGTCTATACTCGTCACGAACCCTAACTTCCGCTTCGACAAGCAGAAGATCAACGTGGTTGTGAACCGATCAAGCCTGGAACAATTGATCAAGTTTATTAAGGGCGCCCCAGACCAGCCCTACCACCTCGAGCTCACAATTGAGGGTGACACTCTCTTCATCGGCAAAAAGGGAAGCTTCAAGGGCTCGTCTGCCAAGGGCTCGTGTGGTCGGAACTTCGAGAAGTGGCTCACGACAGAAGACCCAGACCTCGAGAACGCAACTGGACACCACTGCTTCATCAAGTACCAGTTCGGCGACTTGGTCATGATCGTCCGGTTTGAAGTCGACGCCTACATCGCTGAGGAGGACGTTCCAGAGGACGCTGACCTCCCTCCATGTCACTACCCCGACGTCCCAGAACCTGCTCTTCCCGCAGTTGAGCTCGAGCATTCACTTTGCACTGTCATTCCCAAGGGCACGCTCGTCAAGCAAGAACAGCTCAAGGAGCTCAAGAGCGGCGTCCAGAAGCGACCACTCCAGGAGCTGTGGTTTGGCCGCACACCGAACATTTTGGTCGGCGGCAAGGGCCAGTACAACGAAGAGGACGGAGGTTATGCCACTTATGTCTGGCAACGGTTCAAAGACGAGTACGTTACTCAGAAGGGCGACAAGGACTTCGAGGACTGGGAGCAGGATCAGCAAGGGAAGAATGCTCAGGCGCCCAACGAGTACTTGGAGAGGCTGGCAAAGCTTCTACATAAGCTCATCGAGACGACCAACGAGGCGAAGGATCGCTCGGCGGTGCTGGTCTGTATGGGTGTTGTCAAGACGCTCGACGTATATGAGGCGAAGGAGCGGATCGAGGTGGCGCCCAAGGACATCATTGCCAAGTTCTGGAGCAAGGATAGTGAAAGATGAACTAAATGTTGAGGGGTTTGAAGACGGTTGCTGGAGGTTTGCGTTTGCTCTTTCATTTGTTCAGCATAGCTTGCGTTATATACCCCCTTGGAATTCGGAGCTGACACACCAGCACATAGAGCATGTAGTGACACTTTGTCACCTGCTCTTCATAGCCAGCAGTTGTTGAACAAAATCACTGGCACGTCCTCAATAACCATTTTACAAAAAAAAAGGTCTATTTACCTTTTGTGTACTGCGAATATATCAAATGTGAATCTCCGAAATACCTTTTTGCATCACGACTAACATCCGTTACCTCGGGCATGTAAATACTCCCAGTCGAATCATGTCAAGGCCGCCAACAATAAGAGTCAAATACTCAAAAAAAGCCATCTTGTGCCCACGAGTACTTTTCTATCAACAATACATCTCGCCAATATAACCCTAGATGGTAGTTCCCTGGACATGCCACCATCGCACACCATCTGACACTACCACAATAACGGATCAGCCCATCCGACTTACCCAGAAACCTCGCGCCCATAACCCGTATTTACCATCCACCCCACCACCCAAATCCCCCTTTCCCATGTTCCTCACACCCTTCTTAGTCCCACCTCCACCCAACCAATCACATCTCCACACGCCTAAGCGCCCAGCCACACTCCTCCCTCTACGCGCCGACACTGCATTCCCGGGTTTCACATGTTCCGCTGAACCAGCGTTCGCTCTATCATTCGCTCCTCCAATGGTGCGCCATCACCAGGCTAGCTCACACGAAGAATATACGATCGTCGCTGTGCAGCATGGGAAATTGTGGGCTAATAATGCGGATGGGGTAAGTGCATGCATGTTTGCGGTAGGATGGGTGGAAAAAAGGGAGTTAAATGGCTATTTCGGGCTTCGCATGCAGTGTTACGCGCCGGCTTGCAATTGGCCCCAAAAGTAGCTCGGGGGCGTGCAGGAAAACAGGTGCGGGCGGCAAAAAGGTAAATTAGCGCTAATATTCAAACTATTCTTGTGTATGGGTGTGGGATAGGGTGGGAGGTGAGCGCTTCGAAAAGAGGACGTGTTAAAGACGATTCATATCCCCTTTGCTTGATTTCTTCCAGCTCACATCCAGGCGAAAAGTCAGATCTTCAATCGCAGGTCCTTTTTTCATTGTTTCGTTTTTTTCCGTCCAGTCGTTCTTTTCTGGGTGCTTAGGTTGATCCTTTACACACATATACGAATATCTTCTTGTTCATACCGACCGACTCGCGAAAATGAAGGTCAACCCGGCTCCGCTACACTTGGCCCAGACCATCATCACGGGTCTCGTTATCGTGTTTAGCATTTGCATCCTGGGTACTGCGGCGCACACACTCGATGTGTACAACAAGCAACATGCCTCGAACCCATGGTGGGCGCCGCTGTGGTCCCAGCACTTCGACACGCACGGGACGAAAGCGCTGATCGCATCCGCGGTTGTTACGTTAGTCTTGTCAGGCGTGTTTCTGGTCATGTCTGTTGTACCCAAGGTAAGCTTGCAACATGCCACATGGATCTACCTGTCCATACTAACAACATCGCAGTTCGCCCTGCGCCAGAAATACACTCTCCGCGCCCTCATCTCCCTCGGCACGATCCTGCCTTCCTTCCTCCTGACGCTCATGACCGTCGTCTGGGCACACATCCTCAACCGCAACGCCCCCGAGCTCGACACGATCCAGACGTGGTCGTGCAGATACGCCAACAGCGCGCCGGGCCCGCAGACGAGCAGTGTGCCGAGCCATCTGAGCAACGAGAGCTTCAAGAGCGTGTGCCAGGAGGGCCGGTTCGCGCTGTACGGAACGCTGGTGGTGTTCTTGCTGTTGGGGGTTAGTATGGTGGTTACGATGGTGACGTGGTTGGCGGATAAGTGGGCGGCGAGGCAGGCGAGGAAAGAGGGTGTCGAGACTATCAGTATGACGACTAAGGCGTGAGGTGGTGGGGTTTGGTGGTTGTGAGGATGGATTGTTGGAGGAAGATGAGATGTCCTATCTGAAGGGGTGAAAGGTTTTTGGTCATCCTGGGCATGAGCTGATATCCGACTTTTCGCGGCGCACGGGTTTGGGAGCTCGGATCTGAGCTGGCATCATGTGTGCATACATCGTGCGATTCTTCTTCATCGTCGATGATTCTTGTAATGAAAACAATTAAGTTCTCTTGCTCAGCGGAGTAGACTTTTCGTGCGGTGAGATGATCGGCGATGTGTTGCGATGTTTTTCGGACACAAGTCCTGGTTGACCGGCGTGGTATGGGGTTCTTGATGCATCTGAACAGCTCACTATGTCGCCGCGATACAAATTGGTGCTGTATAGCTCTTGTACGAATTGCAGCGGCCACAAGCCTCGTTGTCAACAAGCACGGGCAACGCCATTGACGTAGGTAAACATGGCAACAACACTGGTTGCTCTCTGCTCCAAAGTTTCTATATTTGGGCCTCCGCGAAGCAAATGTTAAAGATTTCGAGACGTCACTCTTCGGTGTCAGACTGCGGTGGGTTTGCTGATCTAAGCTCGGGATAGATTTGCCAACAGCGATAGCCCTGGCGATGCTGGCGATCGGAAGTGTACGAAATGTCGATCGGCAAGCGGGACTGTCGCCCTTGACAGTGTCAGCAGCACATGACCATTTTGGCTTTTGGCAGGCAGACAACCAAGGACGGCGTGCGTGGTGGGTGTTTGAGAGTTGTTTCGTGACAGGGCTTGTCCAAGCGAGGCAAATTGACATGCTTCTCGAAGCCTGCGAGTGCATGGGGGCGCTAGTGTCGGGAACAAGCACACGATGACGGGATCGGCGGACCAACGCGAAGCCAAATCACGGAGGGAGTCGATCATGGAAGGCCAGGCCAGGCCCTCGCCCGTGAGGATCAGCACCCAACGCCGCAGCGCCGCAGTGCAGTGCAGTACATCAAGACCAACTGCCGCTGCTGGAGTCTGACTGTGAACTGTGAACTGTGAACTGTCAACTGTGACCTCTGACCTGACTGCCTACCTGCTGCTGACGTTGCCATGGTATTTTAGCTGCAAACTAATCTGTTGCGCACTTGCCCATGACAAGACTTGCAAGTCATTGATTGCGCCACACCCCGGATCCCTGCATCATTCCGTACCTTTGGGGGCCAAAGGTTCTTACCGCGTCAGTGCATTATCGTTGGATCGCTCCACTGCAGCAGATATTCCCCTCTTTCCAGGCGTCTGCACCGGAACATGCACACGACACAAGAAGACGCCCACCGCAGCAAACGACACCTCACCCAGCCCGCCATCACCGACTTCTTCCCCATAGACGAGACCTTCGACTTCGACGCACCCTCCCACAACGACACCACAACCCCCGACCGACCAACCCTCGCTCCCCACGTCCCCGGCGCCGTCCAAGCCGACCTCATGCAAGTCGGCATGCGTGTCCGCAAAAGCGTGCCCGAGGGCTACAAGACGCACGCCAACAAGATGATGGCCCTGCCCTCCATCTCCACCACCATGACCTCCACCATGACCCTGACACCCCCGCCCACCAATCCCGCCAACGTCGTGCACCAGCGCGAACTCCTGCCCTTCTGCGGCCTGCACAAAATCGGCGGGTTTGCCGACCAGCCCACCACCAACATCCACCTCTACACAGGCGAAGCCGACGTCGACGCCCGCGACATGTGGCTCCCTGCCCGCCGAGACATTCACACAGCCGTTCCACTCGTGCTCCCAGGACTCGGGGTACGGCTCCATCCGCGCGAATGCGAATCCGAGCAAGAGGAGCTGGCACGATGAAGACGAGCTGAGGCTGGATCTGAGCACGAGTTCTTTTGCGTTTGGGAAGCAGGCGCAGATCGAGATCGAGGAGGTGCCCGTTAGTCCGTTGAGCGAGATACCCGAGGACATGATGCCCGCGGTGAGGCAGATCAAGCAGCCCAAGTCGAGGAGGAGAGAGGGCGAGGGAGGGAATGAGCCGCTCAGAGTGGCGGTCGGGAGCGGGAGTGATTTCGACGAGGCGGATTTCCTGGGCTCAGGGGAGGTTGTCATGGGTGGGGTGTGAGTATACTCACCCTTGGCCGAGGCATCATCTCTTCTCTCTCCCTCTTTCTTCTCTTCTTGTCTAGACCTTTTCGTTTCCTTGTTCACATTCTCTTTTAAGCATCTCACGACGCTCCATGATGGAGTCTTACGTCTCCTATGTTTCATCTCTGCGCAAGCGATCGGCACGCATGGCGTTCATGTTGGCGCAAGTTATACCCGGTTCTGCTCAGCATAATGTTTACATGACGAAAACAATCTACGCTACTTCATATTACACTCAACTTCAACTTGTCTCAATGGACAGTGGCTGTCTTGGATTCACCTTCACCTCGCACGGAACAGTCCCTGTGCCGAAGAATTTTGCCCTCACACCTCACTTCACCGCTGAGCGCTCTTTGCCAAGACCGCAACCGTTTGCACAGGCTTGCAAATTATGACCTAACCTTCCGCACCTTCGCCTTTGCTTTCAACTTCAGTCCTTGCCCATAAACAATCATGAGCGACAACACAGATGGGCCCCCGCGCAAGAAAGTGCGCCGTGCGATGGAAGATGGCCCTGAGTAAGTAGTATGCCAAGTTGCTATAACTTTTTTTTCTGCTGATATCATACCACCAGACTCAGGTCAAGGCCCGTCCTCATTCTCGTCGGTGACATCCAAGAAGAGTACCACATTCATGAGAACATACTGCGTGGTAGCTCCAGCTTTTTCGACAACGCGTTGAAGAAAGAGTGGAAAGAGGGCCAAGACCGAGCTATCGATCTGCCCGAAGTGAACAACGAGGCGTTCAGCATATGGATCAAATGGCTCTATTCTGGCAGCATCTTCGTGGTCCGTCCAGACGATTGTCCGAGTGATGGAAAATCGAGCAAGGAAGCTACAAGATGGGGTAATTGTTACGCTCTGGGCGACTATCTCCAAGACGCAGACTTCAAGGACGCCTGCATTGACGTGATGATCGAGCGCATGCTCTGCAGTCAAAACCAAGCATATCACCTTCCTGCCATGATCTATACTTGTTCGACACAGGATTCAAATCATCGCACTTTCGTCGTCGACATTTTCATCAATGTCACGGGCCGGACGGAGTGGGCCAAGAATGTATCACAGCCGCAACAGTTCCTTTTCGACGTTGTCAAAGCTATTGGCCCAAAGCTTGGCTCCGGCATGAACGAGCAGACTTACAACCAGTTCTTCAACCTGGATGACATTTGCAAGTACCACGACCACGGACCTGACAAGCCTTGCTACAAGACCAAGCCCGCCTATCGTTTCTAAAGAGACGCACGAGCAAGATGCGCTCAAGGTGAGTGATAAGCGCACATTGCTTGTCAAATCTTTCTAATCGAAACAGGAACACGTCGCGCTTTTTCTGACCTAGCATGCTTCGCAAAGTGCCGTCGCTGCTTCTTTCCAACCCTCTCGGTGCCTCATCGCACACTGCACGTTCAACACGTGTATCGGGACGGAACTTGGACAGTATCTAGAGAACGGAACAAGGTTGAAAGGTCAAAGGAAGTTCAGTAGTCGAAGCTAGATGCGCATACGTATGAAAATTACATACCTCTTCCATCACCTTTCCTCCACTCTCGTGCACACCGCTTCCATTCAGGCAGTCTTCGCTGGTGTATCCTTTGGACATTCCACATCGGCGAACAACATCACCATGGAGCTACCAAAGAAGAAGATGTGTCTCTCACGCCAGCACATCGCGTTATACACATACTAACCCATCCCCTCAAGCATCACTTCCAAACTCGTCAAGGCGCTTGCCGGCCGCGACTCCTCAAGCTAGCAACACGTCGACATCCACGAGGGCCTACTACGCCACAACTCAGCCTTCTACAACAACGCTCTCAACAGCGCCCAGGCCCAGAGCCCCAGCCGGCGCGTCAAAAAACCCGAAACCAATCCCGACATTTTCGAGATCTGGGTCGAGTACGCATACACCCGACGCATCTTCATCAACCAGCCCGGCAAAGACACAATCGAGCATCTCTGGCTCCGCTGGTCCGCATGCTACGCTATCCTCCAGTGCCCAGACTTCCTCGACGCTTGCATCGACGCATGCTTCGAGATCCTCTCGGACACACTCGCGATGCACAAGGAATTGCCGGGTTGGATCTAGTGCTGTAGCAGGTAGCCCATCTCATGGCCTGAAGGTATAGATGGTATTACGAGGCCTTTGATACCGACTTCAGTATCCTGGGTATAGCTTCAGGCTATCATATCGCCTCTGCTACTTTCCGTCGTCAGCTATAGGCGGTCGTTGATGCCAGTCTGTTGATACCTCAATTCGTTGTCGCAGAGTTTTTATAGCGACCCCTTATGTGGTGGCAACGTCCCATCCAGTCCATTTGAACAGTGCCCTATACCTCTCCGCTGTGACCAAAGCTATATGCACCATCCCAAGTCTAACGCGCGATCGACGATTACCTCGACTGTGAGTATGGATGATGCAAAACGAAATAGTCGTGGTCAGTGAATGATCAACCTGAGGAGATTGGATAGATTATGCAGAACCTTGGCATTGAATTGCCTAACTGTGATACGGTACAACGTAGCACTCTTCTGAGACAAGTCATAGCACACAGCGATATGTGGACGATATGGAAGGAGATGACGCACTTAACCTGACCTTGACCATTCGGCCGAGGAGCAGACTCACTCTAGTCAACAGGATCAGCAAGTCGTTCTTGGCTTTGATAGCCACAATGAAGTTCTCTGGTCTTGTTGGTTCTGATTGGCAAGAAGGTGAGAACGCGGGACAGCAAAAGTAAAGACTTGGCATCATGAGGATAGACGGTTCATAAGCCCACTACGGCAGCGTCGGGAGTTGAAGTTCGAGAACCGTCGGGTCAAGTCCTTCTTCGTAACACGATCGGCCAGTACGATTTCTACGATCGGACCCTCGATCCATGGGATCCATCACTGGGTGAAAGAATCTGTACCAGAAGTCGACCTGCATCCAGGCTCTCAAAACAGCACATCTTGGGACAACCACAGATGCACGAGATTTCTAGCGATGTCCCAGGCGACGTGCGCGAGTAGCAAGAAAGAGCAATCGAGGTCCGGCTGTGTTTCCGTAGGGGATATCTAGCGAAGCTCTACCCAAGAAACAAAACGGAGTTGGCGGTCGCAGGGTGGGACATCCTCCAGGGCTTCACCGGCAAGCAAGTGTTCGAACACTGTCTCACACTGACCCAGTATGTAGCAGCGCTATCCCCAATAAGCCTTCTCAGCTGTTTGTCGAATACTCTGTTCATTTTTCTTACCAGCGCAGGGTCGCATGTCCTGCTTGTAGAAAAACGTCGTGCTGGGACAGGAACGCGCCTGTCCCTGTCGATGACCTTGCGCTCTGTCTTGGTGGTACCGGAGTCCGGACCGCTATTCAACGCATTCGTGCCATGTCCGGACACTCTTCACCTGGATCTCTCGACCGTTATTGCATTAGTGCATAAAAACTCGAAGCTGCCGTTGTGACGATGAGCGTTGCATAGAGTCACTGTACAACCACACGCCTGGATGCCTCTAGAACTGCGACCAAGTCGCCCCTTGCGCCGTCGATCGTTTTTTCCGTGCAACCCAAAAGAGCCTGCCCAGCGCCCTTGCTTGCAATCTCACGCTCCGTTTTGAGAACTTTCTGTCCCTGTTGGGAAGAGCACAGGTCCAGATCTTGGCCCGGGTCCCCAGATTTGCGGGATCTGGAACATGGGTGCGCATCGTGGGGTTGCGACTCAACAGAACCAGAGCAATGCTTCTGCTTCGAAGTCGCTATCATGTCGATATCGTCTGGCACAAGTGACGCGTTCGAGAAGTCGTAATCATGCAGCAGAAGGTCTTCGAGGCGAGGTGGTGATGTGCGTGTTGCTCACTGAGCCATGGTGCTGACGTGGGCGTCAGCGTGTTAACTTCGAGCACTGGCCCTATGATTGAGCATGCCCGTAAAGTGATGTTGCAATTCGTCGCTCCTGTGTTCTGTGCAGTCTTGGCTGCAGATGGATGATGAGGCATCCGCCCAAGCTTCGGCCGAATCCTGGAATTAGCGTGCCATTCTGGGTTGCCGCCTTCATCCTGGCGGCCATCGCGGCAGTGGCGCATTATCATTCAACATTCAATTTTCTTGCGTTTCTCAACGAACTCTTCTTCAGAAGCATCGTCAGCTTCAAGGGTGAGGCGGTACGGGGCTTCGTATTCATCCGGATTCATCTCGCGGGACCTTGAGACTCGCAGTCTGGGGCCGAAGGACACAGAGCCGTTGGTGCGATGTCGGTTCCTCATGCACCGAGTTGATGGCTGCCCCACGTCTACCGTCCACCGGACTTCATTAGCAAACATGAACTAACTTCTTTTTATCGCTTGGCCATCACGCTGGCCCTTCTCCAGCCTCGTCAATTGCCGGTCCGATGACAATAGATCTCAGACATTAATTGTCCCAAACGATCATATCTTTCAATCTCGAACATCTCGATCACGAAGTCCGGACCGCGGGAATCAACCACACATACACGCAGAAGGATGTATATTTGCAACCGTGACTGGTGGAAGAACGCGAAGCAGCATGAAGCTGCAGTGCTGCACTCTCGCATCGTCAAAAGGGATGCACCCTGAGATCATCGAGGCACGACATGAGGTGCACAGATGCAACCCAATCTGTAATAGAGTGGGCGCTAACGGGAGGTGCCAGCTGTGGCAGTTTGCTTTTGGTCGTTTGGTGGTTACTCCAAGATTGAGCCAAGGTCTTGGTTATTGTGATCCACCACTTGAAAGCTTGGTGATCGTCAACTCAGTGCAACAGACTTTGTTACGCAGAGCCCCAGATTCGAGGCTGTTAAAGCACGCGCATTCCCCAGTGTCTCGGCGCGCCTTGGTCTCTTGGAAAGTTTCATCGAACACTTCTTGTCAAGTCTTGGTTTCAGGAGCCGTCCTGCAAGCCCTGGAGCCGATCGCTATGATGTTATATATCCTCGGTACCGCTGTCAAGTGTGGAGAGTGAGAGAGTACTAACTGCGCTTTGGCGGTTGGCCGTTTTCTGTCGATTCCCGTGGTCTTTATCGCATCTAACATTTGCGCGATTTATTTCCCACCTGCATTGGCTCGGGTCCCACACATACCAAGAGGCCCAGTCCCACATCCAGAGCAACGCAAAACTTTTGCAACACAGAACCGTGGTTTACCAGCTCAACACTGTTCACTGCCAGTGATTTTACAATCGCTGTATACTTTATAATTCCGCCAACTGCTATAATATTTCCTCTTCTCGACCATTACCTCGAACACACCTAATACACAATAACACCACACCTGTGTTCGAGCAAACCTCTCCAAAACCACCACACACACGTTCAACAACGGACACTCAACAAATCCACGCTTTTACCATCACAATGTTTCGCCGTCTTAGCGAGCGCTTGAGCTTCGAGAAGCCAGAGCCGAAGCCATACTACTACAACCGCATGAACCCAGAAGAGATGCAAATCTGGGAAATCATTGTAAGTATAGCCGGATCTTCCACATCAAGTAGATCTTTTAGCTAACTCATCGCAGGGCGAGACAGAAGATGAATGGCGAGCAAGCCGCAAGGGCAAGCTTCGCAAGCATCGCCTCACATACAAGGAGCGTGCTGAGCGACAACGGATGTTCTACGACACCCGCGTCGGCCACGGTATCTGTGGTGACGACTGGATGCGCAAGGCCCTTCCCGGTCAGCGCCGCGCACCATAGCGAAATCGGCTTCTTCGGATGCAGCTTTCCCGCAAAGGCCTTCGGCCACCCCTCTCTTTTGTTGATTTGAACCAGGGCCTTGCGATTTGCGGGCCTACAGCGATGGCGTTCTGATTATGAATTCCTGGATTGATGAAAGTGCTTCGAAGATATCCAGGTCACGTTTTCCTATGTTGAAGGCTGGGGCATTGAGGGGCATTAGACTGGAACTATACCATGTCGTCCATACATAGAGAGACATCAGCATATAGCTGCTAATACACACATACAACACAACATCGTGACCGCCATGACCCATTGTGAGACATTCAGGCTGTTTGTTCCTGTGTTGAGGTTGAAGTGATGATCGCGTGCACAAAGGCTCATTTCGAGACCGCGACAGCCCGCCGTCCTTGCCCTCCGATTGGCTGTCACTCAGGCGGTGCTTTGCACCTCGCCTCTGCCAGGCGGTTGTGACCTCACTCCGCCATATCTCCTGACATCCACACATCGTCCTGCCCTCTAATCTTCACAATGTTCTGGCCATACCCATGAAGGAAAACACCCCGAGGAGTCAGATCAAACACCCTTTATACACAATGCCGGACGACGATGACCCATTAGTCATTGCCACAAGCGGTAATCTCATCCTCGACATTGCCCAGGAAGAAAATGGCCAGCGATACTCGTATCGCGTAGACTCAAAGACCCTGCAGCAAAACTCGAGATACTTTGAGAATCTACTGAGCGATAGGTTTCGGGAAGGGCAGCAGCTATCAGCAGCGCTTGAAGCTCTTCGACTTAGCGGGTACTCAGACATTGCGGAGGTATCCTCAGAAGTACTTCCGCACATTGAGATCATAAATGTCGGTAGAATAGCGATATCCAAGACTTCTGCAATTCAGAACTTGCTTGCCGACTTTCTACGTGCAGTGCATGGCGTCGACCTCGCGACTCCAAATCCCCCAGTCGCCAATCTCGCAAACCTCGCCGTCGTTGCAGACCGTTTCGATGCGGTCGCGTGTCTCTCGAAATACGCACAGAGAAGGAAATACATGCAACTTGCAGATGTAAAGATTAAGGGAAAGCCGAATCCGACGTTGACGGAGGAACGGATCAGACAGAAGCTTCTGGTTGGGCTGCTCTTTGATCACCCGCCATGGGTGACGAGGTACTCCAAGCAGCTGATCATGCGCGACTCCGTGCAATGGAGACCGGGGGTGGAGGAGGATCATACAAAAGCACTGTGGTGGGATCTGCCACAAGGCATAGAGGACGAGATGATACAGCGACGGGAGTACATACTGGAGACGATCAATTCGCTCCAGGCGCACTTCCTCAAACTATACACATCGGGAGAGAGACAGTGCAAGCTTGGATACGATACATCACTGCAATGTGACTCTTTTCAACTTGGGGAAATGGTGCGCTTCTTCCACAAGATCGATACTGTTCGGTTGCAAGGAAAGATCTACGACAACACAGAGCCGACGTATTACTTGGGGGGACGTTGATCGACTCCTCTTGTCTCTCCGACAATGCTCCAACTACCAAGTAGATATGCACCATGCGCACTGCGGTCTGCGGTCACGACTTCTTCCCCTTCTTGACTTCATACAAAGCCAGCTCAGCCTCGAAGCCGGCAGCCTCGACGTTAGCATATGCTTAGAATGCTGGACTCATCACCGCGCCGAGTATGCCTGGAGTACAGCCAAGCGACCGGTCTTGTGGACACTCCCACGGTCACTGACCGGCAATCGAACGCTTGCAAACGGCTTTCAGCGGAAAGGTCATCAAAGGACGCCGAGTAGTTGCCTGACCAGGCATGTTGCGATCAGGGATCTGTTCATGGCTGTCGACAGGGATTGGACCGCTAGAGACGTTATCTGAGGCCATTTGAGGCATCCGTGATGCCGCTTCGTGTACACCCTGGTGCGAAGCTTATTCAGACGACCTTCTAGAGTGCTTCTAGGTTGAGCTTGTGGACCGTCGGCTTCAGCCCTATGGCGTCTACTTGCTCTAGCACGGGCTCTTAACAAAAGGCTTGCATCTCTGATGCGACGGTCAACGACCGCTTTTGCACCTTTATAGTCGTGCCGAGCCTGAAGCTCAGCTCGCCAAGGAAGAGTCGTGTATAATTTCGAGACTCGGCGTAAACACCCTAGGGAATGATGTGTTCAGTTCCAATGGTCGAGAGAACTTCGTCTTTGAATTCGCAAACCTAAGTGTCACTCCATTAATTTCACTTCACCTTGAGCTCAGCTATGCTGACCGGAACGTGACATATAGGCGATTGTGCCTGAACTGTGCCTTGTCATGCTTCGGTCACTTCATGGGGTTACCAACCGGTCGCAGTACCTAGCACTATTCCAATGCAGGCGACATATATGCTCACGAACGGGTGTTCGGACACTAGAGGCGATTATGGCGTATAGCGAACCAATGCTGGAGTCAGTGTGGCGCGCGCGAGGTGGTGAGGTCACATGGTGGGTGCACAGCCGAATGCCACTTGATTGGTGAGATGCTGCGCCCCAGGTACCAACCCAACACGGCGCAACGATCAGGCTATGCATTGTCATTAGGGGCGACCCCTTCGTGAGTGGCAGTGCGCAAGGCACAAATCGTAAACAATTTTACATGATTCGATGAAACATACGTTTCTGGTCTTCAAGGCGGTTTCCAGGCTGATCGCGATACATTGCCCCTGGGTTGATATAAAGACTAGGATTCTTTCAACCGTGGGTTACAAGTAGTACATTATTTGCACCCAAGCGCGATTTGCTCATTAAGCTTTCACTATTCGGCATAGATCCCGCTTGCCCCTCCTCTGACTAAGATATAAAGCCGTTTGCGCTTGCTCAATGTCTGTCTCACCTGCCAACGCATATGACCGACCTTGCTTTTACACCGGTGATTACAATCTACATAATCTTCCGCACGCATCCTCAACCAGAAACATGATCGGCAGCTTCAAAAGGAAATTCTCGAAGAAGAGCCCAAATCCACTGAACTCTCCGGCCTCATCCGGCGCAAACACAACGTCACAAATGTACTCAAAAGCGCCCATTTCACCGACGGGGCTGGCACCACCTTCTGACAACAGCAACCCATACACTCCAGCGCCTGCTACACGAAGGCCCGGTAAGTACGCTATCTATTGTTGTGATATCAGATTCTAATGCTTGTACAGACAGCTCAAGCATGAATCCCTTCGGTTCCACGAGCGAGGCTCCTCCTGCTTACACACCAGGACCTGCTCAGTCAATAACTGCAGACCCACCAAGGGCGTTCGCCGCTTCTACAGATTCCGATCCCTATGCTTTCCTGAAATCTTTCGACACTGTATTCCTGATCGACGACTCAGGATCTATGGCCGGCCGATCCTGGAAAGAGACTGGCAAAGCGCTCGAGACCATCACTCCAATCTGCACACAGCGTGACGCCGACGGCATCGACGTATACTTCCTAAACCACCCCGATTCCTCACTATACAAGAACATCACCACCGCCGGCACGGTAGTCGAGATCTTCCAGACCGTGCGACCCAGCGGCGCAACGCCCACGGGCCAGCGCCTTAACAAGATCCTCAAGCCGTATCTGCAGCGCTTCGAGAAGAGGCCCGATTCAACCAAGCCAATCAACATCATTGTAATCACCGACGGCGAGCCCTCAGACGACGTCGAGTCCCCCATCATTCAGGCAGCCAAGAAGCTAGACAAGCTCGACGCACCCGCATGGCAGGTCGGCATCCAATTCTTCCAGGTCGGCCGAGAGCCCGGTGCGCGTGAGCATCTCAAGCAGCTCGACGACGGCCTTAGGGAACTTGCGGGCGACGACGAACTCAGGGATATTGTGGATACGGTGCCTTTCACCGGTGACGGTAGTGCCGAACTCACGGCTACTGGTGTGCTTAAAGTGGTGCTTGGATCTGTCAATAGACGGCTCGATCGTAACTCGAAGGAGTTGCATCGTAAGTAAGGCGTGGTTGGATGGATGGGGCATACGTTGAGGGCGAGTCTGCCTGGTGGCTACACGAACGAATGCTCTTTGTGGCCTAGTCGAGTCAAATGCATCAATGATGCAGTATTAGGTGGCCGGCTTGCTACTTCCTTTTGATTTCAATGGCGTAATGGGACGGTGTGGGTGTACGGTTGGGCGGCACGGTTTGGTTCAATTCGGACACGGCGTTGAGTCTGCATGATACCCAGTTGCATCCAAGGCCATTGGGATACGGGCGGTTATCTGACTTTGTTGCTCTCAAATCATTAGACATTTCCCTTCTTCTTTCGACGAGTTCAGTATAGACTAGATCACGACATTTTTGATCGATCAATCAATTGACTATTACAACAACGTATTTGGCATGCACCATTTAGTTCTGCCTCTACTGCTTTCTCAGGAGAACAAATAAAACCTGAAATGGTTCCATGTCCAAGAGGGATAGCGGGGTGGGTAAATTGTGGCCGAATAAAGTGGTGCCTGGTATGCCTTACAAGGCAGACTTGCGATATCCACCGGGCCCACGTTTCGTGTAAGCGAACCACAACATATCACAATCCACGGCTTTATCTTTCAAGTGCTTACACTCAAGATTAGAATGCAGTTAGATATCGTTTGTGTGCACGTACGCACGCACGCCATATGCACGACCGGAAATGTGGGGAGATGAGATTGGGTTGGCGTTTTTCTGCCTTGGGCATCCCAGCGTTACGGTGGGATGCCCGCACATACCAGTTTGGTTCGTGTATAACGGAGTTGGGCTCGGGGACTGGGTCAAATGTGCAGCAGTAGGTGTAGATGTGGATGAATATTGATACGTGTTTACTTTGAGATGATGCACTGAGAATAAGATCATGCCTAGCGTCATTAATTGACATCGTACACTTCGATCTTGGTGCAGATTCCGTATTGCAAAAACGATTCGAGATTATTAGATAGACTATCAGTAGGAGTTGTGCTCATGCTGCGCTTACCATACCACTTTGTGATTTGAATTCAATCGAGCTTGCGAAGGTGTGACATTTGTCTCTTGGAAATAGCCTTACTGCTATTCTGTCACTGAGCTCGTGACTAGCCTCATAAGACAGGAGAACACCTACCGCCTTATTGCACCGATGTAATCTCATGTTACCTTGATAGCGCTTAGGATTCGCAAATACAAAGGAAATGTATACACACACTGATTTAGTAGCGGAGCATGCCCAAGGTAGACAACTTATTTCCTACTGATAGTTGGAAGGATCTGGTTCTGTTTTACTCGCCGTAGCATTTAGACAAAGAGGGACTGTTTACACACTATAATTGCAATGTCAGTTATGTGAGGGATCTTGTTGCCGTACTCCGCAGGTCAAAGGTAGCGTCCGAATCGTGCTCGGCTGTAGCAGGTCGTAGTTGGCTTCAGGAGTTGGCTCATGCGCCTTCGAAGACGCTCACATTAAACATAGACGTACAGGTTCGTTTCTTCGTTGTTTTCCGAGGTCGAAAGTGCGCCGGCTCTTCTTTTTGCTTGCCTGGCTGATACATGATTCTGCATATTGAAACAACTCATCAGCGCTGCTAAATTCCGGGTGCAGATTTAGATTTTCAGGGTCGATAGATTTACGTGTCCCGTGATCACGCGTCCTTTTTTGCGTTGTGTAGTGAATAAGGCCGACTTGGAAGGCTAACAACGACATGCCTTGGCGTCTAAGTCTAGGAAAGTGAAACCGCAAGAGAGAGATCTGCTAGATGCAGTAATCCCCGATGCTGCAAATAAGTTGCTCGAGACGGCGGGCGACGACCGACTGAAGGATGAGACTCACTCATCCCCAGCGAAAAACCCGACGTCTCCCCTCCCCCGTCCCAATTCCACCAACCTATTCCTCATATCCTTCGCCCGCTGTACCCACTCCCCCTCTTCGCCTTCCAAATCCCATTGCCCCGCCCACTCTCCGACCCCATGCTGCAACACATTCCGCGCCCTATGCTCGCCCGCCGCCTTCGTCCCGAAACTTCCATGCAGCGTCATTCTTTCCTTGGCCTCATCATACACGCCTCTATGCAGGATATTATTATTGTAAAACGCCACCTCACCGGCTTTCAACTTGACCGTAAGTTGGTCTGGTAGCGTGGGTTCATATGGATGTGCATCGCGTTCAGTGGTTGTGCGTGCGCGCCTATGGCTCCCCGGAACAACAATGAGCGATGCGTCGTCGAAGAGAGCGAGATTCCACTGCGCATGCCAGCCAGGCTTGTTCAACCGCTCCAACTCCTCTTCCGCAGACGCAGTAGCAGGTATATCGTCTCTATGCCAGCGCAACTCAAACTTGTGATCCGGTCTCACAAGCATATTATACAACTCCATGGTCAAATCATCTTGCTCGCAGCCAATCAGCGCGCCGACGTATTTGAGCAGTTCGGCGTCGAAGTAGGAGCGCGCGAAGATTAGGTGGTCGGGATTGGAGGGGTGCAGTAGGTGTTGGACGCCCCATATACCGGCACTGGGGTCTTGTGGCCACGGTGGGAATTGCTTGGGGAGAGTGCGGATGTAGGGCCATGTGCCGGTTCGGGCGGCGGTGGTGATGCGTGATGCGGCTTCACGGAGGGCTGTGAGATCGAAGGAGGGGAAGAGGGATGCGGGGAGGACGACGAAGCCGTCTCGATCGAGGCCTTCGCGGGCGGCGAGGTAGGGGTTTGTGGTGGAGGGAGTTATGTTTGGGATTGTGTCTGTGAGATTGGTGTTAGATGAGGGCTTGCGTGAGATGAAGAGTGTAGGAGAGTAGCTTACGCTACCTTTATGGACGTCACCGTTCGTTTGCGGCTGAGAATTTGCTCCTTGAGAAGGTTTGTTGGTGTCTTCTGCAGGAGGGTTTGCGATTGGGAGAGATATAGTAGCTGTCGCGCTGCCTTTGATGCCGCCTTTATCTGGTTGACGCTGATTGAACTGCTTCATGACGGTTGGCTTGAGAAGAGAAAGCTCAATGTGCTTCGATATAGGCTTTTGAATATCTTCGCAGTCTTGTATGTGGATGGTTGTCCTACGACGCACGTGCGAAGCCTCGCGTCGTGAAGCTACCCCACATTCGTGCCGTCCCGCATTAAGCTTCGAGTCAGGAAATGGCATGCCCCACCCCTTCCTTCAGTCAGTGAAGAATGTATCTGGTTGAGACCTGCATGAAATGTTGAAGATTGATTAATCGCATTACACTCGTACACTAACATACCACGTCCCAAACAGAACTACAACTCCAGGATATCGAGACCTCTGCGGACCCACAATGAAAGAACTCCCTTCGAGCACCGACCTGTTGATACACAACCCAGACCCATACGCCAGTTCCCTCGTTGTCCTCATACAATCATTTCCTCATCTCGTACAATATCACTCCCGCGGACCAGTCACCTCCGCACCGAGAGCGCCGGCAGCTAATTGTCCTAAGCCGCCCGCAAATGTCAGAAACAGTGCAAGTGCCGTCGACTCTGCACTTTGAACAAGATCTTGTTCGGAATGTGTTCCATCAGTCTCCGTCTCTGCAACTTCTCGCTTCGTTGTAGAGCTAGGCTGATACGTGGAATCAACGTCGGAGTCAATGTCAGTATTGCGTGCAGACCTCCTTGAGCTACGTCGGATGGAGCCCGTCGACGATGCAGCAGGTGAGGTCAAGATGGACTTGTTCTTGGAGGGACGTCCGCGCTTCCTGGGAGTTGTGGTATCGAGCAATACTTCGGGTTCGGGCTGGAGATCAGTAGCGAGTTTTGCGTCCTCCTCGAAAGCCACGTGCTTCTCGTGTTTGGGGACGAGGAAAGCTAGCATACTGTTCTCGAGTATCGACTCAACATCCTGATCACGGGTGAAGGTCCAGGTCAGAAGACTGATGACTGTGAAGAGGACGTCGGTCGAAGTAGCGCTGATGATTGGATCCTTGCTGATTTTCTTCAGAAGCTGAGCAGCTTCGCTGATTCCAGACAAAATTCTGCTGTTGAGTGAACTGTTGACCGATAGCCCCACGAGCTTCTTGAGCCTGTCCACGGTGCTATGAGGTTCTGCAGGCGTGTGTTTGGTGATGTCGGCGAAGAGCAATATCCAATAGAGCATAAACGACATGGCAGAGAGGTATTGGGAATACCCGTGCGTAGGAACGATGGGCGGCAGTCTTTGAAACATGTTGGCGTCCCTAGGCTCACAGGGACAAGCTGTTCTCTGTCAAACAATGTCAAAAGACGATACATGTTCGGCTTAACTGAGGAGCGAATGCAACAAGCAGGGGCACAGCTATCTTGCCCCACCGTAGGAAGCTGATTTTATTTACACTGAAATTCCGGGCTAGGAAGGCGTGCTCATTAAACGCTGTTGGAAGGTTGTACAAGAACAGCATCGAAGCGATTATAGGCAAGTAGTAGACGACGGGTGATGGCGTGAAAAGAGCATCATGAAGGGGGGAGTCATCCTGGTGAAGCGTCAAAGGAGTGTATAGGATGGTGACGAAGAACAAGCTCAAGGCGTAACCAAGGCTACCTGTAGCTCCCAATATGACGAAAGCAGCGATGGTAGAGGCATGTAGATTGCGTCGATGGCCTAGAAAACAAGGGGTGAGTACACTTCATGTTGTTCTGTATTGTTTATCTTACCTTCGATACCGAAGAATATGGAAGATGCAAGAAGCCCAACGAAATGCTGACATGTGTACAAGAAGCCTTCCGGCTTGCTCACGGCCACGGCGTCTGACTGCGCATGCAGATCGACATCATAGACCCAATCTCCCAGATACCAACGTCCGTCTTTGGTATTGGATGTGCCCGTTTGAAGCCAGTCCACGTATGACATGGCGCGCCAGATCACAGCGAACGTTGTCACAGAAGCCAGTGACAGTGCCGCCAGAGTGGAGAAAATGATGGCATACCGACGGCGCAATGGCTGCTGGGAGCGCGTCGAAGAGGTAGGAGGCAACGATTTGGCAGCGCGACGCGCAACGAGGAGGACATGTGCCGTAAGTCCAACGACGAGCGCGATTTGACCACCAAAGGGTGCGTATGCGAAGATGTTGTTGCGCGCCGCGGCTTCGGGCTCGACGGGCGCCATGGTGAATGTTCGTCCGAAGTGGGATGCGACGGCTAATGATGGAGGGATATGCGCATCACGCGATGGCAATGAAAATGGTGTAAGAGTGAAGTCAGCTTTGGGCGGGCGGCATGCTTTCGTCTTGTTTTGATTCTGGACGCGCCGCTTGCCCTGTCGCATCCAACCACACCCCACACACGTCACTGCTGTCTGGAGCTACACCCCTGCACACGCTAGCGGTCTTAGCGGCAGATCTCGCGTGAACGGTGATCCCGCGACGCGCATTGAGAATTCTCGGCATACACCAGCACACACATCACAATGGCGACGGTATACTACGAAGACTACATAGCCGAAGATACGGAGAAATATGATGAGTCCCAGGACGAGGATTTCAAACCCGACGATGGACCCCAGGACGAAGAAGCATCAAGCTCATCCGACGAGGACAATGCGCCAGCGAAACCCACATCACGCAGCACCAAGCGCAAGGCACCCGTTGACGACGACCTCGATTCCGGCGACGAAGTGACAATACAGGCTGCACGGAAGAAGAAGTCGAAGAAGCAGAAGAAGGGCAAAAAGGGCGATGACGACGAAGACGTGCTCCTCTCCGAAGGCGAGGGAGGACTGATAAAGACACGCGCCCAGCGGCGAGTCGAGCAAGTCGAAAAGAAGCCTCTCGCACGAACAGAGGGCGCGACCGTAGATGTCGACGCACTATGGGCGCAAATGACCGCCGCGCCATTGAAACCCATCCAGCCCGTCGAACCAGACCATCCGAAGCCCACCACAACAACCGCACCAACTCCAGCCCCCAAACCCCTCCCCGCGGAAGAAGAAGAACAAATCCAAATTAAAAAAACATACACCTTCGCCGGCCAAGACACCACCGAAGAAAAGTCCATCCCCCGCTCCCACCTCGACAAATACACCTCTGACGGCTGGACCACCCTCCAAGAACCCACGAAGCCTGAGAAAACCAAGGCCAACACCTCGAAAATACGCCGCCCGTTGCGCCGCCCTTCGCGCTTCGATCCTAATCCCACCGGCTACGTCCGCGCCCTCGCCCCCGAGCACCAACTCACATACCCGCGCACCACTACCAGCACCACCACACGCACAGACATGCCACCGCCAGAACTCCCCGCAGCAAAGGCCAAGGCGCAGAAACTGAATGTCGTGGACAAGTCGCGCATGGACTGGACAGGCTTTGTGGACAAGGAGGGCATCGCCGAGGAGCTGGATACGCATGGGAAGACCAAGGAGGCGTATCTGGGACGCATGGAGTTTTTGAAGGAGGTTGAAGCGAGGCGGGAGGAGGAGAGAAAGAAGGTTAGAGTTGCGGGGATGGGGGTTGGGGGTGGGCCGGCGTGAGATATGAGATGTGATACCCAAATCGATTCAGTAGTTTTCTTGAGCAAGTTTTATATGCGGATCGCTGATATACACGTCGCCATCATCAAGGGGTATACTGCAAGCAGACGAAGTGCTACGACCAAAAACTTTTTTTAACGCGCAAAATGGCAAGTATAACAACGCGACAAAGCAGGTAACGAACGACTATGCAGAAAAAGACGATTACGCAAAACGAGTGTCCAAGCAGCATCTACAAATGTGCCATGTATATCCCCCACATCTCTCCCCGCCATCTATCCAGATAGCTTTGAATGGCTCAGTGAGTCCTTCGGACTAGCAAAGGTGACTCTAGTGCAGGCTTTGCGTGAAGCAAAACCATGCTGCGCGATGTCTCCTTTCAGCTTCTGTGAAGCGGGACACCGCGCAAAGTAGAAGGATATCTAATCCTCAAAAGCGCTTTGACGACATCAGCCGGTAACCTGCTCCAACGCGCTCCCAAAATCGTCTTCGCTGTCTTCGGCTCCGTCGTCTGGTCTGACGACCTTGGTGGGCTTGGTCTTCATGTCCGCAAACACAGCTGGAACTATGCTATATGTGTCTGCATTGGTTGCGGCTTTCAACCTCGCAAGTTCGCGACCGGCCATGTTCCATACGAAGGCATGTTTCTTCGGATTGGCAGTGTACAGCGCGGATGCTCGGATAGTTTCCCAGAGGGTCGGATGCTTTGGACCGAAATACGGGAAGATCAAAGGCGCGATTTGAGGGTGCGATGCGTTGGCCGGAGACGGCATGAGAGCTCTGAACTTATTGAAGCAGGTGTCCACGAGCTTGTTGTACTTGTCGGGTTGGAGCTCGGACTTGTCTCCTAAGCTGCGGTTCCAATCCTGTATGACTTTGCCAATGCCTGTGAGAAGGCGATCAATTTCACTATCAAGCACTGTGTCATCCATGTTCTTCAGCTGGAGAAACGGTACGCGAAGATCTGCATCGTCGTCATCTTCCTTCGGCAAAGCGTTCTTGAACGCCTTTCGCGTTTCGGTATTGTGCTTTTTCACGACTTCGAAGTACAAGTAATCGATTACATTGTCGGGTTTGTGTTTCAGGCCCTTCAGGGTGTCATTTCCTTCGTCTCCCATGGCTTTGGATTTGGCACTTGCTTCCATTGCATTTTTGTATGCCGGTTTCTTTGGATTCCCGCAACGGAGTTCTTGTCTGACAAGGCGACTGAAATCTTCGTCGTCGAACCTGTATGCTTGCTTTGGTGCATCAACCAGAAGGTCGTGCACATCATAAAGAGCATTCAATCTCTCTGAATAGATTCGATTCTCTTTGTATGCAACTTTCTCAGCGAAGGTCGTCGCTTTTCCAAGTAATGATTGAGTCATACGAAATTCAAGCGCTTCCTTAAGCAGATTATCGACAGTGGATAGGTCATGGGGATTCATAATATCTGTCAGCTTTCGCGTATCTTTCTTGATCCCGTACTTTTGGGGTTCTAGATCATTCAAAGGTGCAGGAGCATTGAGAAATGGAACGACGAGATCAGGCTCCCAACAGACCCAGAAGGTATCTCCATCATAGTCTCCACCTTGCAGCTTACCGGCAGCTGGATATATCCCCCTTGATGAAAACACAACAACGTCGACGAGATGCGATAATTGTGGGTGAGATACGGCGCGCATCTTCTGCATGTCCGAACGGCGACACGCAGGCTGCCGAGTGATCACAACTTCCTCGCCCGCAAGGTTGCGGTACGTGTTCCGACCATATTCGTCCAAAAAGGGTTTCGAGAATTGCACATGAACCTCGCCAGGTTTCAGTATACCCAGCGGATCTGCGAGTCCTATCAAATATGTGGCTCTGCCGAGTGGAGCACGAAGCTTCTCTTCCATCCATAACTGTCGTTGTTGAACAAAGCGCTTCAAGGTTCTAGCAAGGAAAGGGCTCTGATACGGTTGGAAACCAGTGCGCAGAAGAAGCTTTGCCTTCTCAGGCAGCGTCAGCGGAAGAGCAGCTTGCCATGGGAGTATCCCAAGTGCCGGAGTAGCGGAACCTTGCTTGGTGACCCAATTATGCAGTCGAACAGGGTCATCCAACATCTCTAGCAGCTGTTTGCGCTCATCATCGAGGCGGCTGATCATGAGTTTTGCAATGGTACTCTTCTGCACGCCCCGATCAACCAATATGGGAATAAAAGATATGTGCAGGTCGGACGAGCCGTTGACAAAGCTGTGCTTGATATAGTTGAACGTCAGTCTGTGGCTGTTGTACGGTCTGTCGTCGGCTTGATCTTCCTGTGCTGGCTCAAACTTTAACTGGCTGTCTGTTACCTCGATCCAGATATCAAGATGAGCAGGATCCCTCGTGTGTGGCTCAGCGCTGATCATCCACATTCCTTTGGCACCACCAATACGTCCTTGTAAAGTACTCGGAAGAGGCTCGTCTGAACCCGTCGCATCTTGGCAGAATTTCCATATTAACAATGCAGCGCCTACAGAGACTCTCGCACAACCGTCGTTCATCACTGGTGTCCTATCGTACTGCTCTGTCCAGTCGAGTGTTGCGTCGTTGAATTCCTGGGCCTCTGGAGTACGGTCCGCATAAGTGTCTGGCATGCGCCTGATCTGCGACGGTTTGAATGACAGGGTTGGGATAGTCCGCGAAAGTCCAAGATCCAAGCGAGCAAATGCTTTGCAGAAGTTCTGATCCATATTCTGCTCAAAGTTGAAGAACCCATTAATCATCTCGCCAACAGACATGGGTTGGTCGATCCCTGCTCCTTCGGTGGCAAACAGTATCACACGGGTATCGGCTGCATCGTCCCCAGACTTTCGAGAGCCGCCTTTCCTTTTCATGGGCTCCACGTGGAAGACGCGCCATTTCCTTCCTAGGAACGAATGATGTTGAGTAATCCAAATCTTCCATTGCGTCTGGAGGAATGGCAGCTGAGCAAGCGTAAATCGGTCTGGTTTGTCCTGGAAAGATGGGAACATCAGGTAAAGAAATCGGTCAGAGCCATACATGCGCTGGAACAGACTTGACTTCTCTTTCTGGATGGGTAAGAGTTCAAGCCGGAAAACGGGCCCGGACCGCGCGCTTTCAAAGCCTAGCTTGCCTTTGAAGGAGTAGCCTTCGAAAGACCTTTTGGCCGCTGCCCAAACATCGTTCGACTCGCATGGTTGCGTCTTCAGGTGCTCGCCGATGTTGCTCCAAAACAGACTCGGGTCGTCACGGGCACGGGATAGATCTACATGCCTCAAGACTTCTCTTATGGCGACATTATTGACTGAGCTGAGTCGACAACCGATGAAGGCTAGAAAGTATGGACATGTGTTCAGCTCGCTTGGCAGATCATCAACGAAAAGATTGCTTGACGGAAGATCGCGGATGTACCAAGGCACACGCCACGGAGAGTCGTTGAGATCAGTCTGTACAGCATCTGGAGTTTCCGTATGTGGCGTGTCGACATGGGGCTGCTTGGCCGGTGTGACATCAGGGGACTGTAAGGACTCATGGCTCTTGGTATCCTTATTAGGCTTCAGAGGTGCGCCACTTCTCCGGGTTGTGCCAATCTCGGCGTGCAAAAACAAGTCCTCATCGACCGAGCCATACGTCGAATTACTCTCTCGGCTGGCTCCTTGCGAGAATATTCGATCGGCCTCCCGCTGCTTCTCTTGCTCGTAGATCTCACGTTCACTTGCTGATAGAACGGCTATGGCCTCAGAATCTCCCAAATACTCAAGGCTCGTTGAGCTCTTCCTCGGACGCCAATTCGTCGGTGGCTCGTCGCCACTCCCATCTGTCGTGAAGGAAGTATTGGCTGTCTGCTGGGAAGAGAACACAGACTTATCGTTGAACGAGGTATTCGTAGTCTGCTGCGAAGAGAATACAGATGGATTGTTGAACGATGTATTTGCCGATGACGAGTGTGCAACAGTACTGGTATCGTTCTGGTGGAAGGAGCGCGCCATCTGCAGGGTCGGCTTCTTGAAGGTGTCTTGAACAGCAGGTTCTTGGGGTACGCGGAATCGATCGATAGACTGTTTCCTCGTTGTCCTTGTCAATTTTGGCGAGCTTTCAGAGGGATTTGAACCGTCTGACGGACGCTTCCTCGGATTGGATCGACTTGCCTCGCGTCGTTGTGCGGATGCCGTCGACCTCGTCGGCGAGGGAGGCGTGTAGAAGTCATCTTCTTCCGCATCTGTTGGCGAACCGGTGTCTAGGAGCGCGGTCTGATAGGAATCTTGCTGATAGGAATCGTGTGCATCGCTTCTATAGTTGTCAAAGAGGCCACCGGGTCGGGCAGCTTGACTAGCTGTGACAGATTAGCAGTTGTAGATGCTTGGAGAGTCTCTATGGTTCACGACATGTTCTCAGAGTTGCGAATCTCGGAGTATCAGTCTCGCCCTGGACGCTGATGTCTTTGAGGCTAGCGCAAGGCGGGTAACGGGAGACAAGCCATAAGCGTGATGTGAAACCTGTTCAGTAACAACCAGGCAGAGCTCTTAGGCGGAAATTATATCGGGCTGTAACTTACAGATGTGCACGGACCCTAAGCTTTTGGGTGGCTCATTCAGCGGCGTGCTAGTTCTTGAAATGGGTGACAGTGTCTTGCTTTTCAGAATCCCATGCAACAAGTCCAATCTCTTGTTGTGCTCAAATGCGGGCGCTATTTCTCTGAAGTTATCGAGAGCTGCATCTAGCGCAGGTCTCGCCGAGAAAAAGAGCCTCTTGATGAGGCCATACACGGTCTCAGCAGGAGTTCTCTCAGTCTTCTGCGGTGACCAAAGAGGTCCGCGGACTCTGAGGCCTAGTCGCCACTTGTCTTCGAGGTCAATAACCAAGTTGTTGAGAGCATCGCCGGTTTTGGGGTGGTGCGGTGTAGTCGGTGGTAGCGAGCCGGTAATGGTTGGCTCAGGGCGCCCGCTATCGCTCCTTCCCGCAGTGTTGCCTAGCAGGCGCGGCGACTGGCGCATATTACCATGTCCTAACCAGAACGAAGTGCGATATAGTTTATGAGAAATATGAGAGAGAACGATGAAGGGAACATGCCTGGAGGCCGGCTCTAGGTACCTGAGGCTGCGCTGCTAGGCAATGCGGAGAGACTGCAGGTCTGTGCGCAATGTGTGGGATGAGGCGCGTCGGCGCTAACGCGTGATCACGAGACCGTAAATCATGTTCGCGCGGGAGTTCACGTTGCACGAGCTGCATAGATAAGCGAGGTAGATCCATCAATGTAATCAGAGCAGACGATGAAGCGGTGAAGGAATGCTCCGCTTTACAAAAGATTGCTGGGCTTGGCAAGGGTCCAGGCTAGTACGGCTCTCCTATGAAATGGCTAGCACGAGCAAGACAGTCACAATCAGAAGGAGTTGAAATGTTGTAAAAGTTGCTATACTGATACCCTGCGATTAACGGAGCATAGCTTTCATGAATGATGCTAACCCAGAACATATTTAGTTGGAGCAAAATCACAAGGGGGCACATGTACAGATACAAATAGTGATCAAGATGTCGTCTAGATTCGTGGCGCTTTTTGCACGTGGTAGTGATCCACCATGCATGGTATTCATAAACTCAATGACCCAGTTCAATCTTCGACCATCCCTTAAACCTTCATCTCGGTAAGACCGTGCTTCCACACGGTGATGAAGGGGGTAACACCATCCTCGCGGTAGTTGAGGAGGACGATCATGCCGTCAGGGTTCATCGACTCGCCAGTGTAGAACTCGTAGTCCTTGAAGTTTCCAATAATCTTCTTGGCAAAGCCCTGGGCCTTGCTCTCGAAGTCCTTGATCTCGGACTCGTCAGCACCCTTTGCCTTGAGGGCCTCCTTGACGGCCTTCATGTAGCCTGTGACGTGTCAGTGGCTGCTCGCTGAAGTCGCGCTGGCTATACACACCCTTGAGGTATGTGAGATAGCCCTTCTTGTCGAAGCCGGTTGCGTTCAGACGGAAAGAGTGAACGACATCAATGACCTGCTCCTGGTTGTCCTCGGCACCCTCCTCAGCCTCCTCGGCAGAAGCGTTGGCACCAGTGTCTGTGTTGCGGTTAGTCTACACTGCTGCGTGTTGACCAACGTGGGGCAGGGGAGCGCACCGAACGACTCTCCACCAACGGTGATCTTCCTGCAGTCGGCCTCGTAGGCAACGCCGTCGATCAACTTGAGGTCGTACGAGTCGGAGATGATCTCGTCATCGGTGATGATGTCCTACAGTGGAATATTAGCACGATGCGACAAGTATGTCTGGGGGGCTCTGGGCAGAGCATGTCGCTACCCTATCCTCGAGGGAAGGCGGGGTAGCTGCGCGCAGTGTGTAGCGTGCAACGTGTAGCGATGTGTACGCACCTTGAAGATAATCATGGTGACGGTGTTGTGCGGTTTGTTTTGGAGGGGGTGAGTGAAGGCGGTGGAGTGTCGAGCGGAGAACGAAGCGCTGGCGTCCTCAAGTGGGAGGAAATCTTTCCAAGGCCTAGTGGGGTCGAAAAGTGAAAGCAGAGTGGATCTATGCCGGATGCGCGCTAGCGTGACCAGCCCTGCAGGGAGGCAAATCGCCCAGCGGCCAGGGCTCGGTCGGATGCCGGAGGCGAGAATCCCATTGATGGCATGACGCGCTGAAGTCTCCTGGATCTCGGGCTCGCTCAAGACATCTCTCTCCACCCTCACACGACCCGCTCCGCATCTCGCTCTGCTCACCTCAGCCTCTCCTTTCTGAGCCGTATCTATCCTGCCGCCGCGAATTCCTACTCTTCGACAGCATCGCTCCTTCTCCCCTAATTTCCTGGACCGCTGCATCCGGCCCAGCTCCGCCTCGTCTCCGTGTGCTTACAACTCTGTTCGCAGCACCGCCCACCTATATACGCAGCCTCACCCTCTGCTTACGCACACACACACACACACATACACATACTTAATTCCGATTTTGCGAAGCTCTTGCACTCGCACGCCGCAACATGGCGAGCGCAAACGCGACTTCATACGACCTTCCTCCGCTACCCGCCTACACACTTCGGCCTCTCCCGCCGCTGTACTCGTGGATCTCTGATGCAGTCATAACAGCTGCGCTGCCGGTCATCGGATACTGGCTTGTGTCGTTGACATTCCATCTTATCGACGTATACGACCTGTTCCCTCAATACCGCCTACACACACCAGCAGAAGTGCTCAAGCGCAACCATGTTTCGCGATACGAAGTCCTGCGCGATGTCATATTCCAGCAAGTCATCCAAGTCATATTCTCCCTTGGGCTAGCAGTCTTCGACGAAGAACCAACAACTGGAAAGGCCGACTACGACGTGGCCTGGTATGCGCAGAAGATCCGGCTAGCACAGCGCGCAGTACCCTACGCTCTGTCTACTATTGGTTTGGATCCCGTGGGATTAGCTACAAAGCTCGCTGAGTCGCAGCCCGCGCTTTCAGCTGTAGTGATGGGTGGCAGATATCCTGAGCTACTCCAGACGGTTGCTGTCGCAGGACAGCAGACACTAGTCCCTGCTTTTGCATCATGGGAGCTCTCTTTCGCCAGCTTCGTATACTGGTTTGCCATTCCAGCTTTCCAATTTTCAGCAGCAATTGTAATTATCGATGCTTGGGAGTACATGCTGCATCGCGCCATGCATATGAACAAGTGGCTATATGGTGAGTCGCATTCTCTGCGCGACATCACGCGATTCACTAACAAGTCCAGTCACTTTTCACTCACGCCATCACCGTCTCTATGTCCCGTACGCCTACGGAGCTCTCTACAACCACCCACTTGAGGGATTTGCCCTGGACACGTTAGGCGCGGGTCTTGCGTATCTGCTCACTGGAATGACCATGCGCCAGTCGATGTGGTTCTTTACAGGGTCCACTATCAAGACCGTGCTCGATCACGGTGGCTATGCTTTCCCGTGGGACCCCGTTCACTGGATCTTCCCCAACAACGCTGCTTATCATGACATCCACCACCAGAGTTGGGGCATCAAGACCAATTTTTCTCAGCCATTCTTTGTTTACCTCGACCGACTTGGTGGAACCATGTATAAGGGCAATGTGGAAGAGAAATATGAGCGGGCCCGACGCACCGCCCAGCAAAAGCTCGATCAACAGATTGAGAACGAGGCGAAGATGGCATCTGCCGAAAGTGCTACGGCAGTTGAGGAGCCCGTACGCCTTGCGGGCGTAGCGACCCCGCGCATGTCGCGTAAGAAGGCGACAAGCATCTCGTCCCCAGCGGGAAACTTCAAAGACCTAACGAATATGGTCAACTCAAACCTGCATGGCCGGAGAGCAAATGTGTTGGGCATGGAGAGCTCACACTAAAGTCACTTATCCTTGAACTGCTATTTTTGCTTTATGTAAACATTCTGCATCCGGGATAGGTAATGTATAGTTTTGGTGTACAAATGCTCGAAGGACCCCTACATTCGCTTCATTCTTGTGTATTACATTCTTGGATCCTTCTGGAAGTTCCATCTTTCATCTAGCGGTTGTCGTTATTCGTCTTCGCGGGTTTTTATGCTCATGTATTGTACGAACACGGTCGGCGTTCTTGGGTCGTCTGGCATGACACTCAATCATAATGCTCGTTTATTGGACTCATATCCTCAATCACTGACGCACCTCACACTGCTCTCTTATTATACTTATGTTGCATGAAGGTGTAGCTAACGCGCTGCTCGGTGACATGCTAATCTTGTTAGTCTAGTCCACGCTGGATAATTACGACTGCACCAAAGGGCCCAACAGGGCGCATTGTGCCAAATCAAACAATGTTTGCGGCCCGCACCGTCTCCCTCAAGTTTGCGAAGAGGATTCCGCTCGAACCTATTGCATTGTGCTTTCACAGTACACCGGTCACCCCACACTGTCCACTGCGGCCATGGCATTGAGGACCATTTACGACGGCACCAATGCAATATAAACTCAATATTGTGCCAAAATGCGGGCGGTTTCCATCCTCTCGTCTACAAGTCACAAACTTTTCCAGTTCATCTCCGGTTGATCCACACCAGATCCGTTTATCAACATACGAATCGTCAGTCACAGAACCTTCACTCAACATGACCAAACACATGGCTACCAAGCGTCTTCACAATTCGGATTTGAAGAAACTTGTCTCTATCCTTCAAGTCCCAGTGTCAAAAAAAAGGAAATTAAAGCTCTTCCCAGTAGGATGCTTTCTTCACAGCCGGCCCACAGCTAGCTCCAGCAATCTGTGCTCCATACACAAAGATCTTAACGCTGACCTATTAACAGAGCTATGGTCGTGGATAAAGTACGAGTTGGGAACGGCTGTTGGCAATTTTGTCTACCCGGTAATCTTGGCAGGCAAATTGACTGAGGCACAGGAACGCAAGATCCGTCAAATCGAGCCTGCGGGAGAACTATTCGATCGGAACTTCAGGACGGAGGCTTCTGCACCTCAAGGTCGTCGACCCATCGACGCCGGGTCGACTTGGAAGTATCAGCATGATAAGTGCCCAGCTTGTCTACTTACTCGAGTCGGCTCAGACTCCGAGGTCCTGTGCGCTCTGTACGCCGGCATGATTGCCCGCTTTCCGATATGGAAGCTCGCTACACATAGGCTGATACTTGCAGATCTCGGTGTGCACCAGCTGGAGAGCCCCAAGTCGAAGCGCGTGCGCCTCATTCGGTATTGGATTAGGGCAACCACCACGGGCGACGCAGCGCTCTTTGAGGCTGTGGAATTGGGAATTCTAATCAAGAAGAAGCACAAAGAGCTCCAGGATGAGAACCATCGCTCTTCACACCAGCCATCCGTCCGCCCGCGATCAGTACACCACTCTTCTCGTCCGCGTACCCCCGACGCCAAGATCGGACCTCACCCACGCTCACCGACTATCACTCCGCATACTCCTCTCGAGAAAGTTGGTTTCCGCCACTCCGGCCATCAAGCGCGCGGCTCCTCTGAGTCTTCACGCCCGCTGTTGGGTCGCCAACGCTCAAACGACACCCTCGCTCCTCACGACAGTATAACGACCATACTAACCGGCGAGCGCACATACAACCCTCGCCCGCAAACTCCAACCAGTGGTCCTACCATCGTCAATCTCCCCGGCTTTCCCAGCCGCGCCTTCACATCACCCAGCGCGGCTCTACCTCCACTTGCACCGATGAAAGCACGCGTGAGTTCCTCGCGCAATTCAGAAGCAAGTGATTTCTCGACGATCTTGTCGTATGATAACGGTCCGACGCCACAGCGAGGCTCGGATAGGCAGATGGCTTACAACTTCCCTAAGCCGCATAGGCACTCGGTGTATGGTGGGTTTGGGTATGCGGAGAAGGATCCGTTTGAGGATGCTGATAGAGACGAGGTGGAGGGAGAGGAGGGTGGCAAGGCGTCGAAGCGGAGTACGAAGTGGAGTGATTTGTACTAAACTCTAGGCTTACAGCTGTGAAGTTATCTTTTGGGAAGGAATAGTTTGTTGAATTGAGTGGTTCCTTATTGAGACATGGTAGATTATTGCAAGTACAAGTGAATGTATGTTTGAGTGTGCAGTTCGCCGAGTAGATCTATATTTAAGTGACCCATAAGCTTCATTCCGTACTCGAATTGAATCGGTGATTACGTCTATGAAGTCCTAAAGACTGTGAGTGCTACACACTTCCAAGTACCGCCTTCACGACTGCATATTCAACTGCGCGCCCATCACACACGCAGAAAACATCTGCCTATAAAATGTTTACATGATTCTCTCCTTTATAATCCAATCCAAAGCATCGAAACGACCATTCCACTTACTGTCCATCACTTCCACCTTTTCAAGCCGGTCTTGAACAGCACACCATTTCCCCCAATCCGCCAAAGTTCTCCTTTAAAGCCAAAAGTCACACAGCCACCATGCCCCAAGGAACCTTCAGTCCGTCCCAGCCCCCACTCTCCCACTGATACACACTAACACCCGCATCTAGCCCATTTCCTAAAATATCTCTTCGTCGACGGCGCCTACATAAACTGGTTCGCCCCACTGGCCATCGCCTTCTACGGCATCGTCTCACTCGGCTGTCTGAACTCCGCGATCCTTGTAAAACTCTACCTCGCCGCCATCTCCCCCTCCACCGGTACTATCATCCGCATCGGCTACTTCGGCATCTGCATCTCCACGCCCACCGTGGCTAACTGGACGTGCAGCCGCTTTATTAAAGGCGATCACGGGCTGGACGACAGCCATGTAAAGCTCATCAAAGCGGTCAAGAAAATGCAGTATGGGGCGATGTACCCGCTTCCCGCTGGCGCTGCTATCCTCTTATTCATCATCTTCGTATCGTTTCTGGTCTTTCGGAATCGCCCGGGGAAGAAGGCAGGGTATGCGATTGTGGCGGCGTGGGTGAGTGTGGCGATTGGGTTTGCGGGCGCGCTGAATCCGATGATGTTGGGGCAGGCGTTGGGGTATGCGGCGCCCGTGTATGGGAGTCAGGTGAGCATGAAGATTAGTCTGGGGAATGTGGTGTTGACGTGGATGGCGTTTGCGGCGCATTTGGGGTGGGTGCTGTTGGTGGTTTGGTGGCAGAAGAAGCGGGGTGGTGGTGGTGGTGGGGATTATGGGATGGATGAGGAGGAGGGCAAGATGGAGTATGAGCAGCAGGAGCCGCCATATCCTGCGGGGTATTAGGAGATGTAGATGGGGAGGGAGAGAGTGAGGTTAACTCGATTTGAAAGAAGTTTGACGTTGACAAAGACGTTGCACTATCTTCAGTGAGCTGGGATATGGTATTGTCCTTCCTGATGGAGTTTGATCTGTGCATAAGTCCATTCATCATGAATCGCATGCCTAACGCCGGTAAATGCAATGCCCGTATATATTCCTAATCCTGTGCCGCGCTCGAGAACTCCGCCTCGTAGAACTATGGCACTGGTCAGAATCTCTGCGTAGGGTGAGTATAACATGGCGCCATACTTTCAAGAAGGCAAGACTCACCTCGGTCACATTCTTCGCCAGCTTTGAATCCTTCAGCCGCGACTTGGCATCTGGTACTTTCCAGTTGTTTACACCCCACCACCATCGCCGTATCTTTGCGCCGACGCCCTGCCCGCTGAACTTGGCTGATCGGTTCCAGTGCCGCCAGCCGCTGAGTACGAGGGTCCATAGTACGCCCTGTGCGAAGCAGAATATGACCTAATCAGGTTAGCCAATGGGTTGGCCACATGGAATCCTCTGCATGTACCTGGTCCTTCAGTGTAATCCATAATACGTCCTTCCAAGATTTTGCCGACTCTATGCTCTTGAGGTAGCTCTGTTCGAATCGAAGATCGGGCAGCGGTGGCATGTTCTGCTTCCGCGGTATGGGATTGAGGATGCTGACTGGTATCTCATCTTCGGCGAGATCTGAATCAGCATCTGGATCGGCATATGGATCGAGAGTCACAGGCTGTTTCTCCGACGCAGCTGTTGACGGATTGAGATCGTGTCGCGGGGACGGGTGGCGATTGATGGACGCTCCTTGCAGTGTCGACGCAATCTCGGTTGGGAAATCTGGCTCCATCTTGTCGCATTTAAGTCGTATCGTCAAGCGTGAATGTGGTAGTCGCAGTGAAGCTGCACCTCGGAAGTGAATGTCTGGCCTTGGCAATTGACGTCGGACGTGCCTGCCCAATTACGACGTGGCGGGCAAGACCCTTAGCGGCGGCCCGCATCACGAAGTCCCCCGAGGCGACAAGGCAAACCGACCCCACGACCACGGCAGCACTATTCCTCGCAACACCAACAATCTACTCCCCCAACAAGCCGCCAAGATGGGAAACCAGCCGTCGGCGATTCTGGACAACATAGCCTCGGGCTCGAATTGTGCGTGGAACCAGAGCTAGAGGAGCTGCTCGTGTGAGGGCCTGCGGGGCTGAGAATGGCATGCTAACACCATACAGTCGACCGTGAGGAGGTGGACAGGCTGAGGAAGCGATTTATGAAGCTTGATAAGGTGCGCCATGGCCTGCATCAGACCCTGGAACCTCCTGCTAACCCCATGTACAGGACAACTCCGGTACCATTGAGCGCGACGAGTTCCTAGCACTTCCCCAGATCTCCTCGAACCCGCTGGCAACACGCATGATCGCAATTTTCGACGAGGACGGTGGCGGTGACGTCGATTTCCAAGAGTTTGTCTCCGGTCTCTCGGCGTTCAGCAGCAAGGGAAACAAAGAGGAGAAGCTGCGGTTCGCGTTCCGCGTGTACGACATTGACCGCGACGGCTACATTAGCAACGGCGAGCTCTTCATCGTGCTCAAGATGATGGTTGGCAGCAACTTGAAGGACCAACAACTGCAGCAGGTGCGTTGATACAGGGCGTGGCGGACAATGAATATGCTAACGACAGTAGATTGTCGACAAGACCATCATGGAGGCTGACCAAGATCGCGACGGTAAGATCAGCTTCGAGGAATTCATGAAGATGGTTGAGCACACGGATGTTTCTATGAGCATGACCCTAGACCAATTCTAAGCCACGATTCCTGTACGATCGAAAAGAGCCTTTGTCTTGGCGAGGAGTTTGTGGTGTTTTGGTGGTCTTCTTGGGACGGCTTGACAGGATTCGGTATCCATCAATACACGATTTGGACATGCTTGACTGGCGCCTAGGTTCTCCGAGGTCATGATGCATGTTTGGAGACGATTATGCAGCATGTGCTGTTGATAATTGTGACCTCGATTAAATCCTCCAGGGTCGTTCAGTTTACCCATACACACAAATGCGTCTCGTCTCCGTGGTGAGATATCGAGCTCATCCTGCGTTCCACTTGCACCTTCCAAGGTTCTCGGCCACTAAGAAGTCCTGGCCTAGCGTGCCGCGGGGAACAGCCGCAGGCCTCTCCACTTGTTCGTATCCTCCATCCCTTGCGCATGTTACACCCGAGCACACTGTCGTTGCTCGTTACGTCCCTGGCTACTATCACTTCATGGGCTACAACCCTGAAACGAGATTGTACATGGACATTCACGAAAAAAAAAACGAGATGATACCCGGATCAAATTAATACGCGCAGAGTGGCAGGAAAGTCACAGACAAGGGACGGTTGGTTATCAATACGATCATAAATCGTTCGCAGAGCAGTGGGGGCTTGCTTTGGAGAATATAGATGCAAGTGCTATGCGTTGGTACCACGGCGCTTTAGACGTCAACACGTTTACAAGTGCGGCCAGGGCTACGGTAGACCATGCGAACAGACTCAGGAAGAATATCGATTACAAAGAGTACTCTGGGGCTGGATCACTCTGGGTTGCAGGGAGAAAACATAAGTCGGGCTGCTTACGACTGGCTTGAAAAAAGAAGGGCTAGGGAGTGGGGTGGCCCTTTGGCAGAAACAACGGAAGCATGGTATATTAAAGTGGCAAATCTAGCAAGTGTCTAAGAGTTGCTCCGCCGCGAAGAAAGTGGAGGCCGCATTACTTTGCCCCTCAACAGACTCAACTTAGCAATAAAAGGATGATGGACAGTCAATTACTCGGTCGAATGTACGTGAACATGCTACCCAGCGTTGAACACGTGGGCATGCGTGGGAACCAGCACATGAGGTGTTCACACTGCTAGATAACGCTTGTCAGGACAAGTACTGCTACAGATCACGTCATGTAGGACAGTATCTAACATATGCTTCGACGTGAACCAGATCGAATGGGAGCCCTGCTCAAGAATGTAATTAGCGCGTTGAGGCGAAACACTTTAGTGGTGTCGATTACAAGCAGAAATGTGTCACGTGCCATCGTGCTAGCGTGTTTTTCGCGCCTTCCAGCACGCGTCGTGGGCACTTTCCATCTGGACATCACCAGCCTTAGCTCGTTTTACAAACCAACACTCACGCTCTCAGATGCCAGGGAAGGAAAACTGAAGCCCCCTGATGAAGCCATTCCGGGCTCCCACATTTGTGCGGCCAGATTCGACAAATGGCGAACCACCCCTAAAGAAGCGCAGAGTTTCCTCCGACCAACACTCGTCGAGCAGTGCAGCGATAAGCCGAAAGCCCCTCGTCGCAGTCAAGAATCCTGCACCGAGCCAGTCACCACCGAACGACAGCAATGGCAGCTACTACACCGTGTTGTGGCGAAAGTACACGACCAAGAAGAACAAGACATGGGATGGCGATGGCGTACTTGCTGTAGTGGGCGGAATTGCTTCGCTCACAGACAGCGATACGGGAAAAGAAATGGGAAGAGGTGCCTGCAGCCGACCGCTGCTACCTGGCTCTGCGCTGTCTATAGGAGGCAAGGAGATCGAGATCGATGGAGTCATGGAGAAGGCTGACTATTTGTCCGGTCGCGTGTTCCTGGGAACCGCTGCGGCAGCGCCGACGGAGCAACTGAAACGCGTCGAACCGGCATACAAAGCTCCGCCTGCCATTAAGGCGAAGCCGAAGAAGGCGGGCGGCATGTTTGGCAACGCCATCGCAGCGTTTGAGGACAAGGAGGTTGTGCCAGAGTACAAGCCTTCGGCTTCACGCAAGCAACAATTCAAGACGCCATTACTATCGAATACGGTGCTACCCCAGCGAAATTCGTCGATCCCACAGCCACGCCACGACCCGAATCTACCCAATGCGCTCGTCATGAAGCGACCCGAGTCCGCTCCTAAGGGAAAACAAATTGTGGACGTCGTAGTCGATCCTGTGCTGAGCAAGCATCTGAGAGACCATCAGCGCGAGGGCGTAAAGTTCTTGTACGAATGTGTCATGGGCATGCGGTGCGAGGGCGAGGGCGCTATCATGGCTGATGAGATGGGCCTGGGCAAGACGTTACAGACCATCACGTTACTGTGGACGCTGATGAAGCAAAATCCAATCCACGAAAGCCAGCCAATTGTCAAAAAAGCACTGGTCGTCTGTCCTGCCGGCTTGGTCGACAATTGGAAGCGCGAGTTCCGCAAATGGCTGGGTAATGAGAGAATCGGCGTTTTCGTGGCCAATGGCAAGGACAAGAAGATCACGAACTTTACCATGGGCAAGGCTTACAATGTCATGATCATCGGTTATGAGATGCTTCGTACTGTGCAAGAAGAGCTGAAGAAAGGCAGTGGTGTTGATATTGTCATTGCCGACGAGGGCCACAGGCTAAAGACTGCAAACAACAAAGCGATGTTGGCAATTCAGTCGCTCAACACCGAACGCCGAATCATCCTATCTGGTACGCCTTTGCAAAACGATCTGGGCGAGTTCTACACTGCCATCGACTTTGTTAACCCTGGACTGCTCGGACAGCGGTCCGCTTTCAAACGCACTTTCGAAGCACCCATCCTGCGAAGCCGTCAACCCGAAGCAAGCGAATCAGAGCTTGAGAAAGGTGAAGCACGCTGGAAAGAGCTAGTGTCACTAACAAGTCGCTTCATGATTCGACGCACCGCTGAGGTCCTCAGTAAGTACCTGCCGTCCAAAACAGAACACATTGTCTTCTGCAAGCCCACCAAAGCTCAAGCTGAGGCGTACCGCGCCATTCTATCCTCGCCTTTCTTCTCAGTTGCTGTAGGCGGCAACATGGATATGGCACTTCAGCTTATCATGGTACTGAAGAAGGTCTGCAACAGTCCGTCTTTGATCAAGACCACAAAAGATGGCGAGGCCACTCCTTCCGAGATGCTACAGGCTTTGCTCCCTCTCGTGCCACCCCATGTCCTTAATTCGCACGCTTCCAGCACCAAGCTCCGCCTCCTCGACAGCCTTGTACATCGCATTCACACGACTACCGAAGAGAAAATTGTCATAGTCTCAAACTACACGACCACTCTTGACATGATTGAACGCATGCTTGTATCGTTGTCGTACACCTACCTGCGGCTAGACGGCAGCACACCTTCCAATAAGCGTCAAGCTCTCGTGGAGAAGTTCAACAAAACACCAAAAGCAGCTTCCTTTGCCTTTTTGCTGTCTGCCAAGTCAGGTGGTGTCGGGCTCAACCTCATTGGCGCGAGTCGCATCGTGCTCTTCGATATTGACTGGAATCCTGCCACTGACCTTCAAGCCATGGCACGTATCCATCGTGATGGTCAGAAGCTGCCTGTCAAGATCTACCGCTTCCTTGTCAAAGGTGGCATAGACGAGAAGATCTACCAGCGCCAAGTCATGAAGATGGGCCTGGCAAATGCTGTGGTTGATAACAAAGCTTCCGCATCTTCCTTCTCGAAAGACGAGTTGCGCGACCTATTTCGCCTGGATGAGAGAGAGGGCTGTCAAACACATGACTTGCTAGGATGCACTTGCGAGTGCCATGGCGCGGCGGAAGTCGAACTCGAGCCTGAGCCAGTAGACGAAGAAGAGGAGGAGGACGAAGATGAGGACGACTTCACGACCTTACGACCAGCGAGCCAAGTCGACATGGACGCTCAAGAATCCAAACTCAAAGCCAAACGCGCGGCCAAGCTGCCAAAGCTCCGGATGCTGATGGAATATCGGCATCTCGATACCAGCATTTTGAAGCAGAGCGGTGGGAACAAGCTCGATGAAGATGAGCTGGCGCTTGCTGTCGACGACGATGTGTTCCTTGAGGTGCTCAAGCAGCCTGAGTGTAACGTCGGTTTTCTACTGACGAAGTCATCATCGTAAGAAACAGACAGGGCACAGATGTTAGTAACGTGAGAGCATTTGAACATGAGCATAGCGAAGGCGTTTTTGATACCACAAACAAGCATATTTAAAAAGCATACCCTAGACATGTAGAAGTAAATCTCCTTTCGCTTCGCATCCTCCAGACAACGTAACGCAGCCACGCAATGTCGTGCTCTCAAGACTCACTACCATCCAGACGTTGCGCGACTAGAGGTGTGTTTTTGCCCTGGCTTTTGAAAGTTTTAGGCCTAGCGTGCGATTGCCCGACGGCACATCGCCCAAACGTGCATGAACAGCTCCCCACTGAGGGGTCGTGCGCCGAGGCGATTGACGTCAGTGCGCAGCGCCGCGATGAACGCAGGGCCAAAGGCGTCTGTCCCTCGTTTGTTATGCGACAATTGTTTGCCGTCTGTTGCCGCTGCCGGTTCTAGGTCCCACTAGCTACCTAGGTAGAGCTGCGGAAACAAGTCCCAACACGGGAATTGTGGAACCGCGGCTTCCCAAGGTTGTGTTGAGAATTTGTATAAGATCTTTAAAGGGACCCGGTGTTTTTCCACTAGGTTCGAGTTTGCGACTTGAACATAAGTCTCGTACAATTCAATCCATTTTACACATCACATCCCTCCAATAACCGTAATCATGTCGCAAAAACCAATATTCGTAGCCACACACCCGCGAGCATGCTCGACGGCTTTCGAGCGGGTATGCCACACCCTCTCTCGCTCCACACGCTAATCCAGCTAACGACAATAATCTCAGGTCTTCATGACCAGACACGAGACGCTCCAATGTGTGCACGAGCCTTTCGGAGATGCATACTACTTCGGACCGGAGAGGCTGGCGGAACGGTATGAGGATGATGCGAAGGCGAGGGAGGAGAGCGGGTATAAGGACAGCACGTACAGGACAATTTTTGATCGGATTGCGAAGGAGAATTCTGAGGTATGTGGATTTTTTTTAAAAAAAAGAGATGGTTGAGGATGAAGGGTACACCATTTTCGAGGTCGCACTGCATTTTCGGTGGTGTCGGTTGATTGTGGCTTCATTGCGTGGAAGCGGCAGATTGAGATTGGTGGTGGGATTTTGATGAATACTTGCAAGATGGCGATTTATTACGTCTACCTCAGTCGACTTTTGAAACGATTGATGAATATGAGCTCACAATCTACAGGGCAAGCGCGCCTTCATCAAAGATATGGCACAATACTGGATACCACCCAACGGCAAGCCGGCAACCGTTGCGCCATCGCTTGCCAACTACCGCCGCGGCGTTGGGACAGACACAACCAAACTTTCGCCAGTCCAGTCTCGCGCCCATACAGACGCTCCGTTGTACCCATACAACACTCAAGGCGAGCCAGGCAACCCTACCGTCATCCCCGCAGATCTCCTCAAAACCTACCACTTCACATTCCTCATCCGCCATCCCAAGTACAGCATTCCCAGCTACTACCGCTGCACGATCCCTCCGCTGGACAAAATGACAGGCTTCTACAACTTCCGCCCCGACGAGGCTGGCTACGAAGAACTCCGCCGCCTATTCGACTACCTCCGCAGCGAAGGCCAGATCGGACCCAAATTCGCCGGCCGATCAGAAGAAGCCAACGGCACCTCAAACGGCACCAACGGTAGCAGCTCCGGCGTTGAAATCTGCGTCATCGATGCCGACGATCTCCTAGACAACCCATCCGACATGATCGAGGCGTTCTGCAAATCCACCGGCATCGAGTGGGACCCCAAGATGCTTATCTGGGACACCGAGAAGGACCAAGAGATTGCGAAGGAGGCGTTTGAGAAGTGGAAGGGGTTCCATGAGGATGCGCTGGATAGCACTGAGTTGAGGCAGAGGACGCACAAGAAAGCGCCCAAGAGCGACGACGAATTGTTTGCGGAGTGGAAGGAGAAGTATGGCGAGGAGGGGGCCAAGGTCATTCGTGATACTGTGGCGGCGAATGTGGAGCATTATGAGTATCTGAAGCAGTTTGCTATTAAGCTGTAGACTTGGATACAGTCTTTCAATGCCATATTTCAGGTTTTTTGGGGCTTGAATTGTCGGGACATTTGACTTTAGATGTGCTGAGCTGAAGGTCATCATATATCGACCGAATAAACAGTTTCCGGAGCTGAGCGTTTGACTGACACTTCAAGACATGTTTAGGCAGGAGATTTGCTAACTTCACAGGTAAGAGTATGTCAGTACCGGGCGTGAGAAAAGCAAAGCCGAATCTATATGTAGAGTTAATGCGTGGGCGAGGCATACATAGTCACTGCACACCCCAGGGGCAAAACCAATGTCATCAATCTCGTGCAAACTAGCATCACGTCTCCTGGACTAGCCTTTGTGGAAACGTGCATTTAGCAACGGTTGTCATCCAGTATGCTTGTTTTATTGTAACTTGTTCTGTTCGGTAGTGCAAAAAGTGCACTTCATCTCCACTCACCACTTGATCCAAAAGACCTACCACCCACCAAATACAAGACAGCTTGCAAATCCTCATGCCGATAGCCTTGAGCGATATTTCCAGCTATATTTCATTAACCAGGCATTTTATCAGCCCAAAAATTGACGCTGGATGCCTCACACGCGGTAGGCACCAGCTCAAGCCATGTCCCGAGTTGAGAGATAAACGGCAAAAAGGAAATTGAAAGGTCTCTCAGACGGGGAATCGAACCCCGGCCTCCTGCGAATTGTCTCTGCTCGATGACAAGCAGAAATACTGACCACTATACGATCTGAGACGGTGCTCATGAGAGCAGATCTTGTGATTTCGTGGAGAATTTAGAAATTAGACAATTTATGAATACAATGTCAGCAGAGGAAAAGCAAGGCCTTCGATGTTTACATCATTTCTGCAAGTCTGCTGTGTTGTGGCGTTGTGGTGTGGGTCTTAGGTTCTGGCTCGGGTAAAATTGTGCATTGGTGCGGGACAACGAACCAAACCTGTTTTGGAACAAGATTTTGAGATCATATGCATACAAAACGTCTCGATACATCTCGTCGGTGCTTTTGTACTATGACAACAGGAAACTTAGCTTTTACAGTTTATTTCCCGGGTGCTGAAGCAGGGCTACACTGCATGCGCTGTTACCGTAAAATTTGATTCTAGCGGGTAGTCCAGTTCGCTTCTGAGCAGCGGATACATGTTGGCGATAGGCTGCGCAAAGGCAGGGACAGACAAAGCGGGCTCGAGGGTATGAGGAAAGAGTATGCCCATGCAGAAGGCCTAAACCAAGAACATAAAAAAACAAGGACCTTGTAGCAGGTAATGTGTTCAGGGTAACAGCTGCAGACCTGTGTCTTAAGATTCTATCTACTTCGTGTCTGAATTGGATGCGCCCGTCTGTAAGCACTGGTCACACTGCCACAGCATACAACAAAGCAATGTCAGTCAAGCCCGAGGATGTTCCAGAGTCTAGAACGACACGTGGGAGGCATACTGCCGATCAACGCTGTGCCGCTTGCCTACGGCCTGAGGATGAGGCGGTGCATTGCACGGATCCATGGCAAGGCACTCGTAGGTAACACAACACGAAACGAAGCTTGCAACTGCTGCAAGTATTGACAATCGCACGAATACACTCTTGAGTGAAGGGGAACGTGTGTCACTGCGAAAATTGGCCCATATCTCGTACTTCACCCTTGCGCGGCGTTCGCGACAAAGGCCGAACGCCAAACACGAACCTTCGTGTATGCCTCTCACACTACGTCATGTTGTACGGTACCGAGCCACAGTCAAGTAGCATTCAAGGGGACTTTGGGGGCGACCACTCTCGGGCAAGGCGGATCTGCGAAGAAGCGGTGGATCCCCGGTGAGATTGTGTAAAATGTGGGATGTGGCATGGTCAGCGGCAACATAGACTTTGGTGAAAGCATGGACAAGGGTGGTTAGGAGCTGACGGGCGTAGAAGACCTGGGGGTGCCTTTCGGAACGCGATGGGTCGACAATGAAGAAATGAGAGGGTTTGAACAGGCAGAGATTTTGGCAGAAACGTGAAACAACTGCTATGGAGCAAAAGGCATAACGCGCCTTTCCAAGTTCGTGCTGAAAGCCGATGCTGTATCGAAGATTGGCGTACAGGGTAACATCTGAGCAGGACCTCGTGGCTGAGTCGGATCCTCCGCCTCAGCACTTACGAACGAGGACATTGGCGCCCGGCTCTCTCGACGGGTCAGCTAAGACCGCTCGTTCGCTTTCTTACCTGACCGTCTCTTCCGCATTCAGTTCAAGTCTACTTGTAGAAATTACAAACACTCGCTTCTCTGTCATTGTTAAGATTGCCTGGAACTGAAGCCTTCTGCCTTGTCGTACCTTGGCGCTAATATACGCAATCCACGTACCGAACCGATCTGCAGCGCGTCAGGCTGATTCCCACCTGCCAGGAATAGAGAGCCTCATCAGTTACTCCATAGATAGAGCCAGTCAATAGCTTCGAATCTGTTGGCCAAAGTCGCTCGTTTCATCCACACTCCTTTGTGCTGCATGAGTGTATCTACATTACCTGCTGGCACCGCGAGATTCGACGTGGTAGACGCCAGGCACCGGCACCTGAATCGCGAAGCCTCCCCGCAGCACAGGCGCGAACGACAGCTCAATGCGCAACAATAACAACAAGAGCTACATGAACATTGGCGATGAGCGCAACGAACGAAGAGGACGGGCGCCCTGGTATTGGCGTCTCGTAGCACTCGCTTCGTCATGGATGATTCTGGCAGGGTGAGTTGCGCTATGGTCAGTGAAGACCTTGGAATGGACGAAGCTAACGCGCGTGCAGCTATCTCATACTGCCAGGACTCTATGCCAAAGATCCAACACTACTCAAGTTCAGACAGGCGATACTATCCGTATTTGTTGTTGCCTTTCTGACCGCAGGATATTCATTCACTGCGCTACTCTGTTTCGCGTGTCGCAATGAGCTCTTCCAAGCAGAAAGCGTCTTCCTGTATGCGCGCATATCTTGATAACATGGCATATACTAATGCGCCACCAGTCCTGCACTCGCATCCTCCGCCTTCGGCCTCATATCGATAGCCTACAACTTCCTGTCCTCACATTCGTACATGTGGGGGATCTCCGCCATCAGCGGCACCGTGCTCAGTGCCACAGCCACCCTGACTTACGGCGCCCTGCTACTCTGGACACACCACCGCATTGTCAAGATTGCAGAGAACGGAGGATCGCGGCAACTATGGTCGAATGAGTCGTATTACACAAACTACGTGCACAACATGTACCCGACCGCGACTCGATCGCCCGCCGCGACCCCGGAAGCACCCATCGCGGAGTACGATCCTGTAAATCAGCAGATGGCTTTGCTGCTTATGAAATCGGACCCCCGTCCAAGCCCTGATGCGCACAGCACAACCTTCCGGATAGACATGCCAGAAGACAGAGAGCAGATGGAGCGACAAGCGTATAGCCAGGAGCTCGTTGGTACGCTAGGACAAGTTTATGCCGGCCATAATCGCAATCGAGCGGAGAGTCGACCTGACAGCCTGAGCGAGCAGCAGGCCTGGGAACGATGGCAAGATCGCGGACGCGCGGCCGATAGGCCACCAAGCATTGGCCAGCGAAGTAATCATTCAAGAGGCCTCAGTCGAGAAGAGCGAAGGAGAGAGATTGAGCTTGGTCATCCTTGATCGATTCCTTCGAGCCTGTACTTCCCGAACGTCTCCGGCCACATCTTATCCAGTCTTATTCCAATGGACGAAACTTGCGGGTTCTCGGCCACCATGTTTACTCGAGCAGAGAGTCCGATGGTTTTCGAAGACGAATCCTACAGCACGGCTCCGTCACATCTGAGTCATCGAAGCATTCGAAGCTGTAGTGTAAAGCATCGCTAATAACGCAAACTGTTAGCGTTGGAGTTTTGGGGTCCGCTTATTCGGAGTCTTATAGTGGGTTGCATTGTGGGCGTATTGTGGGATGATTTCGATGTATATGAAACGAAGTGGACATGCTCTCAGCTTCGGCGCCGTTAGTCAAGTTCGACTGTTGTCGCTTGGCACATCTCGTCTGCAGATTTGGTAGCATACTGGAAAGCAATAATTGTCTCTCTGCCATATTACCATGTTTCCAACCCAGATTGTCTCTCCTCTCGATTAGAGGATGCTTGAATCATGGATTTTACGATCAAGCTTTATTGACCAACTTGCGACCAGATCCTGTCATTTCATGTGCATGCGTTCGCGTGGGTTTTCAGCCCCAACGACAGACCTATACTGCAACCACTGAACGCAATATTCAGGCAATGACTTGGCTCAACCCCCCGAATTGAGAACATGAAACAGATGCCCATATCGAAAGGTCTGCAAAACGACGCTCATCACATCACAGCTGGCCTCCCACAGAGATCCGCCCCCATTCTCAGGAGAGATTAACGATGTCGGGTCAGACAACAGCTGGAACCTCACCGCGCACGACGAATCGCAAAAATTCGTTCGGTTCCAGCGTGTACCGACTACTAGGTGTGCACCATCTGACTCAGCCGTATCACCACGGAGCCGACCCGTGAGCCTGGATACAGGAACGCACACGCAATTCAGCCTCAGGCCTAAGCGATTGCTACCTGTGGCTCATGCTTATGTGAGAATGCAGTGACCGCTTTCCCTAAGAGGAGAGTTACACTAGCTTGTGGCTGCGACATAGCACATTCGAAAGTCATGATGGTCGTACAATGGACTTGAAGAGCTCCTGGCTATTTTAAAGCGATTGCAGATGGATGTAGAGTAGGGACTTGTAGAAGGCTTCAAGATCCTGAGCACAGTCACTGGATGAGTAATTGCTTCTCATTACTAGAGATCCATGCACTCTAGGGTTGCGATCAGCATACAATTTCTTCCTGAGAATCTCAGAACAGGGTCGATGTAAAAGCAAATCACAGTCTGCCGGCAAGGACCATTTCAAGGCCATATCGCTCTTCTATTTACATGTTGTATGCGTAGCGTTCATATATGTCGAGCGCGGTCTATACAATTCAACGCAACCGTGCAAAGCCCAAAGGTGCAAGAGCTTGATCAAGCAGTTCAAACTAGGCATTTGGGAGGGCGCGAGATGAAGTGCCCATGATCTCTAAAACAAAAGAAAACTCGTTCTGAGTGTTTCATACAGCGTCTCTATAGGGCAATATGCTGAACGAGACTCACTGCTATTCCATCTAGTCGACTTACAGAATTAAGTGGAAATGTGACGGCGAACAAACCCAGTACCATCCCGTCCATTCCATATTTCCGAAAACCTATAGACAGAGCGCGCAGAGCAATACCCTCTCGTATTCCAGCTAGCAGAGCTTTGACCTTTTGGTTAACGGGATGAGTGAAACGACACAATGTCTCTCCGCGTTTGCTGTCAACAACAGAAAATGAATCACTGTCCTATATGCGGGCGCTTCTACCTATCTCGGATTGCGCATTGACACTCCGTTGCCATGGGTTGCACTTGCTCGGCTTCTTCTCCTCTCCCTATATAAGACCCCACGCCCTCTCCTCACCACACTCTCTACCCACAATTTAGATCTACCAGCTCTACCACAAACTGACAGCTTTCCAAAATCCAACCAACTACCAGCTACCAGCTCGAGCTCGTACAATCACACCACTCACACAATCCTACAGTGTCAAAGGTCGTTTCGACTCACCCCTAGTCGGCTCAGATCATCAACTCACCGACCTCTAGCTCCCTGCGACTACAACCCACCACAGGCAATTTCGAATCTTCCTATCACCAACTCAGCAACTCTCTCGAAGGTGAGCTTTTGTCAATCTTTCTCACTCAACCAGATTCTGACCGTCGATTAGACTTCAAGCAAACCGTCTCACATTACGACACCCAAATCACAAGAGCCTTACAAGATGTCCTCAGCTAAGGAACTTTACACTCTTGCTTCGGCAACTGTCATCAAGAAGGCCAAGGTCATCAACAACGACAAGAAGGCCACGACCACCACCAACGAAGTCTCTCAGGAGATCAACACCAAGGACACCGACATCAAGGACAAGGCAGATGTGTCTCCGCAGGCTTCTCAGAAGGCACGAGCGAAGAAGCTTCGAGCCCTGAACAGCAAGCTCAAGAGGGCAAAGGCCGCGGAGGTTGCTGAGAAGGCCAAGGCCGGTACGCTTACTCGCCGACCCATCGTTGACCAGGCGCCTCTCTCCACTACGGAGGAAGAGTCCTCCATTGACTCGAAGAATGCCTCGGACACTGAAGAGGCCCAGCTTTCTCCCGACAAGCCAGCTTCAGATACGGACACCGCTGCAAATATGACTCCGGCTTCTGAGGACGAATCTGTCTCTGATTCTCAAGACAGCAAGCCTAAGCTGTCACGTCTTCAGAAGCTGCAGAAGAAGAAGATGGCCGAAGGTGTCGTTAAGGCTGATGTGATTCGCAAGTCGAAGCCCAAGAAGCACATCCCGCTTCCTCCGAAGAAGGATCATTCGATGAAGGGCATGCTTGGCGTCGACATATTCGCGTCACGGCCTCGTTCATCTCAGAAGTCTCGTTCTTCCTCTCAGGGCTCCGCAGTCACTCCTCCCTCTCCAACTTCTTCGACCTACCAGATCATCACACCGACTAGTAGCACACATGTTCCTTTTTCAGACACACCTCCTTTGCCAGACACAACTCTCGCTTTCTTCGAGGAGGAAGAGTCCTCAGATGTTGCGATTTCCGTCTCTGATCACGACGAACACGATGGAGACATCGAGGAGATTGTTGCCAGCGCACCTATGATTGTCTCTACCAAGGAGACTCCCATCGGAGCCGACTCAAAGAGCGCCACTGCTTCTTTGCCTGTCGTTGAGCCTACTGAAGATGATGTTTCCGAGACCAAAGACATTGTGGAAGACACTCACGCAACCCTTGGTGGCGAGCCGGTCAACGAGACTGTTGCTGATCAAGATCAAAGCATCTTGAGCAAGCTTGTCGTCGCTCCTATCGAGACATTCATCGATTCGATCACAAACACCGTCAACGACCTAGCTGCACCTACCTCTGAGACGAAACTCAACGACGGCGCCCCTGCGCCTTGTGATGTAGTTCTTGAGACTACGACTAGCATGGAGACTCCCGTGAGCGCTGAAATCGCTACGCCTGAGGACGTCTCTAACTTCTCTGAGGATAGCACCGAAGCTGACGTCAAGTCGACCGAGGCCAATTCCTTGGCAAGCTTCCTCGCGCTACCAAATGGTACGGGCGAGGACATGTCTGCTCGCCAGCTGCGGGAGAAGCTGGTCGCTCTACATGTCGCGCCCTTGATTGAGCCGCAGCAAGAGAGGAACAAGCGGTCGCGTAAGGAGAAGAAGGTTTCGAAGCCGAACAACACTGCTGCAGTCCCACAGGTTGATTTCACCGACCAGCCTATTGCTCCGGCAGACCCTGTTGTCGAGAAGCATATCCTCAAGCAGCCGCATTATTCTCCCCTTGCCGTCGACGATGGATTCGTGGATGATGCTTTCGTGGCCGGCTTGCTGGCTCGTCCGAACGGCTGCGCTGGGGACACCACTATTCGCCACCTGCACGAAGACATGGTGGCCATGCTTGCCGCTTCTCCAATGAAGCCTTCGCAACAGTTGATGAAGAAGGAGAAGCAGGTCGCTGCCACTACATCTTTGGCTAACAAATCTCTCTACAAGAAGGCTCTTACCCCATACGAGGAGTTTATATCCACTCCTAAGTGGAGCATGCCCTTTCGTCGGTCTTCCAAGTCCTCTTCGATATCACCAACATCTTCGGAGGTGTCGGAGCGCGAGCTGTATAAGGCAAAACACACCTTCATTGGCACCATCTCTTTGACGGAGTTTCTTTCGGAGTTGAATATCCTCCTGGAGGACTACATGTCTTCCAAGGACGATGTTTGCCGCGCTTTTGCTGCATGTGCCGCAAAGGAGGCGGAGGTCTATGGATTTCACAGTGATACATTCATCGACCATGACTTCGACTCTGTGTTAGTGCAGTGCCGGACTAAACTTGGCTCCAAGACCCTTCACGCATTCCTGCGTGGCATCTACTTCGATGACGAGGGTATCACTCCTGTCTCCTGCGTTATAAACGGCTTCTACTCGGCTGCCGCCAGTGATATCGGTCCTTCGGCTAAGGTTATGCGTGCTTTGGAGTCGGCGTCTGACTATTCCAGTTAGATGGCCCTATGTACATAGGGCTGACCACTCTTCTCTCTTTTCTTTCTCATCATTACTGCGCACTTCCGCACAATCGCGGCGGTTTTGGAAGCTAGTATCGATTATGAATGATAACATTGTTCTACAACATATGAACTCGATGATCTTTGATAATGCCATACCCGTAGTCCATAACTACTGGTAGTGACTACCAAATACCCTCTCAACTAATCAAGTATTCATCAGAACAATTGCAGACTAAAATCTCACAAGTCAGATAAAATCCAATGATACATTATTGTAAGGCTATGAACTTACAACGACGAGAATGAATTCCGCAGCGATAGTCAATACCAGTACATTGAAGTATTGGTACAGACAATAAGCAAGAAAAATGTAGCCAAGGATGATCAGTGTCGCAGCGACTGTCTGCTCACGAGCGTTTGTTTGCGGCTCATACACCATAACTTGAGCAGGCAATGTCTCTTCCGTGCGAGAAGCTTGTGATGCCATCCATATTGTATTGATAATTGCCATGATCTAGTAGGTTCATCAGTGGAAATAACGTCGAAGATTGTGTATCAAGTGAATTTCCAACACATACCACAAACAGAACGAGCCAGGCAAAGATCGTGACAGCTCCTTTTTGACCTTCGCCGAAAATCACATATGCGACGCCCGCTAGGACTCCATAGCTCATAGTCTTGCACGTCAATATGACACGTTTATGCCGGACCCTTACGGCTTTATATTCTCGATCACGGAAGGCAAGACGTACTGGTGCTTGTACGGGTAGCATCGGTGGTGTAGACGCTGCAGGTGAAGTGGGTGGTGTGTCTTCAAAAGCCAACCCCGACAGTGTATATTCTAGACCAGGTAGCTGAGGAGTAGATGCTCTTGATACTGGTGCGCTCTCTGGGTAAGACACGGGATCGTAGGCCAAGTTCATCTTGATGAGCACGTGGGCATATGTGAATGGCAACAGTATGGTGTTCTCGAATTTGAAAGCATTTAAAATGAATACATTAATTCCCAAAAGCCCCAAAAAGTCGCTACCAGTTTAGTCACAATATCAGAACCACGATTAGCTTATAGCGATGTAGTGGGACCCCGTCGCGGTACACTAGGAACACTACCCAGTGTCTCGCTACTTCAACTTCTCGGCGCACACTCGAGAAGTTATGCAAGGCAAATTTGAGGGGCTTTGCGATCATGAATGACAATGCTTCAGAGGTAGTATCTACCAAGCCTTTACGGGGTTGCGGGCTGAGCATTCTGCCTAAGGCACTTTTGGAAGTTAACGCCATACTAATTAGCTATGGAATCAATCCAGGCTTGCACATAAAATAGTAGCTGTTCTTTGATAATAGCTAGAGCCTGATCCGAGTGCACACAAATTAGGATATGGACGGGCTAAGACCTGGTTTAGAAATTGTATGGCAGCACGGAAACGAACATTTGCTAGGCCTGGTGGTTTGAACATGTTTGATTCGTAAATCGCGTTACGCGCTGGCGCTTCGCATGTATTTGTAAACTCGAACTTTAAACTTTCTCTCCCGCCCTCTGGTGCTGAGTCTCGACATGATGCTCCTCCATATGGACTGCGACTGCCTTTTCGCCACCGTTGTCCAACACCTCGGACATACCGCCCTGGCCCCTTGTAAGTTCCGCACCCTTGCGACCAATGAGGTACCAGGGCAGGTTGAACATCTCGTCCATAGATTCCAGACTCTTGCCAGAGGTCTCGGGCATGAAGAAATAGACCCATCCAAGACCAATTGCAGTCACACAGCTGAAGAACAGCATCGTGCCACCGGTGGTCATTGAGATGAACATTAGCGGCACCGCCTTGGAGTTTCCGTATTGGTTGACGAAGTGGAAAGTCATTGCAATTGAACCACCGAGAGCACGGAGTCTGAGCGGGTAGATCTCGGAGTTGATGAGGTACTGAACACTGTTCCAGCCAAGGGCCCAACCGAATCCGGAGAAGTAGATCATGACAATGGCGCCCATAGCAGCGTGCTTCTGGCTAGCTGTTTGCGGGACCGACTTATCGGAAATCTTGTTGTCGATGAGTAGGAAGATGGCCATGTAAAGCATAGCAACCAGTTGCAGGGTGATACCGGTGGCGAGGGAGCGTTTGCGGCCGATCAGATCGATCAAGAAGAAGGCACAGATCATAGCACTGATGAACTTGACAACGCCAAAGATGGCAGTAGCAAAAAGCTTCTCGTTCTGACCAGTCGTGCCCATCATGGCGAAATATTGAGGTGCATAGATTGTGATTGAGTTCGCTCCCGACCACTGTCCAAGGATCTGTGAGAGCAGACTGAGCTGGATGCGGTACAGGTTGGCCTTGCTGGTGAACATCTCGCGGATTGGTCCAAGCCAAGTGGTGCCCATGGTGGCTTCACGCTCGCGGTTGAGCTGGTCGTTGATGTCGATAATCTCAGATTGGATGTAAGGATGGTCACCAGGAAGCTGACGCAGAATCGAGAGATTCGTGAGCGCCTCCTCATGGCGGCCGACCTTGATGAGCCAACGTGGGCTCTCCTTTGCGAAGAAAGAAAGGATAAAAATGACTCCAGCGAACATCAAATGCAAGCTGTTGGGAACCAGCCATTGTGCATCAGTCTTGCCGGAAATGTGGATTGAAGAACCCCAGGAAGCGAAGTAGGCAAGCATAATACCACTGGTACACGGTCAGTTTGTGCGAGATGGTGCAAGACAAAGTTACTCACAGGTAGACGGATCCGGCGAAAGCACAAACACAGAGACCGCGAATAGCTCTTGGAGCTGTCTCTGCGAGGTATGTGGGTGCAACAACCGTTGTTTGTCCGATGCCAACACCTGCAATAAATCGGCCGGCGTAGATCATGCCAATGTTTCCAGTGGCAGAAGATGCGAGGAAAATTGCAATTCCTATAACCCATAGAAGACACAGCTGACGTGTAGCCCAAAGACGGCCAATCTTGTCTGTGAGGAAGAAAGCAATACCGGCTCCAAGAATTGAACCCATCTGGACCATGGAAGTGATGTTTGAAAGTAGTTCAGCTATTTCATGCTTCGATTTGTTGTGGTCTTCTAGGCCAAACTTGATTTTGAAAGGCTCAAGTTCAGCTGTAGTACCGATGAGGCCTTCATCGATTCCACGAGCTGCACCCATAAGACCAAAGACGAATACGCCAAACCAGAGACGCCAGTTAAGGGACTCTTTGGGCGTATCCTTGAGATTCGCTTTCCATGGGTTGTGCATGTTGGGCAGATTTTGGAGGAAGGAATCTAAGATGAAAGAGGTTGCCAACTGCGGTGCTGACAGGAGTAGCAAGGCAGGCGTAGCAATCACAACAACAAGGAGCGAACAGACTTTATACAACGGTGCGACTCTGGAGACCCCAGCCGCGGGGTATGGCATGCGGAGATACTGAGTGCGGAAAGATCACCTAACGCATCGGACTCTTGCCCCCGGTACGAGCGACGACCCATCTGCGCTCACTGCTAGCAAGCAACCATTGACTCGTGCGTCTTTACGACACTTGGTTATTTAGCTCTGTTGATTGGAGAGGAAAATGGCCTGTTCCGCTTTTCACCGGTTTTCCCGTCTCTGGGAGTGTTGCCGCTGATCAAAAGCCGACGAGCACGAGAATTTTGCGCCACGGTTGGACTGCACCACCATCAGAAGCAGTAGTGTTGCATGCCAAGATCATCGCGTGGAGCTTTGCGAGCTTGGGATGCGGCAAAGATGCCTGCTTGGTGCGCAAAGCTTCCTCTTGGGTGGGTAAAGCTTCCTTGTCGCTGCATATTGTGGAGCTTAGCATCGGTGGTGTCAACCACTCAAAACCGGGCCTCTGTCAGCTGTTAGTCCTTGGTGACACCCCGCATCGAACCCCATGGCACGCTGCGTCTCCACCGAAGCTTTCAGGAATGAGCCCAGACTGCTAAATGTCGGGATCCGCCAGTGCAGTCCATTGGTGGAGGCGTCGCGAGAATGACGGGAGCAGGGTGGGTGGGTTCAACAACGCTCGTACATCACCTCGTTACGAGGCGCGAGGCCCAACCGGTGGTAGATTATGGCTCCGAAGAGACTCCGCTGAATTGGATTAAGCTTACCATTATTAGCTTATAATCTTGACTTGTGAGGCCCAGTCGGCGGCAAGGATTTGATATGCGCGGCTCCAACGCGTTCAGCCTCCTTGTTCAACGCTTGAATCTCGGCATCCACGAGCGGTATCCCGTCTCTTAGGCGCTTTTCCTTATTCAAGTCCTCAATCTCTCCAGGAAAATATATGCGGTCGACACCGGCCATTTTCTCTGAGCCAACAACGCGTCCATAGAGGTAGTCCATTCTTTCCCTGAACTCTTCAATGCTCATGAAGAGATCCGGTTTGATTGCCACAAGAAAGTGGCCGACGTCTGCTGGTCTGGACGGGTCGTAAGGGTTGGTAACATGCCCCGCGAAAGCGCTTCCGGATAGCACTCCAGAAAACACATCCATCATAATCGCAATAGCGGAGCCTTTGGGTCCGCCCATTGGAAGCATGACACCTTCAAGCGCCAAGGCTGGATCGCTGGTCCGCCTACCCTCCTTGTCGAGTGCCCAGTCCTCAGGAATCTTCTCTCCTCTCCGCAAAGCTTTGTATATCTTGCCACGTGCAGCGACCGACGGTGCCATGTCCATGATGAACGGTCGGCCTTTCTTCCCAGCCGGGGCCCCACAAGCAATTGGAGACACGCCCATTAGCTTTGACTTCCCTCCCCAAGCTGGCAGCGCAGGAGATGAATTGGTAAATACCAAGCTCATCATGTTTGCATCAAGTGCTTGTTGGACAACCCAAGCCGACATGCCGAAGTGGTTCGAGTGCTTGACAGAGACCATGCCAATGCCAATGGTCTGGGCCATGTCGATAGCTGCAGCCATGCCCTTGCTTGCTGCAAGGAACCCGAAGCCGTTGTGACCATCAACTTGAGCCACCGCTGGAGTAATCTGGCGCAGGGTCGGAGACACGCCAGCATCAAGAACACCTTCTCTAATACGTGCCATATATGAAGGTATCCTGTTCATACCGTGCGTGTCCACGCCCCGGAGATCAGCTTCGACGAGACATTTGGCAACAATAACAGCGTTATCTCTTGGAACGCCATTTCCGATAAGGATGTGCTCCACGGCGTCTCGTGCATCCGAAGCGCTGACATGGTGCATTCCTTGGTGCTCAGTGGACATCTTGGCAGCGGCGGAAGTGGTTCGATTTTCCAGCAAGGGTAAATGCGAGAGGAGCGGGTACAGTCCAGATAACACGATGAGGATCTGATTCAACCGTAGGCGAAGGCTCTGATTTAAATGAGTCAATGAAGTAGTCGTGTAGAAGTGAGCGCGGTGAGAATGCCGATGTCAACCTCGCATGCCTAGCCTGAAAACGTAAGCGCAGCAGGTCGATGCGCAAGACGCAGGTGCGACAGACCGCTCTCAACGTAGGCCATTCTTGTTCTCGCACTAAGATGGCAATACTTGGTGTATGTGATTCCTGTACACTAGTCTTTTTTATGCAACTCGTTTGCGCCCAAGTGTTGCTGGAGCGCCAAACTTCCCTGACCTGAGTTCGAACATCTAAAGTTCACAAATATCAGAGGAACACTTCGACTCACTCGTGAACAAAAGGTCTTCTGCTTATAGCTGATCAAACCCAGGTTCTACGTCTAGACTGAATGTATGCGCAGTGTCGTTCAGTTATCATAACCTGCCTGACTCATGAATGGGCTCTTCGCTCTAATCCTACTGCCAAATTTTTGGAGTACCAGAGGGATGAAGCTCAATGCCAAGGCAACAAACCCTAGTAAGCTACTTGCCCACTGAAACCCGAGTGTTCGATACATGCTTTGAGTGGCCAATGGTAAGAACGCGGCCATGAAGTTCTCAAGGAAAGCGATGCCAGCTATTGCGCTAGCTGCGTATTTAGCATACGCGTCCACAACGTATGTCGTGAGTGCAGCAGTACTACAGAACATTCCGAAGCCCACGAAAGACAGTGCAATGCTGGGGACTATCCACGGTATGCTCGAGTATGATGTCCATGCAAAGAAGAAGAGGCCGCCCATGAGGCCAAAGAAGGATGCAGGTATACTAAGGTAAAGACGAGCTTCTGGTACTGGTTTTCCAGGCGTCTCAATATTATGCTTTGCCGAGCGAAAGTATAGTCGATCCTGGAGGAGCGATGCCATGAGTCCGATCAGCTCTCCAATAACTATTGCGGATTGTACGATACCCGTTTCAAAGAAACTCCACTCGTACAACTCAGAATAGACCTGCATGATGGATTGCGTGAACATGAATGCGATCCCAATGCAGAATGCTGACCAGAGACCAAAGGAGAGTACCACGCCCTCGGTGCAAAGCATTCGAGTCGGCCGGATGAGTGTCTCCCCGAGTATGTCTTGGATAGTTTTGTGCGAATTGTCAGAGTTGGTTGCAGTATGTTTGACATGTGCAGTCTCCTGATTTGTCGCGAGGTCGTAATGCGCGATGATAACTTCGGGCCTGACTTCGGGTAACAGGAAGAATACGACTGGCAAGAGCGCGGTATAGAAGATGATTTGAGCGATAAATATCCTGATAGTGGGTTAGTTCAGGAGGTTGCATGAGCTTGCTAGGCAGAATTTACCATCGCCAGGTAGTGTAATTTACAGTAACACTGCCAAACACTGGCCCCATGCTTAAGCCAGCCAGCAGTGACCAGATGTAAAGTGAAGTACTAAAGCTCTTCGCTCGCCCCGCTCTCCAAATGTCGCTCACAATTCCAGATGTGATGTTTGAGAGAACCCCAGAGCAGGCACCAGTAATGATGCGTGTAATGATAAGTGTAGCAAAGTTTGATGCTGCAGCCTGTGGGACAATGAATATGATCAAGGCAGCGTGAATCACCTGGCGCATGTTCAGCACAAACGCAAGGCAGTCTTAATGCGTGTTATACCATACCATGTAGCTCTTCCTCACACCAAAGTTCTCCATGAGCGGCAGGCCGACCATTGGAGCTGCTGCCCCTCCCAGATTCCACGACAGTACTGGCCAGTATGAGTGTGGGAAATTCTCATCGCTGACGCGAAAGCTTTCGTTGATCTGCTCAGCCGCACTTGTCAACATCGTCCCGTTGATTTGAATGACGAATGTCATGAAGCTTGCTAGTATCGTCACTCTCCATTTCTTCGAACTTTGCCAATTGAATGGATTTCCGGGCATTTCTCGGGTTGTTCCACTCTGTAGGATTGTCCTTGAGCGCATCTCCGGCGGATGAGTTCACGAATACCAGAGAGTGGTTCGCCACTACTGTCGTCTCCGAAAAGGCTAAAGTTGGCGTTGTGCAGCCAGAGCTCTGCTTTTTGTTCCTCAGTTCGAATCCGTTTGATGAACCCCAATTCGTCGACATGGTATCTATTGCTAAGACCTGAATACCGCGCAGTGACAAGACGAGGTTTGTGTCTTTGCTTTGAACGTGGCGGTAAATACTACTGATGAACGGGCGCAGCCCTGATTGGAAGCCTCGCTTTGATCACGAAAAGACTTGGAAGGACAAAGCCTGGAACAGGGTTTCTATCCAAAGTCAAAGGCCGTTCAGATGATCGATGGTATCCGGGACACATGCCTAGACACCCTAGGACAGGATGCCCAGGCGGATTGTGTGGCTGTCTGTGAGACTTACCATTCGATCAAGTGCTACTGCCAGGGCGGCCGTACATAGCGATGGATAGAGGCACCTGAAACACTTGACTCTTTGTAACAGTTGTCTTTGTCTGTGCGGCGTCGTCCGGCTGGTATACTGGTATTGAGGGTGTCGTCGAAAGTAAGGGAACGCCAGCATCTATAATCTCCCATTTTCGGGATAACCTGGACGCACATGCTACAGGTGTGAAAAGTGACATCATCAGGGAAGACGTGCTCAGAAAAGACTTTGACTAAAGGATCGCTCGGTGATGGTGTTGGATAACGTAAGAGAAAAGAGGGAGCGAGGCGGACGCTAGTCTCACTGCGGGTGCTCCTGCTCTTTGTCATTTTCAATGGTCAATTAGGGGTCCCGTGTATGGCAAAGCATGGAAATTTAAAACAGGAAATTGTGATGCGAAGATCATTACAATTAAAGCGAATGAAGTTGTTCCTTTGAGTTGATGTTGTCCATTGCCAGTACCCAACAAAGGCGCATCGATGACTGGATCGAAACACGCAAGAACGACTCTCAAATACCGTTGAGAAGGCCTCGTAATCTAAACAATGCTGCGCTTCGCTGTCGGATTGAACAAGAACAAAAAACGAGTGCCTCACAACAATTGAAGATCAGGCCGTCCAATAAGCGACTAATCGGGAACTAGCGCATGACGAATGATGAGAATGTCAAAAAAACCCGCAAAAAGAACCAGCAACTTCGCAGTGCAAACGAACAACGAAAAGTCAAAAAAACGAAGCCCATGGGGATCGAACCCACAACCTTTGGTGTTTATGTTTTCAAACCGAAAACCAACGCGCTACCATTGCGCCAAGGCTCCTATCGTCTGATTGATGAAAGAAAGAAAAAGTAGCTGCATTATATACCGTTTGCCAAAATTTGCACGACATGGTTCCAAACTTTGTGGAAGTCGCTCAAGTCGACGCTGCTCCAATCTTGGTGAGAAAAGTGGGGTAGTGGGGTGTTTTTCAAGAACTACATGAGGAATTTTCCTTCGGCCAGACACCGGCGAAAGCACTTTGCATCACGAGATTATCGAGAATGTTGAGTTCACGTTGTGATGGTGTTCGTCGATGCGGTACGCACTTTCCGTGGAACACACATGACGAAGATCTACCACGTCTACTTTGCGCCACGCCCAAGCCCAATTCAACACATCTTGCAATACCTTTGAGTACGCATGTACGCAAGAGCCTCTACAGCCGTCACCGCTGACTTTATCTCGCATGCGAACGGCTATCTTCTCGGACGTAATATGTACCGACTCTCTTTATATCTGGCCGATCCAATACGCGGGGACCATGCGCGACATGAACGTGAATTCTTGCGTCATTCATGCTCCCCTCAATTGTACATCCACTTCGAAAGAGATCAAGCCGTGGCGCCATTTGATGCAACAGCACGCGATAATGCACCCGAGCACAATGAATCTTCGGACTCACCTGTGTGAGGAGTCAGGTTCGGATGCATCGCATCTATATACCTGACATGGCCTCGCAGCGGAGTTCACACACACTCATTCTCTATATCGATACGCATCTTACACTAGCATGCTGTGGAACCTTGATATAGAGACTTCCGATATCGTACGCAGTCCCACTCGATGTAATACCGTCGAATCGGGAGCCAAGGATCATTTTCCACAGTCATGCTATGTCTTATCTGCAGCAAGTCAGCGCGCATGCTCCCAAGCGACTAACCCTAAGAAAGGGTGATCGGCAACAGCTATGCTCTGGTATGTAAGGTGGGCTTCCAGCTTGCAGCATGATAAATTGATCGTGAGTTCCAGAGGTTAACCTCAAGTGTCTTCCGTTGACATCCAGATACGATATCTCTCTGCAGAAAAAATGTTCACTCTCATTCGAACGACGCTCATCGGGCTTTTGTTCTCCTCTTATGTTACTGCATCACCTATCTCGGTGGAGTCTAGGTCGACCATACAAAGAGTCAAACCAGCAACAGAAAAAATCACCCCAAAAGTCTTCATAATCAGCATGTTCGCAAGCGAAGAAAAGACGTGGTTCAACATCCCCGAATTCAACATCCTTGCCCAAAATATCACCATCCCCGGCCTAGCACCCCAATTTCCCGCCATACACTGCACCGCAGATGGATCAATCTGCCAAATTGTTACCGGCATGGCTGAGATAAACGCCGCTGTCACAGTAACCTCGCTCGTCCTCTCTCCCCAATTCGACCTGACATCAACGTACTTCCTCCTCGCAGGAATCGGTGGCATAAACCCCGAAGTCGCAACCATCTCCTCCGTCACATTCGCACGGTATGCCGTCCAAGTAGCCCTGCAATACGAATTCGACCCCCGCGAACTCCCCGCAAACTTCTCAGCTGGATACGTGCCACAAGGAAGTAAGACACCCGACGAATACCCCAGGAGCATCTACGGCACCGAAGTATTCGAAGTCAATGACGCCCTCCGCAAACACGCCGTGTCCTTCGCCAAAACCGCCATCCTAAACGACAGCGCCGAAGCAATCGCCTACCGCGCTAAATACGCTACTCCCAGCGGCATATACGCAGCCGGCACGCAGCCCCCCAGCGTCGTCGAATGTGACGTAGCCACGAGCGACAATTACTTCACAGGCAGATTGCTCGGCGAAGCATTTAGCAATTACACGCACCTCGTGACGAACGGGACGGGCGTGTATTGCAACACTGCACAGGAAGACAACGCCACGCTCGAAGCCTTGATCCGCGCCCACGCCGCCAAACTCGTAGATTTCTCACGCATCATCATCATGCGGACGGCGAGTGACATGGACCGGCCGTACCCAGGACAGGCCGCGACGTCCAACCTGTTTTGGGAGAATCAGGGCGCGTTTCCGCCGGCGGTGAGGAATATTTATCTAGCTGGTGTCAAGGTCGTGGAGGGAATTCTGGGAGAGTGGGAAGAGACATTCAAGAGCGGGGTTGAAGCTACGAATTATGTAGGGGATATTCTGGGGAGTATTGGTGGGACGCCGGATTTTGGACCGGGGCCGGTGGTAGGGAAGGCTGGGGCGAGGAAGAGGAGTGCGAGGGGATGGCGCTGAAAATGAATGTATGCTGTTGAACTTGCTACAAAGGATTACCTGGCTACTTGAAGACTGAGGCGCGCTCGTCAGCAAGCAGTCCGTAACTTGCTCGTGTGCTGTACCCAGCTTCCTCCTCTGCCATATAACCGCCAAAGACTTTCTGTCTTCCACTTTACCGCTTATATGTACACCCTTGATACCTTCCCATCAACCTCAGAGCAGGAAAACAGGCGCGGTAGATGCCAACATTCATCACAGTTTCTCACAGGCAAGACGTGTTGGCTAAAATTATTATAAATGACAAAAGAGTACATTTTTGTCTGAGGATGATTGGTCAGTCCGCTCCGCTAACTGTCGACTTTCTTCCTCCGCCCTTTCACTTTCACTTTCTACGTATTACTCTCTCGTTTCTAAAATCAGATATTCTTCTCAACGCCCCTGTTTTTACTGGAGTATACCCGGCTATTCGAAAATTTGCAAAACACTCGGAGCCCTCGCACCTCACCAAAATCTCATATCATACCAAAAACCTCACACCTACACCACTGAAATGACACATCCCCACCCCCACCAGACCGCTCCCCCCTTCGGCCCCCTCCTTCCCAAACCCTCCAAACACACAACGTTCGACCCACTCAGGGGTCTTTCCGGCTCACAAATTGGCGCGCCACACAACCACAGCCGGCTTACCAACAACGCCTCTAACGCCCATAACCGCAAACGTTGCGCCACCTTCTTCCCAACAACCCTGTGCCCTATAGGGCCGGGCGGGCAACGGGCGAAAAACCCCTTTCGCCGGGTCTGGCCGAGGATATATATTCCCCGCGCCCCCATAGTGCCCGCGGCGCCAGACGGAATGTGGAGATGGGTGAGATGAGGGTGTCGCAGAGTTCGGTATGTGAGCGGAGGAGGGTTAGTTCTGTTTCTGCGGAGGGGAAAGGTGGGGGCAAGAGTACAAAAGGGAAGATTGGGGTAGCGGTGGGGATTGTGGCCGTGTTTTGGGTGTTGATTCTGGTCGGGGTGTTTTTGCAGATGGGGAGGGAGAAGAGCGGGCAGGGCGCAGGCGGCATTTGAAGGATGTGGAATGACAAGGTTGTGTGAAAGGGCACAAGGGTCATGGAAATTACAAGATCTGGTATTACTGGGTGCGGCACTGGGCTGCTTGAGTGTCTATGGAGAAGGAAAGAGAAGTGGAAGGCGCTAAGCGAAAGGAAGCTTGGATGACTACAAGATTATGGTGAACGGAAATCGAAGCAGAAAATGGAAGAAACCTGGACATCCATCTTTGTAGCCATGTCTGTATGAGAATGCCAGACATATCACGTGTTGGCCTGCATGAAAAGCTCGCTGGGAGCGTTCGCTCAGAATCAAATAGGTCGGGCGTGTCCTGACCCATATCCCCAAAGTAAGCCCACCCTTTTAAACCCGAAGCTATCTGCTAATCGCGCGATAGGTGTTGCAAAATACCGCCCAACGCCGCTATGGTTGTTTGTGGTTCCATACATGATTCTCACCACATCTACTTACTCCTTGTGCGGCTTGGGCAGACCGGCCAGCCGCCTGGCTTCCCTGTCACCCTCAGCGAGCCACTGACTCGCCTTGACCATCTGGACAATGTTGATGTACTGCTTGATGGCCATGACAGGCGCCGAGGTCAATGTCAGGATCCATGGCAGCGTCGAGTCCATCTTGTTCGCGCGAGCCATCTCCATAGCGCCTGCTGACCAGGGGCTGGTGAAGAACATGGAGGGCTTTGGGGCGGCTGGCGAGCCAGGCTGGATCGACGACGGGGTCTGCTTGTCACCTAGCAGGGTAGGCGAGAGGAGCGGCGAGCTGAAGGAGAGGAGGTAAAGGGCGATGAAGAAGATTTCGTTCATTGCGCAGAAGGTGAAGAGCACTTTCTGTGGGGTTGTTAGCATCCACGCATTGCAGCAGCAGAGTATGACGCACGTTGTTGGAGTAGTACTGTTTCAAGATCCAGCTCCTGCTCTCGTCCACGTTCTTATGGCTCTGGCCGCTGCCACCCATGCTCAGCGTCGCGTACATGTGCATGTAGTGACTGGCTAGATCCAAGGAAATGAGACCCTGGAAGACGATGCTCCATCGAGGGAATGCTTGCGCCAAGAAGACAAGCAAACATGTTGTAGTGCACCTATCCGTTACCATGTCCAAAACTGCACCGAACTTTGTAGATTGCTCGAACCGGCGGGCCGCGTACCCGTCGAGGGCGTCGAGCAGACATGACACGCTATAGAGGAGCGAGCATGTGCGTGGGTGGAGGGGCATGTAGTAGAGGGAAGCTACGGCAAGAACGACGCGCGAGTAGCCTGTGAGGGGTCAGCTGATGTCTGGGAAGAGGAGGGGCAGGAGCGACGGACCGATCAAGTTGGGGATGAAGAGGAAGATGTTCTCGTATGGGTGGTCTTCGGCGGTGCTCTTGGTCGCAGCGGTGCCGTTGGCGCTGCCATTTGCGCGCTTCCGTACTTCTGACATTGTGGGAGGGATTGTGTATTGATGTTGCGTGTTGAGTCCAGCTATGTTCCCAGTCTCTCTCGGACACTTTATGTGAGGCTACTGGCGTGCCCCGCTGGCTGTGTCTCTTGTGTGCGAAGTCTGTGGATGCGCTGTGCCGCTTCCGTCGTCTTCCAAGCCGTAAGCTCCGAGTGATGTAAGCGCAACGTTTTTGGGTCGCCGGAAGCCTGGTGGATGTTTTTGAGATGGTACTGAAGCTTCTTCCACGCGTAGAGGGTGAAGGCACGCGACGTCAGGTGATGGCAGAGGTGTCGATTCTGGCGTGGGTCCAGCTCCTCAGAAAGTTGTCCAACTCGGAACGATAAGCCGATAAGAAGCTCAGGAGCTAGGTAGGGCTGCAGGGGTCGTGTTACGTCGCGGGGCAGGTGCGTGCGAGGAAGGGCCGCTGAATGGAGGGGTGGAAATGTCTGGAAGATGTTTACGTGTTGTGAGAAGCAATGGACAGACAAGTAGTGCCCAGGTTTGCAGGCAGCAGAAAATGTCATCCTGCGAATTCGTCCGCCAGCTCCCGGCTACGCGGCCTAGACCAGAAAGGGGCTTTTCTTGGCAATGGAACTTGTTCCGACAATGGACATCACGATGCCTCATTGCAGAAACTTGATAACGAGTAATCATGATGTGAAATTGGTGAAGATCGCCATGTCGTGAATGCACTTCCGGACTATCTACCTCCTGGACAGCTTGCTAATCTTCTTCGACTTGTTCTTTGCCAACGCCTTCTTCTCCTTCGCCCTGTTCGTGTCCATGCCTCTGTCCTCCTTGGCCTTCTTCCAGATCTTGCCCTCACTCCTCTCGTCTCTCGCATCAAGCTTCTTCTTGTCCTTACCACTGAGCTTCTTCTTCTTCTGCTTGACTGATCCTCCAGCGGCAGCATTCAATGCTGCAGCACCCTTCTCGCGCTCTGCCATCTTCTCCTTCTCCGTCTCGAACCACACGCGCTTGGGTCGGGATTTGATCTCGGCCTCGTGCTCGATGAGGTTCATGCCACGCTTGAGGTCACGTTCGGTTATGCTCAAAGTGCGCTCCTCTTTCTCCTCCTTGAGAACGTCCTCAATCTCGTCTTCGAGACCCCGAAGCTTCTCCATCCATCGGTCTGTTTCTTCTACGGGGACTTGTCTGCTGACCACCTTAGATCCCTGATCCCTTGACTGCTTCACTGCCTGCTTGACGACCTTGCGATCAGGCTCTGCTGCAAGCGTGCACGCACGACCGCTTCGTCCAGCACGAGCAGTACGACCGACACGATGAAGATAGATCTCGTGACTCTGGGGTGCTTCGTAGTTGATGACGGTGGAGACGTTCTTGATGTCGAGACCACGAGAAGCGACGTCAGTGGCTAGGAGATAGGACGACTTCCCAGACCGGAACGCTTCTACGGCTTGAATACGCTGTTGCTAATTAATATCTTACACTGCAGGTCTGATATAGAGAAACATACCTGTTCCTGGCTCATGTTACCGTGGAGCTCGCTTGCCTTGAGACCGCAGAGAGCAAAGACCACGCGCACTCTGTGTGCCTCCTTCTTTTGCCTGAAGAAGATGATGACTCGTTCCGTGTAGATCTTCTCGCAAATGTACATGAGGTATGCAAGTCGCTTGTCTTCTTTGCCCTGCCTCAGCCTGATAAACTCTTGTGTCAGACCCTTCACAGTGTGCTTCTTCGCATCCACCATGAGGCGCACTGGCTTGTCCATACCAATGCGAATGAGCTTGTCGACGGTGCTTGTCATGGTAGCAGAGAACAGCATCGTTTGACGTGACTTCGGGATGGTGGTCAAGATCTCGTTTAATTGTGTCTCGAAACCCTCTTCGAGCATACGATCAGCCTCATCAAGCACCAAAATCTCAAGATGCTCGACCTGGAACGCAGCTGTATTGTGCATGTGGTCGATGAAACGACCAGGTGTAGCGATGACCACATCTGGGCGTGTCTTGAGCATGACTTCTTGCTCCCGAGAAGAGAAACCACCAGCAAGCAGTGCAAATGTGATGTCAGTAAAGGATGCAAGCTTCGTAGCAACGTTGAAACATTGTACTGCCAACTCACGAGTGGGCATGAAGATGGCTACGCGCGTGGTCGGTACCTTTTTCGGTCTGTAGAGGAGACGTTCAAGGATGGGGATGAGGAAGGCAGCTGTTTTACCGGAACCTGTCTCGGCACCTCCTACGACGTCCTTGCCCTGCATAGCGATTGGGATGGCCTTTGCCTGAATGGGTGTGGGCTCGGTGAAGCCGATAGCCGCAAGGCCCTTCTGAATGGGTCTCGATAGCGACATTGCGTGGAAAGATCCGATCGACTTTGCACCCTTTTTCTTTTTTCCAGACTCGCTCTCCTCTGGTGCAAAAAATGCAGCGGCCTTCTTCGCCTCGACAGCATCTTCCTGCTCGCTCATAGCATCGTCCGATTCTGCGCCCTCCAAGTCCATTGGGTGTGGCACATGTGGAGCGACGTCCTCGTCGTCAGATTCCCCGGCCCCTCCTTCGGAGTCGTTGTTAATCTTACTTTCGTCCTGGTCACCATCCTCTTCGTCATCACCCTCTGAGTCGGAATCGCTGCCTGCACCCATGCCAAAGCCGTCTTCTGCCAGCAACTCGTCGTCCTCGCCGAATCCAGAGAAGTCATCCTTGTCTGCCTCGTCCTCTGAATCTGACATCGTGTCCTTCTCAGCCATCTTCTTGTTCTGCCTGCGCTCGATAATATCATCGATATCTACAGCGTTGCTTTTCTTCTCGGCATTTTGTTCTCGTCCGACTGTGCCTTCTGCATTGCCCCAGCCATCAAACTCCTCCACAAAGCCAGTATCAATGTCGCCGACGGCAAACTCGAATTCGCTGTCGATATCATCGTTGCCTTCGACGTCTTCGCCTGGGTGCGCAATCTCAAGGTCGCTCTCGTCCTCGGCAGCAGGCTCTGGTTCGGCTTGCTTACCCTTCTTTCCCTTTTTCTTGTCTTTCTTTGCCTTCTTGGACGGCGCCTCCTTCGGCCTAATGTTTAGGTCCGGGTCCTCAGTGTGTTTTCTCTTCTTTCCGCGCCCAGCAAGTTTGGCTGATGCAGCGGCAATCTCCTCGGCGCCGCCGTCGTCTGATACATCGTCGTGATCGGAGATGGTGAAGACGAAATCGTCGTCAATTCTGGGCGCCATGTTGCTGTTCGCGAAACTCGCAATGTGCTTTGCAAAACAGATGGATCGTGTCAGGAAGCCAAGATTTCGCGACGAAAAAGTTCGCGAGCGGACATCCTCAATCCCTGATTGGCCTTAGGATGCGGAAGTCACAGGACCCACCCAAGGCGGTGGCGGCGTTAGCGCCGGCAGTATTTAGAGCTCCAGGCATCACACCTCCAGGATACCATCACGCACACATATGACATGATCAAGGGTTGTAGATTATGCCGCCACAATATATGTATTATCATTTTGTTGAGGTGAAGAGTACCTTAATCGGTCCCAAGTCAGCCAACGGCTCATGAGAGCTGGTCGCCGCTGTTGTAACTGTACACATTTTAGTACTAACCAGAGCTTTTGAATAGCGAAGACAATTGTATTCGAATTGGATCTACAGTTTCATGCAAATGCAGCGTTAGATTTTTACGTCTGCAAGCACCTGAAGGTCACCTATAAGCAGCTATTGGCATCTGCCTAATCATGGCTTGCTCTAGTGGGGACGCTGACTGGCGCAGCCTGGACTTCATCTCGATATGTCGAGCAATGTCTACTAGGATTCAATTGTTCACAAGGCAACCAGTGAGTTGCTGCCTGTTCCAGACAGGTGCGAGGCTGTACCAGTGACCTTATAGCCAAGACACGCAGCCTGATTGAGCTACAAACACCACGCATGTAACTACCCAACAACTAATCTCTCCAACCTCGACGTATTCGACATTCTTCAATCATAACCTCTCACAGGGTTGGTAATACTTTGCTTCATCATGGCAAATATCACGCACAACCTGCGCTCGCGGAACATTGTTCAAGTTACGGGTACAGCCTCCAAAGTTACCAAGCCGAACCGGAATCTCAGAAAGCGTCGTCCTCGCGAGGATCCATGGACACCCAAACGCAAGCCAAAAACGGTCCCCAAGCCTCGAGCGCCGCCTCCAACTCATGCCACCTGTCGTATTTGTCTGGAGGAGCAATCGATGGACCACTTCCCCACGTGGCTCTCCAGATCACGTCGCCTTCAACTTGCACATGCTGGACTCCAGGGAGATGTACCGCGGGAGTGTATCGAGCACCTCTGTCGCAATCCATACCGCAAGAAGATTGACCCAGTGTGTAAAGTCTGCATTGGCAGATCAATGTCCGCTCGTTTGGACTTAGTTGGTGCACGAGAAGTCGGTAACGGATGCCTGGAGCCTACATGTAGGTATGCATGGAGCTGGAACTTCATCGTGAAGTATATGCCGGACGGAGCCCCGTTGGAGAAATTTAACATGGAGATGTATGAAGTCTACAAACGCGATCCGATCAACAAGATGATCGAATGCATCGCACCTGGATGTGAAGCCATCGGGCTATTGGATCAGATGGCGCCTGGGTATCCGCAGGTCGCATGCCATACCTGTGATCTTCGATTCTGTGCCCGGTGTCTTGTGCCCTGGCATAGCGACCTTTCATGTGCTGAGCACGGAGTCAAGCACGTTGACGAACAGATGAGCGACACGGAAAAGGAAACGCTCCAGCTCATGCAGACCAAGGATGGGAAGCGCTGCCCAAACTGCTATCTCGTGATTGAGAAGGACGGGGGGTGCGACAGCATGTTTTGCACGGGGTGTCATAAGTACTTCAATTGGGTTACTGCAGGTAAGACTCATCCACGCTGGATACCTGAGTTTGGGTAGAAGACTAACATGGGCCACAGCCTCAGCGGTACCCGGGGCTAAGAAGGCTGAGCCATGGGTTCATGATGATCCGTATATGCATCGGTCTTCGACATTGCCTGTGATTTGCGAGGCAGATATGACGCAGGCTGGCGTTGCATAATGAGCAAACATTCTTTCTCTGAAGAATTGCAGCCAATCTTAGCGCCTGGCGCTTTATGATCATTTTCCTAGGTCTATACTTCCGACTATATTAAATCTATCATGATATCCTTTGCGCGTGATGACAAAGACTTTATCGACATGCCAATCTAGCGAAGCAGACGCGCCTCCTTCCTGACCAACAAAACTAGCAACAGCGCTCCTTGCATCTTCCTTCAGTCTCTGTGCAGCATAATCACTGTCCGCTTGACCGAGGGACAGATGAGGCGTAAACGGTCTCTTGTCCGCGTCACACTCTTTGAACTCGGCTTGCAGTGCTGCTTGAAGATGTTGGATGCGCAGAGTTGACGGTTCTAGCCACACGGTCTTGCTTGTCCACCCAGCCCTACCGCCCTTGCTGTGCGAGAATGTTCCCGCCGCATCAGCATTGAGTGTGACGTCGAAGGGCTCGATGGACTTGACGGCGTGCTGGATACGTGCTCGTATGTCTGCTTTCAAAGACATTGAGGAAAAACTCTTGACGTCTTTATTCCCGGTCTCAGTGGGCAACAGCTGGCCCTGTCCGGGTTCAGTGGGCAAATACAAGAATGGATAGAGCAGATTAATATGAGGCGGCCATCGTGCAAAGTTCTTGTCATGGGCGCGGCGTATTGTCTCAATAGGTGCAGCAATGCTAGACGGGGGAAGCAGTGCAAGTGCGCTCGTGTGCGAGAGATGGGCTGGTAGGCGCCGGGCCATGGCCATCGTGAGGACAGGGATGGTGTTGAGCTTTCCCAAAACTCGTAGGGCTGATCAAAGCGGCAGCCACAGGTAGCGCTTGCAGCTTGGCGCTGGACAGGTTCCCAAGACAGAGCAACCACGAATTGTGCATCCTTTACTCCGCCCGGCCCATGCTAGGGAAAGGTCGCGTCGCCATGTGGGAGCCTTGATTCGTCTGCCTCTACTCATCTCCACCTCTCTGCCGATTTCGATCCCGACACGCCGCTGCACACGCGACTTGCTCTCCATCCGCTCTCCGCAGCACTTCCGAACCTGCGCTGCAGCTTGATTGAGTCGCCTGCACGCCGCCGCCATCATGGACGAGCCGAAGAAGCCCAAGTGGGGAATCACGCACTCCATCTCAGAGGCGCCGCCCACTGAGGCAGACAACAAACTCAACGACAACCTCATCGAGACGCTGACTCGTCTGAATGTCTTCGAGACGCTCGAAGGCAACAAGCGCCGAGAAGAAGTGCTGGCTCACGTGCAGAAAGTCGTCGAGGAGTTTGTCCGCCGCGCCGGCAAGCTCAAGGGCATTGCGCAGTCTACGCTGGACGTTGCGGGCGGTAAGATCTTCTTCTTCGGCAGCTACGCCCTCGGTGTCCACGGCCCAACGTCCGACATCGACACCCTCATCGTCGTGCCCAAGCATGTCTTTATCGAGGACTTCTTCAAGATCTTCCCGTCCATCTTCCGGGAGCTGTCCAACGCAGAAGACATCAGCGAGCTCGTGCCCGTCGAGGATGCCTACGTGCCCATCATCAAGATGGAGTACCGCGGCGTGAGCCTGGATCTGCTCTTTGCGTCTATGCCCACCATGTCTTCGGTGCCCAAGGAGCTGGAGACGGTCGACAAGTCGGTGCTTCGCCATCTGGAAGAGACGACCATTCGTAGCGTGAACGGCACTCGGGTTGTCAAGGAGTTGCTCTCGTCGGTACCACAGCGCCGCCACTTCCGATATGCGCTGCGCGCTGTCAAGCTCTGGGCAAACCGGCGCGCGATATATGGCGCGGTTTTTGGCTACCCAGGCGGTATCGCATGGGCTATCATGGTTGCGCGCATATGCCAGCTCTACCCCATGGCCTGCGGAGCGACCATCTTGTCCAAGTTCTTCAACCTCATGCACAAATGGCAGTGGCCAAGGCCCGTCATGCTGAAGGAGCATGAGCTGCCCGAGTTTGGACTCCGCGTGTGGAATCCTGCAGTGAGTATGCCCCCTCATTGCTTCATTGCGTTGCTAACAGCACCAGTCATATCCTCCTGACGCACGCCATCTCATGCCCGTCATAACGCCCGCATTCCCTGCCATGTGCTCCACCCACACCGTCACGACCTCGACCAAGCAGATAATGATGGAAGAGTTCCAGCGAGCCGACAAGATTGTGCGCGATGTGTTCAACGGTCAGGGTACTTGGGAGGCCTTGTTCAACAACCACTCGTTCTTCACGCAGGATCACAAATACTATTTGAGTGTCATCGCAGCCAGTCGGACCAAGGAAGCAGACTTGACGTTCCACGGACTGGTACAATCCAAAGTGCGTCTGCTCGTAGCAGGCATCGACGATGGCCAGACTGGTATCGACATGGCACGGCCGTTTCCTGAGGGCTTTGAGAGGGTGCATAGATGCAAGAATGAGGATGAAGTCGAAGCTGTCACCAAAGGCAGTCTTGACTATATGATACCTGTTTCCCAAGTACCCGCTGCGGGCACTACGGAGGATCACATCATCTACACCATGACCTTCTATATCGGGTTGAGGTTGCCCAAAGGTATGTTTCTCTCAGCACTTGAGAACGTCTTCATCTAATCTCTCCCCCAGAACGCAGCACCCTGGACATCTCCTACATAACGAATCACTTCCGCTCCAAAATCACAGAGTCGAAGCTGTACGACGAAGGAACGATGTCTGTCAAAGTAGTACACACCCGCAAGTAAGTACTTCCGCTTCGTGACTAATTCATGCGCTGACTTTACAGCACCGCGCTCCCCGACGATCTCTTCAAGCCCGGCGAGGTCCGACCAGCGAAGGCGAAGTCGACAAAGGACAAGAAGAAGAGCAAGGGTGGTGCTAAGCGCCCTCACACTGAAACGGGATTCCCAGTGCGTGATCAACGACATACCAAAGCTCCGAGGCACTAAATTCGCCTGCGGAGTCACTCGCACTTCTTTGCTGACGTTGCGCTAATACAGGACAGCGAACAGCAAGCAGCAAAGCGTCGACAGACCGAGCCTGCCGCCAATGGGGTGGTTCCTCCGACGGCGGCATAGGCTCTCTTTCAGCTAAGCTTGCACATGTTCGCAACTTTATTCTCCCCAAATTATATGGGTTCTGTATTTCTGACATGACCTTGTTCAGTCACGACTGCACTACTACCTACCGCCAAAAATTCGACTTGTCAGCAATTTACCGCCCTAATACTGCACATCGGTTGCAAGTGGCGAAAATCCGACATCGACATCCCACCAGGTTCGTATCATTGTCGAGTCGGAGCTCTAACAACAAAACCAGAGAAAAAAAGTAGGAAAACACCGCCGAGTCGCGGATCAAGTTTCAAAAAAACACAACAAAAAGGTTTGATACGTGCCGTTCCCGCTTCTCCACTACTTCGCATCATGCTGCGTTTCCCAGTCAAATCAGGTCGGTGTTACAGGCGTTTTCAAAAAAGAGGAACGCATAGCTCGGCGCACGCAAGGGAATGGCGACGTTGACATCAAATTGGACGCTTTTTCGGACTGTGTACGGGCAACGGAACGGGGAGTGTACTTTAATACAAATTGGGTCTGGGAACTGGCAACTGGGGAAAACACTTTGTAATTATACATTCGCGAGTAGACACGTTTCAATCTACACACTATTTGGAGCCCTGGGGCTCTGGCAAATCCACCAAACATAACGCTTTTCTTGGATGAGTGATGAGAAGGCACGCATTTGAAGAGAATATGCTTATTAAATTATAGATTAGGAAAATCATGGTGAACTGTAGTCAACCCCAGACGAATGACCGATGCAGACGCCATCGCAATGCCCAAAATCACATCCTGCGCACTCAGTCAATCTCAATAAGCCCAGGCCCAAATACAGCTGCCTCGGCAACTTCATCCGCGCTCGCAAACTCATCCTTGCCCACCGTAACCGCTGCAATTGTCAACCCATTCATCAAAAACTCATCATACGGAAACGCCGCCTCAAACACGACTTTCTCCTCCCTCACATCCCACTTGTCCAGGCCCTTCACGATAGGCTTGTTTTGGCTGTTGATGAACACGACCTTCAGATCCCTTGCCTTCAAAACAAGCCCCCGCATCATTCTTGGTTTATGCTTAAACCTTGAGATTTTGCGTTCTTAGCTTTAATCTTTCTCGGTCTCCAACCGCAAAGGCCCTTCGAATGTCTTGAGTGGAAATCGTCGCGATATTTCGGACACGAGCCGGGGACAGTAAAGGACTGGATAGCCGTGAACGCAAAGTCCCTTGTCGCGGTCGTTAGGGAAAGCCTGACTCGTCGGCCGTTTCTTCTGGACGAGGCGGAAAAATCCTTCTTGAGATGCTTCGTTGCCCAGCACGCTCGACACGCCGCGGACGAGAGCTGCGTCACCGCTGGCGGCAAAGATTTGATTGACGTCTTGTAGCGTGCCGAGAACGAGATCTGTAAATGTCCCCGCGAGCGCGATGGCGGATTGGAAGTCCGTCACGGGGAAGGAGTATTTGCACGGCTCGATGGGCGCCGTGTTAAATTTTTTCAGCGCGCCGTTGGCATTCAGCAAATGCAGTTCTTCCTGCGCAACGATAGCCGTCAGGGCATCGAGGACGTACTCGTGCCCGCGGCCTAGGTCGTAGCCTTGGTATTTGTTGGTTACGTTGTGCACGAGTTCGGTGAAGTATGCTACTTCAAAGAGTTCGTTGAGGGCGATGAGTTGGAGGTTCTTGATGCCTTCGGGGCTGAGAGACGGTGGAGGTGGACCGTTGGGCAGGGTGCCGTGGGCTTGGAGTTGGATTTGAAGAGTCTGGTCTTGGTTCGGGTTTGGGAAGCCCTTTTCGAGAGGGAAGTAGACGTTGTCGGGGGAGAAGTCACGCTTGCCGGCTGGCGCAGCTGATGCGACACTGGCGAGTAGTGCTGTCGAGTATATTATTGAGGACCGCATGGTGATTGTGGTTGCTTGTTGTGGTGTTGTGGGAGTTTGGACACCGAACAAGAGATAGTGACCTAGAATTACAGGCAGCTACAGGCTTCATATAGCAGAATTGCTCTCTGCTATCTTTCGGATGTTCTCCAGCCCACGGATGCATCTCATCCTTTCGTTAGCTTGCACTGCCCGACTCAGTACGTTCCTAAAGTATATACCCATTATCCATCCGATCCAAAAATGCTGGCCACTCAGAAGACACAGCGAAGCGACACAAACTGCCGGAGCTTGATACTGCCGGTGATGTGGTTGGTGCAGGGAGTGTCAGCAAGTTGCACAGCCTAGATCCTATTTGGTGTGGCTAAGTATGGCTCAGGCCATGACAAAGCAAGCCAGGCTGGAAATAGCATCCTGGGTGCTATCATTGGCAGAGTGTTAATGAGTTGTTTGACAGTCGAAAGCTTAGCTATCGATCGTAAAGCTTATCTGCGACTTGAATGAGACTGTGGGTGGTTGTGGTTGCTGTTCGCGACGACACGATGTTTTGCTTTATGCGCAAACTGCAGACGCAGATCTAGCAACCGGGAGTTGAAAAAGATGAAGCATATCAAGTACCAAGAACACAAGACGTAAACGGAAGTGAATGAAACTGGGTGCGAGTGTCAAGTCTGAACCCTGGTTGTACGCGTGGCTTGGCGTGAAACAGCGACTGGAAGACATTGCGGTGTGCTGACCTTGACTGACGCACAAGTACCTACTTCGAAGCATTATTGACTTCGACTGGCGGGTGCTCTGTCTATGTTCCGCTGTCAACAGCTTGCAGTATGTTTCCGCGACGCATACAGGATCCTCAGCTTACGCGATGATCAATATTTAGGGTCGCGAGAGTTGAATGAGGGAACGAATGCATGCAACGATATTTTGAGCAAGATGAAACAGCAGGCGCCTCTCAACAGCGAGCGCGAAGCAGTGACGCGTGTTTGAAGAGGGGTGGAGGCTCAGTCGGAAATAGCAAGCGCCGAAAGGCGCTAGCGTACATCACGTGGCCCCTCATGTGGTTCACGCGATCCAGTCCAGCGCAATTGCTTCCCCCAGTCTATCTAACATAACCATGATGCATCGTGCATCAGAGATATCGGCTCAGCCGCCACGCAAACTATTGGAGCGCCTTGGAGATTCTCCTGGCGAGAGTCTTGAAATGCGCATGGCAAGCACCCCAGAGACTCTCCTGGCAAGCATCTCGAGACTTTTCTGGCAAACACCCTGGGAAGCTCGCCTGACAGACAGGACATAGAGAGATAAATTGTAATATTAGGAACTGACGAACGGCATACATTGCAACAACATGTCTGCCGCACACCATCTTCACCTCTATGAATTACAGCTATATCACTACGCACCAGAAAATAACGAGTATAGCTGCCTACATGTGAACGCATGATAAGCCGAAATAACTAGGTGGTCTTCCGAATCTAAGTTCACCAGCAATCAAGAGCCGGCCAAATTATCAGATGTCTCCCCTGGGTTGTGGGGAACCCTGTTCACCTAGAAGGAAACACATTCTTCTAGGGAACTCAATCACCCGACGGAACATTATAGGTGAGATCGATACTAGGATGCGATTCACTTTGTAGATGAATTGTTTCTCCTATTGGCGTTTCAATCTCAGAAACGAACCAACATGAGAGAAAGGCCACCAATGCATGTCGAGCTACGTTTTAGTACCGTCGATCGACCGAACCACTTGGCGATATCCATCCACTCAAAGTCTTGAACTATGCATGAGCATGATCAGTAGCATGCATAGTCGAATGCGAGCTTGTTTATCTGAATTCTCCGGTGCTGATGCGAGCTACCCTCGACTCATTTCGGCCAGACTAGTCGCAGCTTGAGTACCCCAGCAAATGACAAAGTGTCTTAAAAAGCTCGACGAACTTCACAAGCTGTCTGCAAGAACACTCCTCGTCGAACCTCTTCAACGCCTATTCATTATGAAGCTCACACTCTTTACTCTGGCCAGTGTAACTGCCCTCGCAGTTGCAGCGCCTGCTCCGCAAGTCATTGAGACACTTGAGAAAAGGGCCGATTACTGCGGCCAATGGGACAATCAGATTATTGGAGACTTCACGGTCTACAACGTATGTTCAACGCCAGGAGCAAGTATTATCAAGGTACTAACAACGCATAGAATCTCTGGGGCAAGGCTGATGCCACTTCTGGATCGCAATGCACTGGCGTTGATGGTCTCAGCAACGGCACCCTCAAATGGCACACGAAGTGGTCCTGGGCAGGCGGTGCTGGCAAAGTCAAATCTTACGCCAACGTCGTCACCAAGATCACATCAAAGGCTCTTTCAGAGGTCAAGTCACTTCCTTCATCCTGGACCTGGTCGTACACCGGCTCCGACATGATCGCCAACGTGGCATACGACCTCTTCACCGGATCCACTCCCACCGGAGATCACGATTACGAGATTATGATCTGGCTCGCTGCTATAGGCGGCGCAGGTCCGATCAGTGCCACCGGAAGTCCTATCGCGACGGTCACCTTAGCTGGAACCAGCTGGAAGTTGTACAACGGGTTGAACGGAAAGATGAACGTTTTCAGCTTCGTTGCGGAGAGTGAAGTCAAGAGCTTCAAGGGTGACTTGATGGACTTTGCGAATTACTGCATCAAGTCACATGGATTTCCAAACACCCAGATCTTGCAGAGCGTGGGTGCTGGAACCGAGCCTTTCTCTGGAAGCGACGCGGTTCTTACTACCAGCGCGTACACGATGAGCCAATCCTAGATCGAAGACAAAAGGTACTAGAGAATGGCATAGAATGTAGAAAAGTGGTATGATAGAAATTCATAGATGAGAATAGCAATCTTACACAAACCACTTGTAGACCCAGAACCCAGCATACACAAGCAATGTGACAATTGGATGTAGCCAGGGCGGGAGATCTGCCTTCGCAAACCTGCATATGTAGGATGAGATGCTCGTCCGTGGCGCGCCAGGCGTGAACAACATGTCGTTCATCGAACCTTCAGTCTGGACCATCGCCTTGTGTGCATTGACAAACATTTGCTCTTCGTATTCGACAACAAAGTTGTCGAGGTTTCCCACCATTCCAGACGACACACAGTTGACGATCTGGTGCGAGAGAATCAAAGCATCGTGAAACGCCGTGTTGACGCCGATTCCGCTGAACGGCGTCATGAGATGTGCCGCGTCGCCGAGCAGTGTAACGCCTATCTTGTGAGTCCAAGTGAAGTCAGTCGGCAGCATGTATAGCTGCCTCTGCACAGCATCCCCTTGTACCTTATCGAAAGCGCCTCGAAGCTCAGGTACCCAATCATGAAACTGTTCTGCCAACTCCTTCTTCATCGCAGATGTGTCCGTATTCTCGGCATTTGCGAGCCTGGGCAATCGCTCCGGTTGCTGAGCATAGGTCGAAATCCATATATCTCCAGAGGATAGCTGCTGCAGGGCAATGCTCTTTCCATCGCTGTAGGCGAGTACACTGCCTCGATTGACGAGCTTATAGACGTCGGGAGCTGTAGTCTTCGCGTTTGGGATCTGCATCGTCCAGCCTGCTAGACCAGTGTAGTGTGGTGCTTCTTGTGTGAGGAGTGTTCGCGTCTTACTCCATGCTCCATCGCAGCCCACTATGAGGTCGTGTCCGCGCTCAACCTCGCCATTCGAGAAATGTAATTCATGGCCGGTGTTCGTTTGTTGTACACGCGCCAATTTCATGCCCCATCGTATGGTCTCTTTCGGTACGCTTTCCAGCAGAATCTTTCTGAGATCGCACCGGTCGATTTCGGGTGCTGATTGGAACGAATTGCCCTGATCAGGCTTGCCAGGACTTCGCCGCATCCACGTTGTCAGGTTCTTGTCGGTGATGAGCAAGCTCTCGCCATCGTATCTAGCGTATTCCTGGAACTCTTCCCATAGCCCTGCTTGCTTGATGGCGCGCAGACCGGTCTTTGCCCTGAGATCGAGAGTGCCGCCTTGTGAGCGGTAATCGATGGATGTTTCGCCCTCGAAGATGGTGCATGAGATGCCATGCGTATGTAGAAGACGGGCGAGGATACATCCACCAGGCCCAGCTCCGATGATCGCGATTTTTGGGACCGGCATTTTGTGTTATTCCTTTGGCTGTGGCGTGCTGACGAAGAATGGGATACTCAGGAAGGATATAAGCTGAACAATAGGCAGCTGCCTGAAGTGGGTGGAACACAGTCGTCATCCGTTTGTTCAACATACGGGCAAAAGCTGTGGTAAACTCTCCGATCCGCATGTGCGATAGGCTCGCATGTCCAATTCCAGCCCGCGATGCGACGGCGCAATGAGCTTGCGCAACGCCTCATCGAACACCTTTTCAGGACTGCTATATTTTTCCACTGTGGCGCAAGGCGATCAGAGTGTAACAAGCATCAGCCCATCCCTCACGCTGAAGCTATACGCAGTGTCGCTAGGCTTCAACTGCGACGCGAAGACCCGGCGCATAGCCTCAGGCCAGAAGACACTCCACTTTCCGTAGTATTAGATAACTCGCGGTACATCTTCGTGCTTCTTTCTATATCGACCGACTTCGATAGTCAAGAAAAGCCGATCGCGTTGTATCGATGAGCTGATGTTGTCATCTCAGGTATGTCAGGGGAAAGCTGCAGGCGGCTGCAGGTGGTTGGCAAAAGGCGGGGTACGAGGCGCGAAATTCAAGCCTCTCAGGGCAGCATCCAACCAAAAGTTCACCACAACATCGTCGTTGAAGTGTTCCAGGACACGGCGTGGCGGTAAAAACCACGTGCGAATCTTTTTGCAGTCTCCTCGTTAGTGCAAAGTACCGTGTGAAGCACTGTCAAGCTTTCCGGAAGACCGTGAAGTTACCACTTCTAACCAATCGAATCCCAGGCTCTCGCCATGCGTTACGACCCCAGTAACATTTTCCCGGGCGAAGCTGCATCTCACGCTCGGCCGTCTATCATAGCGAATGAGACGCATTCTAATTCACTGATGACGAATGACTTACTTCCGAGCTTCTGGATCCATCCCAGCGCAGAGAACTCTTCCGCGCGATTGAGCGCTCAGATTCCCAGCAAAACCTGGTCTCTGGCGCAGCATGCGAAAGTCACATAACCTGATTGGTCATTGAAAGTACCTGCAGGGATGACGTTGTGGACATGGGACGGCAAACTAGGAAGAAACCGTTGGAGCTATGGCATCCTCGGTATTGGAAGGACGCATTCAAATACAAGTTGTCCAGGCAGTTGGTAGCTCTTGCCTTGAGGACGAGTGGCTGCCCGAACTTCCTCTAGTTTGAAGCACAGTTCCATCATGAAGCTTCACGTTCTCTCACTACTGGCGTCGGCCTCGGTGGCCAGCGCTAGCTGGTCAAAGAACCTCAACTATCGTTCGCCTTCTGAGCACCACCCTTCGCTTGGTATATCAATACACCGCGTGGTAAAGAGGAATGACCCCAGCTACAGCTACGATCCTGCTTCTCTCAATTTCACGCATGGAGTTGCTTCGGGAGATCCGTATCCGAGCAGCATCATCCTATGGACTCGTGTAGCGCCCACCAGCGACAAACTTGGATTTCGAAATGTCACGGTCTCTGGATATGCTCCCCCTGTTCGACCATGACAATGAGAAGGAACGTCTCTGTGTGGAAGTCGCCGATCTGTGTGGAACTACAAAAGTTGCTTCAGACAAGAATTTGAGCAGCGTGGTCGATAGCGGGAAGAGTGTTCACCTCCTCAGACGTTGACTTTACTGTCCAAGGGTAATTTTTACAAAGAGATAGTTGAAAGGAGTGCTTCTAAAAATGTCTAGGTTGAAGCCCAAGAATCTGAAAGCGTACACCACATACTATTACCAATTCGCTGTCTGCGATTCCGACAACACAAGCCCTGTTGGTCGCACCAAGACGACGCCGAATGCTGATGATGATGTCACTGAGGTCGGCCTTGCTGTGTACAGCTGTGCCAACTTTCCATTCGGCTTCTTCAACGCATATGGCAACTCTGTCCCGTAAGGTTGAGTACATCTTCTTACTCGTATACATCAATCTTACTAAGCTAACCACATATAGGACTCTGTTGATTACGTGGTTCATCTTGGCGACTACATCTACGAGTACAAGAATGGCTACTATGGATGGGGAGACTCCATCGGCCGCATCCCGCTTCCTAACCACGAAATTTTCAGCTTGTACGATTACCGTAAGAGGCTCGCTACGTACCGCACCGACTTGGACCTCGTAGCTAGTCACCAGGAATTCCCGTGGATCGGTAATAAAGCCCCACATCCACTAAGACTACCAAGTGCTGACATGTCAAGCCGTTTGGGACGATCATGAAGTTGCAGACAACACATACCGAGATGGTGCCGCGGAACTTAACAATACCGAGGACTCCTTTTTGAAAGACGGCGGTATCTCGGTTGACCAAAGAAAGATGAACGCTGTCCGAGCTTACTTCGAATGGATGCCTATCCGCCAAGTCGACATGGACGACAATCTCCGGGTATGGCGATCTTTCCAAATCGGCAAATTAATTGACCAGGGTCGCCCTCGAGGCAGTCGTCGCTTCGGTCGGTCGGAGTACTTACTCAGTACTGGAAGACCGTCTCCGTCGTACGACATTGCGAACGACGCAGGCCGTTCCTTGATGGGTTCTCGTCAAGAGAACTGGATGTACCGCACTCTCTCCGAATCGGCGAAGCGAGGTGCTACTTGGCGCGTCGTTGGGTCGCAAATCGTCTTTTCTCACATCGATCGAGAGGCCGTTGACCAGAATGGGCACGGTATCAATGTCGATGCGTGGGATGGCTATCAGTCGAACAAGAATCGCACGCTGAACCACTTGTATAGCAACAACATCAACAACAACATTTTCTTGGCTGGAGATAGCCACGCATCGTGGGTCAGTGATCTCGTCTGGCTGGACGAGAAAGATTATGACCCAGAAACTGGCGCTGGCAGCATCGGAGTCGAGTTTGCGGGCACTGCTGTTTCTTCACCATGCCCGTATGGCGAGAACATCACCCTGGCCAAAGCAAACAACTACTCTCACCTTATCGAGAGCACTAATGCCGAACTGCATTGGCAGGATCTATACTATCGTGGATACTATGAGCTTCACTTCACAAAGGACAAGGTAGAAGCCAACTTCTTCGGCACTCCTAAAACCCGCGAGAAGCACGGCTGGGAGATTCCCATCGCAAACTTTACTGTCCTCAATGGCGAGAACAAGCTGCAAAGGCCCGTGGGAGGAGGTGTTGTCGAGAGTGGAAGTTTGAAGTACGGTAAGATGGTACCGACCAATCTCACAGTTGATACCACCAACGGCACGTGGTTTGAATGGTAGGCTGCCACACGTGTAGTATGACGGCTGATGCTCTGGGGACCCGAAACCTACAACAAACGGCTGTGTAGTGTAGCGTAACTACAGACGTCGATCTGCCGAACAACAATAGGATGCACTCTTCGCTTACTAGTAGCTCAATTCATTCCATCTCGTAGAGTTGGACCTACCTAAACAGCCGGAACACTCGGAGCTGTTGGGCTCAAGCTAACCACTTAACCGGGCTTTGCAAGAGTCCGTCTTTCCACCGACGTAGGTCCAGAAGCGGACTGTTGCCAAGAACGGGCGGGCTGTACAACAGATCTAGATGTTCGACAGCCTCACAAATATTGGTGTGCCTTACATGGCGCTTCAAGAACAAGGGCATTGTTAGTTCTGAGGTTTGACGCATGGCCTCCCAAGTTCTGCCGCAACTGGAGTGCTGCTCAAGTGTCCGGCGATATTGATTCATGTTCGGATGAATGTCCGTACAATGCGGAGTTGCTTGGCATCTGATGATGTCACCCGTCCAAGTCCTCGATTCCATTCCAGTCCGTTACTTTTGAGGGGTCTAACTTCACATTCTGCACTGCAGATATCTTTGATTGCACTATGATGAGAAAGAACAGTTGACCCCGCGCGATTCAGATGTGCCAAGTCTGTCAGCGCCCAATTAGGTACCTGGTAGGGCTCACCCGTCCACTTCCCCACCAGAATTTTGCAGAACTCCCGTCATCTTCAACATTCCGCTCCGAGCGAAAGGTTCCTGGCCACGCTGTACAAGCTTACGATCCAGCCATGACCATGCAGCGATCAAGGCCAACTGGCCTTGGCATTCTTTCCGCATGCACAGCCACCACGATGAACCCTTCCTAGCCCAAAAGGTGTGCCTTGGCATACGCTAGCCCACATGCGGGGCGAGGATGCTGCTACGGATCGTGGACTACCCGACTTAGGATTGCTAGGCGATATCTTGGAGACCGATCTTCATTCAAAAGCGTCTAGACTCAGTGTAATACCAAGTCAACCCTAGAGGCATCTTCCGTCTTATGGGCGAATGACGATTCCTTCGGGGTACCATAGTCAATCGTCTTTGTCCACAAGGCGAATCAATCTTGCAGCTAGACTCGTTTTCGTTGGCTGAACTATGGAACTAAGTGCCCTACATCTGCCCGCATGCCTGTCTGGACTGTTATGGAGAAGTACCAAGAGATTCCCCACGTTCATCGGTACGAACGCCCCACTGGTACCTTTGTTGGTCCAACGTAAATCTCATTTCAAATAGGCCTTTCGGACTTGGCGAGCGATGCTCACGGCCTGCTACCAGGATGCCGGCAAGTATGTCCCAAGACTCACTTGTGGAGTTACTGCGGCTTGACAAGGGAGACCGACGTAATTGCCATGGCAAAATGTCAAGAACTTGGGCAGTAGTAGGAGAGCCGCGTGTGTATAAAGCTGATGGAGCAGTACGACTCAACAGCCCATCATCAGCAACTGAAACCATCACCTCACTCCAGCAGCAACTTTAATCGCTACTATCATTCACATACATTAATTCACGATGCATTTCTCCGCCGCAACACTCCTCGCTGTCTTGAGCGCCGTCGCTGTCGCTGCTCCCACTGCTGAGCCCGGCCGTGACCAGCAGCCCAAGCAGTACAACAAGGAGAAGTACAACAAGGACTGCAAGGAAGACTGGGAGCACAAGTGGGAGAACAATGACTGGAAGAAGGATGAGAAGCTCTTCTACTACGACGCCGAGTACTACGTCAAGGCCACACCAGACCAGGTCATCGCCAACAGCGGTGCTCCTGCACCAGGCCAGCCAGGAGCCAAGGGTATCTTCAAGTACGGCATCAACGTTGCGGAAAACACCATTTGCTACGTAAGTCATCTATCCCGCTATTGAGCTGGCGCAAGAACCTAACACAACATCAGAACATTACCCTCTCAGGTGTTACCGGCGACTACATGTCGCCCGCTGTAACCGCAACCCACATCCACGAGGCCGTCAAGGGCAAGGCCGGCCCGCCCCGCCTTGCCTTCCCCAACCCCAAGGGACCTGACAGCCGCCGTGTTTCCTACGGCTGCTTGACTGGACCCTTCTTCGTTGGTACCAACAACACTGCTGGTGTTGACAACGCTGCTGGCTTCCACGTCCGCCAGATTGTCGCAAATCCCGCCGGTTTCTTCACTGACAGCCACACTGTCCAGTTTTCCGCTGGTGCTGTCCGCGCGCAGCTTGGTTAAATCGATCAAATCGCCCTAACGAGGGAAGTAACTTCGGCCACGAGAGCCACTTAATGTAATGAGCTTCAAACATATAGCTTAATAATGTACATAATGTTAAAAATCATCATAACGATTCATGGTTTTAAAGTTTATCACATCCGTGCAGACAACGTGAATGTTGTGACTGATTTCTCTAATTGGACCATTCGCTTTTGCAAGGCTGACTAGCAAGCATGAAACTGCCCAAAACCATCACCATGGTGACAATGATGATCAACAGCAGCGAGCATGTAAGCGGCGGAGAAATGAGCATATGGCTGGAAAGCGATCGGAACAGGCATGCGGTACTAGGGAACTAGGGAAAAGGCTCGAGGACAACATCTCCTCAGGTTGCACCAAATGTGAGATTTAGCGGCTTCGACATCTCGCATGCAAGACCATATCCCCAGCCTGATATGGAAAGCTCTACTTTCATGTTTCTTTAAAAAATCTCAAAGCCTTCCTAGAGCAATTCGCAGCTTTAGTTAATATTTTTATTTCGTTTCTTAGAGTATCGTCGCAGTCTTGCCACAACAATTGTAACTCGCGACCACCACCTGGATGCGACAACACCAATCGGTCGTGGAAGATCCGCTCGCGAGGTGTAAGTGGTCCGATCAACTTCAGGTACCCGCTAGCTCGGTAGATGAATGGCGCATTTCATTTTAGCCTCAGATGCCATGACGTCCGGTGATGTCAAAGGGTGACACAGGTGGTGACGCTATTATATAGCTCACTAGAAGTTCACATTCCCGAGGTCGAGTTCATAACACATACACACGACACTTCACAGACAAACAAATCCCGCCCATAACAAGCCAGAGAATATTCAATTGCACAAATTCCGCTCACACATACCAAAATGTCTCAGAACCCGGATTCCGTTGCCAACCAGGGCGAGTTCTCTGGACATGTCCGACCCAGCGAGCCGCTCATGACCTCCGGTGTAAGTTCAGCCCCTCTTCTTATCCCAATCAGTTGGGCGATACGCAATCAATGGCATTTTCACTTGATTTTATTGCATCCTGCGTTCTCGCTTGGCCATACTACAGACTAACGACCCACAGCACAAACCAGGAAAGCAGGTCGGCGATGACGCCGCTCCAGAGTTCCACGTAAAAGTCCTGCCCGCAGGATCCGCTCCCGCGAAAGACACTTTCCAGCCCAACCCCGAGGTGGACGGCCAGAAAGTAGACCCATCTGACAAGAAGGAGGAAAAGTAAATCGCTGACCTTGTGGAGGGTGATGGACGGGGCGATGTCAAAGACTGGAAGGATGACCCAACTCATGCACAATAGAGGAGTGTGGAAAATATATCAACCGGTCAGCGCGGTCATTCTGGCAGGCTGATTACTCAGGAGAAAGTGCTGGTGCTGCGGATGCGAGTAAGAAGCGATAAATGTGCAACTTGCCTCGCGTCTCCATAGGCTATGTAAAACAATCACTGTCAAATCAGCTCGCACTCGCGAGTGAAATGATCAATTTATGTCCCGTAATACGTGTGCCATGTTGCATTTGTGGGGACTGGTCTTGCTACTGATGCATTCACCAATCACGCCGGGAAGCGAGATGAAGCCTGCGGCATCTTGAGAAATGGTCTTATTCTTTGCTCTCGACTCTTTACTCAACTCCACAACCTACCCACTAACAGCCACTTTCGCTTTCGGCCAACAGGAGGCTTTGTTTTACACACCTCTGGCGCCAGACCATAAACCGCACACAGCGAGGTACTCTCTTACCACCCTCACCATCACAAGGCTTTCAACTCCGTCTCCCAGGCGTTGCACCCTATCAATGTGGTTGTCTGGGGCGAAGAGGCAATGGGCTTCCTCGGAGCTGTAACGCTGCTCAACGTATGTCTTCTCCTCAACCTGCTAAAACATTTACTTACAAACGTTACTTAGAGCTGTGTGATAGTCCCTTGGGATTCAGAATACGACCTCGCTGCGCAGAAGTTGGTTGAGGCAGGCTTTCGCCCCGCCCCATGGACGTACGCCATAACGGATCCACAGCGTGTTCGCGATGACGAGATAGACCGACGGACTTTACTCAGAGGGGCTAACGGAGACGGGAACTTGGATGCCAATTCGTTACGGTTCCAGTTTCCAGCAGGCTTTTCTGGCCCAGAAAGAGTCTTGTTGCTTCGAAGCACATATATTGGCATTCGACCCCCGAGCGATCCTGAATCGATACAAAGATTCTCTTGCATCGACAACTTGTAGTATCCTGACGCAGCTCTGCTCCTGGAGAGCTTTGTCAAGACTCTGCTTCAGGAAACTCTAGGCTCTTGGCGCTACTTGTTGCAGGCTTGGGCTGTAGCCTATACATATGGTATGCTGATGGTTGAAGACACTGTACTTGATTCCTGCGACGATGAAAGTGTCAAATTGTGGCTCAACAAAAAAATTCGCCGGGGGAACGGTGGTCTAGACAGGATTGCGGTCAGCAAGAGAGCGGGAAAATTTCGAGCCCCTACTAACTAGATCAGCGCTTTGAGAAGCGAGCATACCTATATTAAGTATGCCCGAACGCTCCAAACCAAAGCATTTGGTCACACTACCCCATAATACTCTAGATTTGTGGTATACAGTGCTGCTGACAAGTAGCCAGTCAGTCAATCTAACATCCGCCTAACAACAAATCCATTGGCTTAAAGACTTGGGTCATACTGACTGACAATTGGTATGTGTAGTGGTCGGCAATATGAACTGTAATAATGGGTAAGACTTTCTTGTTCTGTCTACGATACTTGTCTGCGTTCTTTAGACCGAGGCGAAAGTAACTTGAGAAATTATGTATGAGATCTATTGTACATAAGGAAGAACTTCAGCAACATAGCATGTGCTTCCCAGCGAGATCAAGCACTTACTCGCTCAACGTAAACGACGTCTGACTTTGAGCCCAGCTTCTCCTCTTCGAGTCTAGCTGCATCAAAAGAGCTTGGTCCTGATCCACCGAACAGTATATCGATCTCCTCGAGCGAAAGACCCTTTGTCTCTGGTAAGAAGAAGTACACAAACACAATGGACAATGTCAGACAAGTAGCAAACACGAAGTAAGTGCCATATCCGATATTGGTTACCATATAAGGTACTGATCGAGCGATGACGAAGTTGAACAACCAGTGCGTCGCCGTGCAAATCGCCATGCCGATTCCACGAATGCGAAGAGGAAAGATCTCTGCGCAGTAGATCCACGGTACACCAGCGTACGAGAAACAGAATCCGACGGCGAAGATGTAGATGAAGGTAACGGCTGCGTAGCCTCCAGCTGTCAAGTGGGGTTTGCCAGAGGCTTCTGGCTTGGCGATCTTAATGTATGCGCCGATGAACCACATTGCGACAAGCATGACTGCCGCACCGCCCATGAGCATGTTCCTTCGGCCAAACTTGTCTACAACGTAGTACATGGCGATGATGACGCAGACGAGTCGGACGACGCCGTAGATGCCAGTGGCGTAGAGACCGGTGGATTGTCCTGTGAGGCCGATGGACTTGAATATACGGGGAGAGAAGTAGTTGATGGCGTTCGATCCGGCCCCTTGCATGAAGATGAAGATGAACACGCCGACCAAGACACGGCGGCGGTTGCTTGGTACAGCGAGCTCTTTCCATTGACCGATCATGCCGCCGCTCGGTCTGGTCTCGAATTCGTCGTTGACGGTATCCATAATGTGGTTGAGCTCTTCCTGAAAATATTCATGGTCTTCTGGAAGACCGCGGAGTTTGCTGAGGACAGATGCGCACGCATCGCGAGACTTGTGTTGGGCCAGCCATCTGTGACTTCTTAGCTTCTTGGACCCCACGAGACTGATGAACGAGAGAACATACCTTGGAGATTCTGGAACAAATAGCATGCCAATAATGAGAAGGACACCTGGAATAAGTTGCACGGCAAACGGTGTGATCCATTGGTTCGAGTTGCTGCGCATGTTCCGTTGCACACCATAACAGATCCAGAAGCCAATACATGTTCCTGTCTGCACACTGATTTCGTAGATGCCAACAAGACGGCCTCGAATAGATGGTGGCGATAGCTCAGCCACGTATAGAGGAACGACTCCACTGGCAAGACCGACACCCTGGAATCAGAGTCAGTGAATACTCTAGACGTTCAGAGGAGTATTGACTTACGAGTCCTCCAATGGCACGACCCAAGAACATGGCCCAAACATGACCAAAACTAACAGTCTGCATCAAAGAACCAATGCAGAAGAGCACACCGGCGACCATCAAAGCTGGCTTCCGACCGAACTTGTCACCCAAAGGCGCAACAGCCAAAGAGCCGAAGAAGCATCCAGCCTGAAGTAAAGAAACGATATTCGCCGAGAAAGCATCTTTTTGCGACTGTGTCGCGTGCATCAAACCAAAGTCCTTGGTAAAAGGCTTCAGCGTAATCGTCGTCCCGATAAACGCCAGATCATAACCGAAGATAAACGCACCCATCGACGCCACCATTGCCGTTAAGTATACATTCTTGTTGAAAATCTCCTTGGGAGCAGGCGTGCTCATGACAATCGCGGGCGCATGTCGTGCAGGCATCTTGGCAAATGCTTGAAGGACGTCAGGACGCTGCAAAGAGCTCTGGGCACCTTGAGGTTGGCGTTGCTTAGCATATTTAAGGAATGTCTGACAGGTGCTTGTTGTGGGGTACTGGGTTCGAAATCTGGGGTCTGGATGCGGAATGCGGAGTTATTGCCGCGGGAGAACATGTCGGTGTTGGCCGGATGGCAGAATTTGGGGTTGGAGGCGTTGTTCGCCCGAAGCCACAGCGTCCCGCGGCCTTCCCGCGGGTTCTTGTATGCCACGGGACGAGATACACCACGGCTGAAAATTGTTGAATGCTTGCTCTGCAGCACTGTATGTGCCGTGGATAGCTACCGTTAACATGAAGAGAGAAGGTGAGTTCTTGAAGGCTCCAATTTCTCATCATTTACGATCAGTTATGTCATCATTGTTGCGACTAGTTGCAAGTACTGCTGTGACTATTAGTCAAGACTCGGAGATTGAAATGCATCAGCTGAACAAGATTTACTACATAGAAATGACTTGGAGAATGTAGGAAGAAGCTAGTCAGAAGAGACAGAACACTTACCCTCGCTGCAAGTTAAATCTGGATCTTGATAATGTCCGCCTCTTCACCTCTTTAGGTGCAGCCAAAGAACCCTTACGATGGTCCTCTATCATATACTGGACATTGAATCGACCTTTTTTTTGTCCTCCTAACGCTTCATCTGGGCAAAGACAGGAAACCCCATACACAATCCAACGATTAAGTATGACCCCAATCTGAAGTTGGACAGCTGCATTGAACCGAGACAAATAATTCAAACTGGCTCGATCTCTGGCATGCAGATGGAGTAGAAATGTACTTAAGTAGCTTATCATTTTCGGACTTTCTGAGAAGCACAAAAATTCCGCAAGCGAAGAACTTTAAAGCGGCTTTCAAATCAAAAAGCTATCAAGTCGTGAGTCCTAGGTCTGTATCCTTTGAAAGGGCGAATATGCAGAAAAGCCAACACTCCAAACGTTGAAGTCTATAACTATAGAAAGAGGCTTGGAAGCTTTTTTGAATAATTATAGATGACCCTCAGGTTTGTAGACTATCATCAACCTGACAACGCTTCTGGAAGCTTCAGTTGCTTGGAACTGTTTAGAAATCTTGAGCCGCTCAAAATATGGATGCCGACTGAAATTCCCAAGCCGCTTGAGAATTCAGGTTGTAGACAGGAAACCTCGAGGTTCTTGATATTCCAGATGGTCCTTGCATGTTCACACCATTTTGTAGGACTAAAATGAAGCAACCTTTGAGAAAGGAACAGCAGGAGATAGGCGTGGCTTCAAGTAAGAGAGCCATATAAACGCTGACCCGTTACAACAGCGTTGAGCGTATTGTGATGTTGGCGTGCTGAGCACAGCAGATAGCAAATTTGGTGCTCGTAGGTGTACGGCGAACTGTGAACAGGCGGCAGGTGGAAGAGGATGGCGGCCCACTCTTGGCGCAAACCCTTTCGGTCGTGCAATTTCCTACTCAGGGCCCTGGGAAGAATCGCTGACCGTGATCTCGGAAGCCATGGCAGTGCTAGCGTGATGCATGACTCATGCCCACATCGTTAGTTTCTTGGTCGTCTGCAGGACACTATTACATCAACATGGGATCGCGTTTCACATGTCACCTCTAATGCAATGAATACCACGTCCCTATTCCTCTGGCACGTACGATGGTCTTTAAAGGTCGATGATACAGATATAACCCATCTACAGTTCAACAACACATGCCTCGACTCTTGATAAGGACAGACGCCAGGTGCTTGGCCTACTGGGCATCGTCATCTTAGCGGAGGCATTTTCGGTGACCTGCCTAATTGCGAAAAGAGCTTGAACGGGCCGCAAATTCAGCAGGTGTACCTTATCGTGATTGAGAAGCTACAAAATGTGGCTGATCCCAAAAACGAGATGCCAGTCTTTACGCGACAATGCAGCTTATCAAAACAGCCGCGACTGCGGCAGTTCTCGCTGGCAGCGCAAGCGCAGCAAACTTCACTGGCGATGTCCTCAACGGCGTGAAAGTCATTCATGACTTGAACTTGGCGGATCTACCGGCGCAAACCGTTTCGCGTTTCTACCTGCGCGTCGGCGAAGTCAATGGAGGACATCCTGTTCATATTCCTGTCATGGTCGCGCGAGGCACAGCGGACAGTTTGAAGACTGGAAAGAAGCTCTCGCTGTCTGCAGCTATTCATGGAGATGAGCTGAACCCTGTACGCGTCGTGCAGCGCATCTTCGAGCAATTGGAGGGTCAAGTCGCGACTTTGAACGGCACAGGTATGGAAGAGTCCCTTCTGGGCGGCAAACATGTACTGACACGGCTTTAGTCATTGGACTTCCCACTGTCAATCCGATGGGTATCTACATGAACCAGCGAAATTACTACACAGCTGGCGCCAGTGGATCTCTCACGAACGTGAACCGCGTCTTCCCAGGAGTCGCGGCTGCTGAAGGCGGTAGCGGACCACAATTGCTCGCATATAACATCTGGAACAACATCTGGGGCAACACATCTCAAGTGGATGTTGGCATTGATCTTCGTTAGTCAGGCCTTCGAGGTTGTTGTGGTACCGCTGACATTTTACAGACACACCTTCATCCGGTGGTGACACTTCTCTATGGTGCTACGCCGACTTCAGACTCCCTTACGTCGAGCGTATGGCCAAGCTACTCCAGCCCGACACCCTCAAGATCGACCCTGGTGAGCCCGGCTCAATCGAGACCACCTTCGTTCGCAACAAGGTGCCTTCCATCACGGTGGAGATGGGCCAGGCAAAGATCTGGAACAACAGCCTGATCGACCGAACCGTGGACTTCGTCAACCGCGTCATGGTGGACTTGAAGCTCACCCCGTCCAACGCCACCGTCGAGCCAAACCTGAGCAACGTTTATATTGCCAACACATTCCACGATTCATTTTCGCAGCATGGTGGTTTCGTGGAGAGGCTGGTCCAAGTTGACGAGCCGGTCGTCAAGGGCCAGCCCATTGCGCATGTCAGGAATCCATTTGGCGATATCATCGAGACCCTGGTCTCGCCAGCTAATGGACGCATGTTTCAGAGCCCTCGCGACCCCAGTACTGAGCCAGGTGGCTCCGTGGGTCAGATCGCTTACAACTCAACCGACCCCGAGTGTGCTGATGGATGTATTCTGTCAGGACCTACGAGGCGATAAATGTAAAACTAGAATAATATAAGGAGACTAATATCCCTGTTTGATTCACAAGTGTTACCAAAATCATGGATGCGAACATAAGTCAATAAGAACTTCGTGTGGAAAGTGGAGAGCAGTTAAACATATTCAATTGCGCCAAGGTCTTTTGGCTTCGTTTATGCGAATTAAAGTCCTATCTACATCCAAGAATCCCAAGGTGAGGTGTGGACTCCTTCTATCGAAGGCCCTCTTATGAGTGGAACGTTATTTCCAAAGCCAGCTCACACGCGAAGCTAAGCGCCCGTATGCTTATCGTCAGACTCACCTTCAGCATCGTCGTTCATGGCATCGCCCATAACTGCATCGCTGCCAGGCTCATAACCCCAAGATCGCCCGATGAAGGCATCGTAAAGTCCGTCCCCATCACCAGCGTCATGGGTGCATTGTTACCCGACTCGTCTTCATCGCTGCTTTCCTCGCCCGCCACCTTTCGATCATACGCAATCTTGCGGTAGCACGGCGTGCTATGCAAAGCATGCATATGATATCGCTTACACCACGCACCCTCAGTAGCCTCCTCGATCTTCAAAGTGAGCTTGCGGCGTGTCATGCGCAGCGTAGTGCACATAACATCGTAGATGAGTTTTGGATTCCACTGCACACCACGACGCTTGTCAATCTGCATGCGGTTCTCGAGCTTGTTACCACACAGCGCCATTGTATCTGCCCAGAGGTTGCGTGCTGCGCAGGGACCTACGGCTTCGGTGTACAACTGAGCGAGGAGTCCTGGGTTGAAGTCCGTAACGTCCATGTCGAGCAGCGGGTCATTTTCTTTCAACACGCGGCTGAAATTAGGGGCGTTCTGGTCATAGTCTTTCAATCCTGCTTTGCGGCGATTGCACAGCGCCTCGTTGTAGCGCCAGCACAGCGCGTCGAACTGATTGAACTGCTCTTGTCGGCGGCGCTTGGCATGGAATGCGCGGATCCAGGTGTCGGCCACGAGATCGCAGACATCCCAGTTGCCCTTGGTGTGGGCGCGGATGTAAATGCGCATGAGCAGTGTAGCTGTGTAGGCTACTTCGACACCGCCAGGGTTCATTTTAGGGAGCTCGACGGCTATCTCGAGATCGAGCCCGATTTCGCTCATGATTTGGTCGACGCACTCTTCCAGCTGTTTGTCAACTTTCGGAGGCGAGCGAGGTTCGCGGGACTGGGTATCGATAGGCCAATTGTCTTGTGGTACTATGGGGGCCTGAGGTATTTGTTCAATGGCCTTGTTCTTCGATTTGCGCGCCAATGGACCATTTGACTTCCTCTTAGATGATCCATTCGAAGGCTGAACTGAGTCGTCCTTGCGTGGACGACCGGGTCCGCGTTTCGATAGGAGCATCGCTATAACAATGAGTCAGTATACGCCGACGTTTTACGACCGGGAAATTGTTTGCCGTTACTCACGTGAAGGGCCCGGTGCTCCTTGGTAGTCATCTCCGCCGTCCTCGTCATCCTCTTTACCGACGGAACTAGGGATGAAGGTGTCGCTTCCATAGGCGAAGTCATGTTTCTTCGTTGCCTTGATCTCACGACCGGAGCGACTCCTCCTAACTGCCGCCGGCTGCGCGATAGGCAGCTCCTCATCCTCTTCTGGCTGCTCATCTGCTTGTGCCTGGTCATATGGATCGATTCCGAAGCCGAGAGTGGGCGCGGTGCTTTGCTGGCTGTGATCACTGGCGCGAGGGGGGTGGATCGTCAGCCTGAAAGGTGATGGTTTCGCAGGCATATCACCTGGTGTGATTGAGTCCCTCACGTTGCGCGACATATTTGCGCGTGCGCCGACCCTCGGGTTAGGTTTACGACCCATCATGACTGTCTTCTGAGGTGGCATTATGGAACCAATTCAACCTATGAAGTTGTGTAGTTATTAGGTTGGGTCGCGGGTAAATGGGGAAGTGGCTGCGATGAATCGGGAGGCGTGGGGGAGAAATAGTGGCAACTCGTATGCTACCTGGTGGGAGCGCAGGTGAAGGTGAATACCCTACAACGCTGGCGGCCAACGCACGCTCGGGCCTCTCTACCGAAGATAACTCACGTGACACATAGGTGAAAGAGAGGTAAAAGAGAGGTAATATGAGAGATCAAAATTAGACTACGCGGTAGAGGTGATTGTGTGGGGTACATCACTACACGTTGCTCACAAGGCTTGTCCGCTCACAAGACCAATGGTAGTAGGCACCTTGGAAGGCATGAGAGGCAAAGGCAGTGAGCATAGACTGGGGTAGAGCCTTGCCCTTAAAAACAGCACGCTCTAACCATAGAAATTTTCCTGGCCGCTGTGTAAAATGAAGAAAGTAGCTGAAACAAGCGTTGTAGCTGTCCAGCATAGAATCTGGAAAGCAAAGTATGAGATCTGAACAGAGATATTCGAGGCTCCAAGAAACAAAGGACAAGGAAAGAAGAAGAACCGAAATCTACATCACAGATGATGTTGCAAACTACCCAATTGTTCAACAAATTGGCACGCAGTTACTTCCCCCACCGAACTCACAATCTCCAGCAAAGGGTTGGCCAGCATTAAGATCTCTGCATCTTGCTTCTTGCGTGCGCGAAAAGCAAGCACTTGAAAGATCTGCTCGAACACTTTAGAGTCGGTGGGCATATTGATCTGCTTCCACATACCATCCTGACCGTCGTCGAAAGCATTCAACAAAGACTCCTGACCGTAGAGCCGGATGTTGCGGGCTAGTGTCTCTAGCACAGGTAGTGAGCGCTGGAGCCCGTAGGCCGTGATGCGCTTCTGGTAGTTCACGTCCAACGTGCGCATCATAACAGTGGTTCAGAAGCTTGCTGTATGTCAGCGGCGCCTTGTCGATACGCGTCGGAGCTGCGGGGTGATGGGCCATGTAATGGCAGAAAGCCTTATAACGTCGCGGCTGGATCGTTCTCGTAGGAACTACCATACCATTCTGGCGGAACCACGCCTCTTCATGTTTGATAGATTCTGTAAGTTCGATCTCAGGCGAGCGGAAAGCTGTCATCTCATGAATGATGCAACCTAGCCCCCATATGTCGCCTTCCGGCCCATGCCGCATGATTGTTTCTGGTGCCTGAAATCCAATAGTGCCGACGTGCCCAAGAAGCATATCGTGTCGCGGGATTTCGCTCCGCTGCACCAAAGTCAGCTATCTTGAGTGTAGTAGGATATGCTTGGTGTCCTGCAGCTGGGGATAGGAGGATGTTTTGGCACTTTATGCCGCCGTGCACTACTCCAGCGCTGTGTATAAAGTGCAGTCCGCTAGTAATGTGTTTCAAAGTTTGCCAAATGAACATTTCGGGAATGAGTAGCAATTAATAGGTATTTATACCTAAGGCTTAGTTAGCTCTAACTTCTTAAGCCTAAGTCCTAACACAAATTAGGCACGAATTAGGCCTAATTTGTAGCTTTCTAGTAGTTAGGGGCTAGCGCGATGCGAGGGCACGTGCTTGGACAGACGTCTGCACCTGGGCAGTTTTCGTCCCTTCACTTAACTCTCAAATCAACTCAGCTCAGACTGGCGTCGCGATCAACATCAATGACACGGCCAGCAGGCTTTCTGAACGAGTCAACGAGATGATCATAGCTAGCCGACGGCTACATACTCCCGGGACACATCTTCAGTTCCGAGATTAGTCAACATCTTCAGTCCCGAGATTAGTCAACATCTTCTTGGTCGGGCGAATATGTTCTCCATTCACCATGGCTCGCGAGCGTACGTTCACTAATCTCTGTCCGAAAGTTCATGTAGTGCCTGAAATCACCAGGCGCTCCGGATGCGCCAAAGTTTTAGTGCTGATGTTCGCGATATCTATCGTTCGATATAGAGTGTATGCAGGTGTCTCAACACGTCGATCTCCTCAGCAATCGCAAACACAACGACTAGCAAGGATATGATCAGTCGCAAATCTTACCGAGAGTGGGCTGGATGGAACGGCGCGCCAAGGCTTAGTACAGAGAAACACAACAAGTGGGAAATGAATATAAATGCAACCCGCATTCTCTCTTTTGTTCTTTAGCTATCATCGCACAACCCAAACGACGAGACAGATATCCACCCCGCAACATGACTACAACAATAACCCCTGATTATCTCGTCATCGGAGCCGGAGCCATGGGAATGGCTTTTGTCGATACCCTGATCACGGACACAAAAGCTACAGTAGCGATAGTTGATCGCTACGCTCGACCGGGAGGTCATTGGACGATTGCTTATCCTCATGTCACCCTTCATCAGCCATCTGCCTTCTACGGCGTTAACTCGCAGGAATTTCCGGGCGAGAAGAACATTGACAAGATTGGTGGGAACAAGGGCATGTCCGAGTTGGCAACAGGAGACGAAGTTCGTTCCTATTTCACAAGAGTTATGGAGCAGACATTTCTTCCAACTGGACGAGTCGAATATTATCCTTTGCATGAGTGCGCTGGCGAAGGAGAATACCGATCTATCATCACAAACAAGACCATCCAAGTTGGACCAGAGACGCGAATTGTGGATGCCACATTCATGAAAGTCGAGGTACCCGCTATGAGGCCACCACCTTATGAGGTAGCGAAAGACGTCCATCTGATCACACCTAACGGTTTGGTGTCCCTTTCTCGACCTTACGGCGGTTACACCATAGTCGGAGCTGGAAAGACCGGGATCGACGCTTGTGTATGGTTACTAAACAAAGGAATCGATCCCAAAGACATATCCTGGATCATGCCCCGTGACTCATGGTGCATGAATCGCAGTAATCTCCAATCCTGCATGGTCCCCCGCGAATGATTCCCAGATATTGGAGGTAGAAGGTGAAGCAATTGTGAATGCCTCATCTCTAGAAGATCTGTTCTACCGGCTCGAGGCCAGCGGAAAGATGATGCGGATTGATAAGAACATCTGGCCCACCATGTACAAGTGTGCCACAGTCTCTGTTCCTGAGCTGGAGCAAATTCAAAGAATTGGAAACATTATACGTCAGGGACGGGTCGTACGCATTACCGCAAATGAGGTTACATTGGAAGGAGGCAAATACACACCGGTGCCTGATACAATTTATATCGATTGCAGTGCCGATGGATTAGCAAGGCTCAACCCCGTACCAATCTTCGATGGTAAGCGCATCACACTTCAGCCAGTGCGCTACTGTCAACAAGTGTTCAGTGCCGCTTTCATCGGCCATGTCGAAGCTACCTACGACAATGACGAGGTCAAGGACTCACTCTGTACCGTTGTACCCCACCCAGATGAAACTCAAGACTTCCTTGGTATGGCCCTTGAGACTTATACCAATGCGGCGAAATGGTATGCAGAGCCAAAAACGGGGGCTTGGTTATCGCACGCCCGTCTTGACATAACCAACGCACAAAAGCCTTCAGACTCTGTTGAAGTTGCAAAAGTTGAAGCTGCGAGACCAGCGCAAATACAGGCTATTTGCCGCAACTTGAGAAGTCTTCTGGATGTTGAATCAGCAGTGGGTAGCAAGACTTAGGAAAACAGAACAATGGTACCTGACAAGCAGAGCCCAGTAATGCTGACGTGAGCACCATGCAAGAGGCAAGCGTCAGCATGGCCGGAACGACTGATATGTCATCACCTCGCAATCGTAGCATTATAAGAGCAGTAGCGCAATGAGCATAGCGTATATACAATTGTATACTTCAAAGCATCTTCTTATTTGGCCAGCTGCATATCTATCTACCACGTCCATTAATCGCAATAACATCTAGCTTAACACATCACCGGTCCAGACGTTGCTGGTAGTCGACGCCTCTTAAATCAAGCCCGTCCCTAAACATCCACCCGAAGCAGCAAGAATAGCAACGTCACCTTGCAATCGTTCTACGTCTCAGCAATCCCTAAGATCTCAGTCCTCTTCCCAGCCTTGATACAGAAGTATATGCTCGTCGTTGATGACACCGAGCTTCAGCTAATTTGACTCAGCAGGAACCTTTCGGTGTTCGCGCGATGTAGAGTTCCTCAGCTAATTATGTTTAGCATTTAACTTACATGCATGCTTTATACTACTGACCTGCTTCAGCACGCTTGTAACGTCTTAATGCAAAATACACTCCTATCTCCTTCATGTTGTATCGAAACGTTATACGTACGATGGCAAAGACTATAGTGAGGAAGATACTAAGAAGGGTGAAGATAGCTTCTTTCGATTAGCTAAGTAAGGTAGAGAGTTCGACGTGCGATACAGTATCTATTAACAGTCTGCAAGCGTATTTTCTTAGATTACAAAAAGATAATATGCTACTATTTATCTCTATTATGCGGCCTAATCCTTGAGGACTAGGTAGAAAGTTTAGAGCTAAATTAACTACTATCGTGCAGTTAAAGCCTAAGTAGCGAAGCACTATAACGAAGAAGAGTTACGTGTAGAAGTCTTGGCTTTGGTGTTTGAGCACTCCATGGTAGCGAACAATGTTCGCGTTCTGGCCCAAGAAGGACAGTATCTCAGCTTCGGCCGGTGGCGACGATGGCTCGCTGTGGTGTACAGTCTTGACGGCGACCAAAGAGCCTAACTTTGCGTCACGACATAAGTGTACTTGGCCGTTACCTCCTTCGCCTAATAGCTTTAGTGGGACATGACGTTGGGAGATAGGCTGGGCGCGGACGGGTCGATCCATCTCGGTCGTAAGCTGCTGTTTCGCGTGAGTCTTCTCGTTTTGATAAGAAGAGCGGATGTGCTTGAACTTTCCAACAAGAACCATTGCTCTAGCTTTTATGCGCTTCATGAAAAGGCAAGCTCTAGGGTGCATGTTCGAAAGATAGTGGCTAACAGCAGTGATGTATGAGATTTAGGCTATTGGTGGAGGGTTTCGGTCGTGGAGTTGACTTGCAGTTGGAGATAAGGGTCGAAAATGGAGAATGGAACGAAGGGATTTAATCGAGTGATGAGGAATACGGAACCAGCCTCACGCTGTGAGACAACGCCTTTGCTGAGCTAGAGGTGAATCTCCAGCGTGGGCTAGCCTGGGGCCCATCACTTTTATCACCCTCATTGTAGTCGATCATGGTGATTTATGCTCCAGAGTGATTCATGACTGCAATTTTCCGTGAATATCATCTCATGCCCTCAGGCCGCAGGCATTGTGCCGGAACTTAGACGAGTGTACCAACAATGCTACCTTATTCGGCTTTCGTCCGCGAAACATTAGCGGAAGAGGGTATAAGTTTATAGCGAGGTACTCCACTTTGTTCTTAACGAAGAAATAGAAATTAGCTTCGCAGTCTGGTGGCACGAATCCCTCGAAACGATGGGCAATCGTGACAAGAAACATGTGTATCTGTATCATCATTGCACGCAATACAAGTGAGGCCGTGTAATGTTGTTGGATCACATGCCTAAATTTGCTACGGGTTTGCTCCACGGCGAAGGGGAGGTGCGACCCCATGCTGAGTGAGTGGATGAAGCCTGCCCGTATGCTGTCGGTGTTTCGGAGGTCCGATGACCGCGGCAGTCTTCGATACTTTGTGCTCAATTGCCTATTCCGGCTTCTTCGCGTCGTTACTGACTTCGCTTGCAATATGGTGGAAGATTGTGCGCACAACGTTCGAATGTAGCAGTCTTGCGCAGTTACCTCACAACCACCACCGCTTGTCATCTAATCATTGTGCGACTAGAGCCTGTAGTGTCAGAAGATCAGGAGGAGGTCGCAGTATATTCCTGTGCTAGATAATGCTGAACCGGATCGATGATTGTCAGCCTGCTGCATTCGACTCGAAGGCGCCGCTTCTGCTTTGAAATCCAGATGCTAACTCCATTGCTTTGGAATACTAAGGGTTGGCCCAATTGCTGTGTTATACAGAGGTTTGATGTTACTCAACAAGTCTTCGTGCTACTATGCGGTTCTATCGGGTGTCAGCGAAGTTGCTGCTCAAGATCGGTGCTATCTAAGATGACGCAGAGGATGTGATGTTGGGCGGACGAGGGAGCGGCATTCGTCCGGCACTAAACCAAAAACATCATATCCTGAAAGGGCCCACTCATACGCCCCGCAAAGTCGCATGTTATTTATGGTATCCTGGTCCAAAACCTGAACCTTGATTGACGTTATGCATCTTGGCTACATATAAGTACCGTATACCGTATTTCAAAAAGACAAAAGCACGACTCCGACCACCTCCAAACCTACACCACAGTTTCGAACACACCTCAATCATTCCTGAGTCTTTACCAAAATTAGCAATGGCGTCTCCACAGAAAAACATCGGTCTTGTTGGTCTCTCAGCAAAAGGGTACGTATGAGGCGAAATAAGAACCGGGTGTCTCGGCTAACCCTTGTAGCTCATGGGCTTCAAGATCTCACCTCGGATACCTTCAAAACACCGATCTGTACAAAATTACCGCTCTCCAGAACAGTTCGAAGGCGTCTGCGGAGGCTGCGGCAAAGGAGTACAAGTTAGAGGGCGTGGCGGCTTACGACAATCCTTCCGCCATTGCCAAAGATCCCAATGTCGACATCGTAGCTGTCAGCGTGAATGTACCAGAACACTACAAGCTCATTGTTCCTGCGCTTGAAGCAGGAAAGGATGTCTTCTCAGAATGGCCACTTGCACGCAACCTATCCGAAGCGGAGGAACTCGTCAAATTAGCCAAAGCGAAGGGCGTAAAGACCGTGGTGGGTTTGCAAGCTCGCCAAAACCCAGCCATTATCAAGGCGAAAGAGATCATCGAGTCAGGAAAACTTGGAAGAGTCCTGGGTACAACCATGTATGGTCACGTGAGTCTTCCTATAAATCCCATTTACGATGTCGTTGCTGACCTCTATTTTACAGGGCACGATCTTTGGTCCGGTCATGCCAGAGAACTTTCTCTACGGCTTACCCGTGGAAGCCGGCGCCAATCTGGTAACCATACCCTTCGGCCACGCGGTCGATGCATTGTGCTATGCTCTCGGCGAGATCAAGGATATTTCCGCCACTCTCGCAAACCTCCGCCCCGAGCACGATCTCATTGATAACGATGGCAAGCCCAACGGCAAAGTTACCAAGACAGCACACGACTATGTCTCCTTTAATGGCAGACTCGCGAATGGCGGTGGCGTTATCGATGTTACTTACGTTGGAGGACACTCCCGCACTGGACGCGAGTTTTACTGGGAGATCAACGGCACAGAAGGATCGCTTGTGTTTGAGAATCCCAACCCTATGGGTGGGCATATTCAGATGTTCCAGCCGAGCTTGAAGTTGGCAACGAATCAAGGCATTGAGGAGGTCCAAGTTGAAAAGGCTGCAGACTTCTCGTTCAATGTTGGAAAAGCATGGGACGCGCTGGCTGGCAAAGGTTTGGACCAAGGATACAGTGTTACCACCTGGGATGATGCGCTTCTTCGTCACAAGATGATTGATGCGATTTACCGCAGCGGTGAAAGTGGGAAGAGGGAGAACTACGTCTAGACACTACACATGCGCGGAGTGATCTAATAGCCTTCAGGAGCACACTGATAAGTTTATGGAGAATCCTGAATGCATTTGGTGCTACAAGATATCTTGTTTGTGTTTCCAAAAGACTTTGAAGAAATCCAGGCTACCTCTTAAATCTCCATGCGCTCATGGTCATTGACCTTCGCCGCCTTGTTGGCATACTCCAGGCCCGCAATGAAGTCTCCATACAGCTCTTCCTGGTCCTTGTGGACGTACTTGCACCTGTTGCGCGGGCACTGTTTGCCCCGTCCCTCCTGTATACATCTGTCTCTATAGGTAGGTTTCGGCAGCGAATAGTCGATGTAGCCGTCAGCCTGCGCACTTCGGAGAGGGTGTGTCGTGCTCCGTGGCCATGTAGCTCCCTTGCTTCTGAAAGGAAGAGGCGCGGCACCGATCGTCTCAACCTTGTTGGCCTGGAGTTGGCGGATCATCTCATCCTTCTCGGCCTGTAGGCGGTCTGCACGAGCTTTCTCCGCTCGCCATGCCTCCACCATCTTCTCGTACTCAGTTGTACCGTGCCCGATGATCTGGTGTAGGGCCGGGGGCGAGATAGTGGCAAGTGTAGATGCCGGATCGTTCAGATGCTGAGTCCAGCTGTTTGCTGGCAGAAGTGCGACCGCGAGATCGGCGCCAAGAACGTCTTGCGACGGCGTGTCTATATCGCCCTCATTGGTGATGTCCATGGTGTTGTCGTCCTTGTCGGTGACCTCCATGGTGGTGTGGGGCATGGTGAGTGATATTGAGTTGATGCGCCGGGAACGCGAATTCGAATTTGTGAGGGTGGTTGATTTTTGAATAGTACAGGCAATGTGAGAGTGTGCATAGATAACAAAACCCCGCCAAGCCTGCTAGCCTCCGGTATGTCACGTGCAGCAGAGTGAATGTGTAGAGACAAACGCAACTTGACACGCCCGCCGCCGCGCGGCCGGCAAACGCGCGCGCCCGATATCACTAAAGGCACGCCCGATTCCAACTTGTTTCTTCTTCCTCAAGCTCGACCCTTAAGGATCAAAACTCAATGAAAAAGATATCATATGGCAAACACTCCACAAGGGAAAACGTGCAGCTCGCCGCAACCAAACTCAAGACGGATAAAGGGCCATCCGTGTATGCCAGCAATTCCGAAGCGAGTACGAATATGATCGCGGACTGGGACGGGCTAGCCGTCCCTGGTCAGCCATTCTTGCAATGGGCCTTAACCTTATCCCGTTGAACCACAGATTACTGCTAGAACGGTGTCGCCTCCGGGGATTGCGTCAATGTCGCGTCTTTACCCGGATCGGACCCACGTATGAGACATTAACTTCTCCTGGAAAGAGCTGTGTTAGTAAGGTGGACGCTGAGGAGGTGGGGTGGGTTGAACTTACAGTGCGCAGATGAGGAAAGAGAAAGAGAGTTTGAGGGGAAGCCAGGCTTTTATAGGTAGGAAGGCCTTGGCTGCGCTAGGAGCGGCGATTCCGTTGTTCCGGTCGGTAGCCTTGACGGTGTTTGCCAGGTCAAGGTGAATGTGGGTTGCCGCTCACCTAGGCCATCAACCCCAGCAATATCGGCTCTCGCGACACACACACAAAAGTGATTACGTGAGCACCCTGATTGGAAGTCACGCAAATTTAGGTAAAGTTATCCGCATACTGTGGCGGGTGTACGGTGCTTGATGGTCTGTGTTCTTGCATGCTAGGCGTATACAATGTATCCTTGAGGCATGAGTTGAGCAGAAGAGGATTGATGCATCAATTCCATTACTTTCTTGTGACTCAAGCTGTTATAGTAGCACCCACCGTATACATCAGGCATCCTCAAGGTAAAGCTGCCACTACTAGAGGCAGCGTACTCTTTTGGCCAACACAAGAAGTGAGACACATCTAATCGAGGCTCTGTGCAAGTGCGATAGCTGAGAACCTAAGATCCCCACCCTTCTCCGACTCGATTCTGATCAATCTTCCTAAGCCCTTCTCCAGTGCCGCCGCACTCAGCACATCCTCGTCGTCCTTCAGCGCGCCTCGATCGAGCGGGCCTTTGCGGTCACCTTCAAGCTCCCACAGATGTCCATCTTTCGCCTTGACAAACGCGACGAAATGCTGTCCACTGTGCACGTTATTCTGAGGTGTCGGCGCAGCTGTGTCGCCCAACTTGGCGGCATCCACATGTGCCTTTTCGAATTCATCGGAATCTTCTAGGACCTTGGCACGCTCCCACATCGTCTTTGGAAGTGCATCTTTGCGGATCTTGTCGAGTGTTGAGCCTGGCTTGATGTGTTTGGAGGCTTCACTGTTGAGCAGGGCGTGGACGAGGCCGATGCTCCCACACGCATTGCCGATCGTCTGCTTGAACCAGATGACCGGGTCGTCTTCATCTTTGCCGCCGTATTCCGGCTTATCTTCGTCTTCTGACTGTCGCATCTCTTTCCATGTTGGTGTGAGCGGGATAATGACAAGTAGAGCGTAGACAGGACGTGGAATGAAGGCCAGAAGGTCTAAATCGGTGAGGGAGTAGACGTCGTAGAAAGCGAGGGTGTCATCCAAGCCCAGTGACTGAGCAAGCTGGTTCATGACCTCTGGGTTGTTTTCGAGCATCGTCCAGAGTTTCTTCGCCATATTTGCTGGTTGTTTGCAATGATAACCAGGGTTGGTTGATGTTGTTGCAATGATGGGAGACGGGAAGGTGTGGGTTCGTTAATATTATATCACATGATGGTCATCGTAGGGCGTGCTTCAGGCTTCAGGCAACAGCACGACGTGTGCACGCGTGCGACAGGGATGATCTGCACCAGTAGGTCTGTTGTAGCTAGCGTGGTGAATTGAAGCGGGAAGCGCGCTGGGGATCCATTATTCCTTGCCCCGCACTAGATCGTTTAAGGAACGCGGGGTATTTTCAGGCGACGACGATGCTTGCTTCAACACCATAGTACCAATGTTTTGCATGTGCAAATAAATCAACCTTTCTCTGTGTTACTTCCTATAATCTTCTATAGCTTCAAGCTTTTTCAAGTCACCAGGGCTGTTTCAAGCCACAGCGTACATCGGTCAGAGACCGGGTCAGACCGGGTCTCCGCATCCGTATAGCTCATTCCATAGCATATATATCTGTGTTCATGCCCAGCCTGATAGTCGCGACTGGTTCTTGTTCAAAACTAAAACTTATATTTATCCTCTTTGCATTTGTTTCTGGATTCTAATCTTTCGTTGTTGATTAATTCATTTCGTGCAGTCATCTGAAAGTATTGAATCTAGAAAGAAAGCTGTCACACCACCAAGGACCATGGACGACGAAGCAAGACAAGCCTTAGCAAATATGGAGATGCCACGAAGGCCGATCAACTTTGTACCCTCTACATCAGGCGAGATCTTGAAGCTTGGCCACATTACGTGTAGGATTATGGAGGATGGATCAAGAACAGGTGACTTTCCGCCAACAACAATCTTTCCACAAGTACTGATCGTTCCAGACAACCGCATAGGTTCTGCCGAATTCACACTCCCACCAAACACGGCTGGTCCGCCAGCTCATTGGCACGAGATGCACGATGAGACCTTCCTCGTAACACAAGGCGTGGTACGCTTCCACGCACCTGACGGAGCGTATCACGATGCGCATGTTGGCGACTACGTCACTGTACCTATTCGCGCACCTCATACGTTCTCCAATCCATTCGACCAAGAAGCGAGGTTCTTCAACACGTACACTCCCGCGTTCTATATCGATTACTTTAAAATACTGGCTCAGATCAGTAAGAGCGATGAGAAGATGAGCAAGGAGAAGAATGTCGAGGTGATGAGTCGGTTTGCGACTATGCCGGCCAAGCCAATGCTGGAGGAGCAGGCGAAGGGGAAATAGTTCAGGTGGCATAAGAGGTATATGAAGCTGACGAGACTCAGAGCCTACTGTGTACATGCGCACAAGTAGGTATATATCTATATGTATTTTCCTATCTGCTCTCTAAAACTATAGATGGTACGAGGTACCCATATCGTAGTCTAGAAGCTAGATTCACATTACTGGTCTTGTCGCTTATCCGCTATGCACGTTGAAAGTTCGATGGCAACATGAGCCTCCATCCACTTCGCCACTTCCACTCATGTCTTCTTCTTCTGTGTCCTGCTTGATCGACGTGTGACAGATGTAACACGTGGTCGTTTGTTCGATTGCTCGATACTTTCGCTTTCCTCTGCAGAGCTACCATCTTCATCTCCTCCTATGCTCCTTCTCTTCATGCCCTGGCTGTAACTTCGTGCATTGGTGCCTTTGCGCTGGCGTAGAGCAGCAATCTGGTGATCATGCCTGTCGACTGCGACGTTGGCCGCGACATCGGCTTTGCTATGGCGAGCACTCTTGGAAGCTGGAACATTATCTCCGCCGATGCTTCCCATAGCATGGGTACTGTCTGTTACCCAATAATCGTCGTTGTCGAAGAGTTCGGGGTCACCTTCCATCGGCTTCTCGGATGTCCTTTTGGCTGTTTCAATAGTAGCCTCCACTTCCTTCGGGTCAGGATTGACATCCTCAAACATGTTCTCTCCTGTCCTCGGCATCGCTGTATCGAACGGATGTCTCTCATCTCCCGGTACGTATCGCGACGAAACCGTCCCATCGCTATGGCACTGCACGCTCGTAAACTTGAGCGCAATATAGCACTTCCTGAACGCTGCAGCCTTCTTGCGTGTCTTTGCCTCTGTCGCTCGCAACACCGCACGCCGCGCTTCGGCGTCCGAAGACGACAAGTCCGCTGGTATCTTCTTTTCATTCTCCATCTCGACGCACGCATCGCAATAGAAGGGCTTGTTGCTAAAAGTATTGCCGTTCTTCATCTTCATCGCCTTCTTGTGCTTCAAAGAGCGATCGAGGTCGGCATCGTCGTCCACGTGATAACAGTTCGGCGCACACGGTTCGTTGGGCAAGGCAGTCGTAACGAGATGTCCGCACTTCAATGCGTGTTCGAAAGACTGCTTAGTATCTAGGCAAGGGTTGTTTGCATCTTTGATACTCCTCTTCGGATACGTAATTGTTTCGCGGACGATCTTGGGTGATTTGGGTGTCTCGCGCCCCATTTGGAAATTGCCATACAGAGCGAAACGTGAGTTGAGCATGGCGGAAAACTGCTGGACCATATCTGGAGGCATGGTGAAGATCGATAGGCAGCTTTGGTAGGCGCAGGCGCAGGATAGGGGAGGTCTCGTGACAGGCTGTGACGTAAAGAGAAGGCGCGGTCAAGTGTAGGTGAAGGCGCGCCCGGATGGAAGACTCGATACCTGTACCTTCCAATTCGAGAGAGCAAGTCAAGGTTGAAGGGTAATGTGTAGGGTAGAGACGTGACAGAGAGCAACTTGTGCAAGAAATGTAATGTCGCCTCAATTTTGAAGGCCTTTTTCACCATGTATTCACGGGACGAGGAATTCCTGGTCATGGCGCTTCGCAGCGCACTGAAGTGAATGATTGATCCACAAGCAACACATATACAGGTTTCTATATTGAATTTCTCCATGATCGCTGTATTAGGAACCGCAGAATCGCGATCGTTTTAGATCGTCTAGCGTGGGTGCAGTCGAGTGTGCTCACTATATGTCTAATATACCTTGAACTCCACCACTCTAACCTTCTTCCCGAGCTTCGGCGCAAACACCAACCTCACCTTTTCGCTCACTTTCTCGTCCCAATCGACCTCAGTGATCCCGTTTGCCACGCTATCTCCGTACTTCCCACCGTTTACGTCCTCACCACCAATCTGCACTTTGTAGCTTTCAGGGACGTCAAATCCCTGCTCTTCATTCGCGAAGAATGCTATGTCTGCGCCACTAGTCGATGTACTGTTTCCGAAATCGACTTCGAGCCACATTTCCGTCCCGTTGGACACTGGTGTACTCCATCCGTTCGCCACATCAGTTTCGGGGAAGAACCATATACGGCCATCAATTGCGGGGTACAACTTCGTGGAATTGAAACCCGAGATCGAGACGCTGGCACGTGGGTATGCGGTTGTGCTATTCAATTGAATTGACTTTGCGATTCGTCTTTCAACCGCCTTCGGTGACAGTCTCGTCAACGGCACGCTTAGCTTGGTCAGTGCTGGCGAGGAAGCTACAATCTCGCCATCAACCTCGATTTGAAGGCCTTTGGCGTTGTAGTGTGAGCCGTCAACGTCGTATTGAATGGCGATCTCGTGGCCGTGGTAGATGATACGCTCGGCACGGAAATAAGTAACAGTGGAGTTATCGATGAGTGGATTGACTTCCAAAACATTGTCGATGGAAGGTCGAATACCGACGAAACCAGAGAGAACCAGATCGATGAAGCCAGAATGGAAATAGTGAGGTGAGCGTTTGAGGCCGACGATAGGGTAGCCAGTGTCAGGGTAGTAGTCTTCTTCAAGATCGAGAATTCCTTCACGCTCGGGGTTGTAGTGGAGAAGCGCATACTGCTTCAGTAGCTTTGTGTGGTCGGCTGCTCTTATGATACCAGCCGCTGAACCAATGGGGTAGTCATTGAGGAAATTTGCCAGACCAGAAATGATTTGTGTGGTCTGATACGGCCACACTGCACCGTTCCACTGACATCTGCAAGCAATTAGCGGGTGTATTGTCTGGTTTGAAGGGAGAAAAGGGGGTCGGGGGCGGATTAGGGAAGGGAACGGAGAAAGGTGCTCTCATGGCAGCAGTACTTTTGAACCGCCCCGCTGTCTTCTCGAATCACTCAGATTTGGTAGAAGTTTAACTTACTTTACAAAAGTCAGCAAAAGGTACTTAAAAACGTATCACGTGTAGTCACTGCTTACCTCAGGCTGGCGACCATTCTCTTCGACGTAGCGGTATTGGCGCATGTAGTACTCGTAGCTTGGCTCAACTGTGCGCAAACCATGTTCTCCGGCTAGCTGACTAGGATCGAGAACATGTCGCCATGCTTCGGCATACTCTAGGGTATCGTCTGGTAGACTGTGCGTCCAAGGTACCATGCCCACCAACTCTCGACCGCGAATGGGGTCCCAGTATGTTACGTTTGTGTTGTTCACCTGGAACCGATCGATAAAGTGCTCGAATGTGGTGTTCCACAGCGCCTCTTGCACGCGAGTCTTGATTGCTGTAGCTCTTGCGTTGTACAGTTCAACTGTAGCATTCATGCCACCCTTCAGCGCAGCGAGTTTCGCAATAGCTCGGGCATTGTCAAATTGATAGCTATTGATACTCGGTCGGAATGAGTCTCCGCCGAAGAATCCATCGTAACCGCCCGATGCATCAATGCTAGAGATCGTGTACTCTGTCGCATCCCGAATCGGCTCCACGTAGTACAATCCTTTCGAAGTATCGAACGAGTCGTCCCAGGCATTGTACACTGTCTGCATATTGGAAAGCCTGGCAAGCGCATCTTCAGCTACACCGTCTACCAAGTAGCCCTGGTAGACAGCTGCAGCCATACTCTCAGAAAATTGTCTTCTATTACTTTGCGGCCCAAGTATGAAGGTGGCGTAGTCTTCCTTGAAGCGTCGATCGCGACACCAGCGCCCTTCGAGGATATGGAAGCCCGTTGCATCGTTCAATGATGCCCATGGTGTAGTCTGCCACCCGACGTCATCCAGAAATTCGGTAGAGATGTAGCCGTTCGCTCCCAGGTCGCGCTGATGAGCCCTGAATATCTTCCAGCGGTAGTAGTATACATCAGTGATTTCCTTATCACTTGATTCGAAGAAAGGTATGCGGTCTCGGTACCATGGGGAGTCATTGCCGAAGTACTGTGTAGAGAGCGCATCCACATCCAGTCCCGCGTGTACACACCGCAAAGTACATAGCAGAGTCACCACAAGTGAAGCTCGCATCTTGAATTGGCTGTGATTGTTTGGTGACCCGTCTTGCTGGTTGCGAACGTGTCGTACTTAAATCTAGGTGCAAACGCCCCCGGACAGTGATATTAGCCTTGTGCTTCGTCATGGCGAAGCGTTGACGCACCAAAGAGAACGACTATTTCTTTACCTTGCCTTGAAGCGGCAAGCGACAGCAATGTGCATGCTAGGGGATCGTTGTCGATGAGCACTTAGCGAAGTTTGACATTAGCCTACCTAGCTGTCCCCACTTATTCTCCGCATAGAGATCGGAAAATGGCTGATCGGCAGGAACCTATTTTTCCGTCCATTCTCTAACACAAAAGACGATGCGAAGACCTCGTCCTACATACTAAGGTTTTCGCCTACAACGGAAAACGACCAGGGTGCAACAGCAGGCGGCCCATTCAATAGCCTGAATTTATACAGTGTCGCTAGCTTTCGGATTTGACCGCAAGGTTGTGTATAGCTTCGGAAACTTTTGTGACCACCGTACAACCTATCCATCTTCAATCTGTGCGTCGTCCCTTTTAGTCTTTGCCCACTACAATGGTTGCGGTTCGTGGCCAGTCGTCTGATTGTTCCTGAAGCACAGCATTTGTGAGAAAGGTGCTAGGTCGAACGATAGGATTCACGAGCGCGGGGAAGTGTGACGGCGTTCACGATGCAGCGGGCAGCTGGGTGGAGAAAGAGTGAAGGTGCAATGGACAGCAAAGAAACATGACGCGACGCGCCTTATCTTAGCTTCGTTCCTTATCAGCACCACATTCACTCCACCAAGCACGTAATGTCAACAACGACGTCATACTACCCTATATCGCTTACAGTATCGCCATTACGAACCTACGCAAAACCTGTTTCTCTCTGAAACCTCTTCTTTTTCACATCCTCGAATACACAATGCCTACGATTCTCGTCGTCGGCGCAACTCGCGGTCTCGGCGCTAGCATTGTCAAGACATATGCAGCCGATACCAATAATCAAGTACTGGCGACTGCAAGAACCTCGAGCCCTCCAGCCAATAGTGAGTAAAGTTCATATCGTTTAGTGATACGATCTCATGTTGCCTTCATCTACTGACAAGGCCAAGCAAAGAATGTAGCCTACATCCCTAGCATCGACATTGCAACAGAAGATGCTAGCAGCACCCTAGTACGTTACTTGGAGTCACGGAAAATCACCAAAATCGACACGGTTATCATAACTGCCGGCTACTTTGCTACCGAGTCCCTCAAAGAACCGTCCTTCTCCGACCAAGAACGCATGTACAAGACATGTGTTATCGGCCCTACGATTCTTGTCACTGCGCTTGCAAACAATGGCTCCCTGCTTTCACAGAAATCGAAAGTCATCTTCGTCTCCTCGGAGAGCGGCAGCATAACGCTCAGACACGAGTCGGAAGGCGGTGGAAACTACGGCCATCATGCTAGCAAGACCGCACTGAATATGTGTGCGAAGTTGCTGAGCTTGGATCTCAAGGAGCGGGGCGTAGCAGTCGCTGCTGTACATCCGGGCTTCATGCGCACGGAGATGACGAAGAATGTCGGATTCGACAAGTTCTGGGACGACGGTGGTGCTGTCACGCCGGATGTTGCCGCAAAGACTCTGGTGGAGTGGGTCGAGACATTCGATATCAGCAAGACAGGACAGTATTGGGCGCCTCGCGGGGCTGGGTGAGTACAATCATCGGGGATGGTGTATCAGGGCTGACTCGAACAGTGATATCGGTACTGCTGAACCAGTCCTAGGAGCGAAGGACAAGCTTCCCACGCCTCTCCAGCTTCCGTGGTAGATGCAAGTGCATTTGGTTGACTCCCAAGAATGCTACGAAGATTGATGACTCATAACATGACTGAACGACCTCGATAGATAGGTACAATCCCAAAAATTACTACGAGACTCTTTGCGGTACCCATACTTTCATGATCACACTCTTGAAACCTCTTCTCATGATGGCATATATTTGCTAGCCCCAAGTGGCGTGCTGACTGTAGAAGCGGGTCGATAGAGTCCTGGTCGTCTTCGCCGGAGCTTTTCGCCCAAATCGTGCCGACTTTGAGTCCAACCCTACTCTCCTGTACCCACAAAATTGTTACCTTCACTGAGTGGCAGTCATTTCTTCCCACTGCCGAAATCTCTTATATTCGTCGTAGCTACGTCGCAGTTGCTGGATGGAGTGCCGATGGTTGCGCATGATACAGCCTGTATTGATTCAACGTATTGACTTACTGCTTGGAAGTCTTGGCCACTCACGTTTGACGATCTTTCGCGTCTTCGGTGAAGCAACGAGCGTGATACAGATTCCTATAACAGCGACGAGGACACCAATCAGGGTAATTATTGCCTCTCTGGACCAACCAGAAGCCGGGGTGGAGGTTTGACTAGGCTGCAGTGGTGCTGCATGTCCCAAAAAGGCTAGAAAGAGTGGTGTGAGGCGTGCTACAACTGATCGCATGCTTGGACTGCAATTGATGTGGTAGGCTGAATTGGCCTTTGGCAGGGGCGTTATTAAGGATTGTAAAGCCGAATTACGCAGTCAATTTGTGAAAGAAAATGAGAGGACTATGAAACAAACTGGCAAACATGCGCAAGTGTATTTCAACTGATGAAGTTGCTCTTGGGGAACGACCCCATGGCATCGAAATAAGTTCCCCTTATACTCAAGATTGATCCTACACGACGCCCAAACCATGAAGCTGGCGAAGTGACCATGATGCCCAACATGCACGCTGTACTAGCAACCCTTGTCACCGGTCCCTTGAACTCTCCAAATTGCGTAGGATACGCAAGGTACAACCAATCAATAGGCGCTGAGACGCTGTTCTTGAATTGCAAGGCAACCAATCAGCGATAGACAGCGGTGAGTTCAGAAAAGTACTTGAAGTCCTTCCAAACATGCGTTCTTTACTCTTTCAGAGCCAGAAATCTCAGGAAAATGTTGCAAATATCTTGTGGATACGTGTGGATGTGACTTGTGAAAGGAAAGATCAACTGGAATCATCGGCGTGCAGAGCCTCATCATCCTTACGCTTCCTCTTGCCTTACATGACATTTTGGCCGTTTCTAGTAATACATCCAGGATGCCCAAAACATTCCTGGTGAACGTCAAATATTGCACCTCAGCATTTCATGTCGTCATCACTCGAGTATTGATTTTGTACTAGAATATGTATTGCGTTCAATTCTCGAAAACAGTCAAAGGAAGTAGATCAACAATAGCCCCAGGTCTGGCGGAAATTTGATCGCAATTGCCAGCTAGTAGTACTTCCGGGCGGTGGAATACTGTTCTTTATGTCAGCATGGGTCAGGCGGTCAGATTTGGTTGGTGTCATACTGATCCGTCCTAGCACCACACCATGCCGGATGCCCCGCGAGGACGCTCACATGGCGGACATCTCCATCCACTCCTTGAATTCGAGGTATTCTCTATATTTACGTTGCAACTGATATACTGGTTCACGGAGATTGCGCTTGAAGCAGTCTTACGAAAAGTCAGACGGTTATGATGCAACGTTAAAAGATTGTTTCTACTCACTTATGAGGGTTCTGCGTAGACTGGGCGATTTAGCGAACGTGGTCAGGATCATCGTCACAGCCACGATGACGCCGACTAGGCCATTTATAGCCTCGCTGCATAAATGCGTTGTTGGAGGATTGGTTGGTGCTGCGAATACAGGGGTGGTGATACCTGGGCCGAGAAGCACAAGGAGGAGTAGTGCGAGTGGAGCCATTTTGCGACGGGATAGGCCAGCCATGTCGACCTCCGAAAATTAGTATGCAGAGGAGTGGAAACCGAACTTCTACAGTATGTTCGTGATACTGATGAGTAGAATATGGGCAAGGGTTCTCAGGTTTTCAACGATTCACGAAGGCAAATCAGTGCCGAAGTGCTATGTTCAGCCATATCCAAGACCTTGATGTATTGCAATACGACTATTTTGTCTCTTGGGAAACATTCACGGTAGAAACCGTGCTCACTGCTGTACCCGTGCTGGCCAGCCTTGGCTGCTGTTCTGGCGTCCATTTCTCCGCGTCACCCAATCGATCAGATGTGAGTCCTGCAGATCCGGGGTTGCGCAGACCAGCCTCGAGTTGTCTTTGATAGCTGACTTGTCGGAGGCGTTGCGCTTCTTTTGGTGTAAGGTGTAGCTACTCAGAGGTCAGTCATGCGTGAAGAAACAGAATAAGTGTAGTGAAACTAACGTAGATCTCTACTCCGATTGCGTGAATGACCACAGACAGCCATAGAGCCATTCCGAATGGAACGTTCAACGCTGCGCCAGCATTCGCGCCTCCAGGACCGTCCATGCTGGCGTTCACAAGCGCAAACTCGGTCAGATCGGTACCGTTGATATAGGCGGCGCAAGATGGATAGCTTGAGAGAAATTCGGAAGCGTCCGAAAAAGTCGACTCGATCTTCGTGCAGGGCCAGGCAACGAAGTATTCCTGCTTTGATATGATCATGGCTGCGATGATCATTATAAGTCGGTTCGTGATGATTGCTCCAGCCTGTGCTGTGTGAGTGGGTTGAATAGTGCTTAGAATACAGGCCACTTACGTAGAACCATCCTCGCAGCATCCATGCGCGGTGTTGTTCAATCTGCAACCTCCTGATGTTGATGTATGATATGATGAAGCAGACCAAGACGCCGGTGCCCACGAACCCAATCCACGCTTGAACATCGAGACCACCACCGAATGAGTGACGTGCAATCATCAAGGCTCCTACGAGACTGATGGCGTAGAGAAGGATCGCGAAGTAGCCGGAAATGCGATGCACCATAATCCAACGGTGTCGAATGTATGGCGTGAACTGCATTACAGCGAGGATGCCCGCTGGCAGTACACTAGCAAGATGCAGTAGTATTCCAATCTTGTACCGATCGAAGTTCAGGAAGTAGTAGCATTCGCCGGGTGCGGCGCCATTTCCATCACCCGATGGTGTACTTGGGCAAAAGTTGTTGTCGAAGTTGAGGTACATGAAGCGTGCGAGGCAGAAGCCTACCATTGCACCCCCAAAGATGAAGTAAAGCGCGAAGTTGTACCCCTTGGTAAAGCCGACGGGATTGTAGATCTTCTCAGCCCAGGTTTTCGTTGACTTTGACGTCGCTCGAGTAGGAGTGACCATGATGCTCATGGCTTTTATGATGTTCGTGTGGTCGACAGGTACGGATAATCAACCTGTTGATGACAGCTTGTGTGTATCTCTATGTGTGTATTGTCAGACCATCCATTCCAACACGTCGTCCATTCTCTTTATACGTGTTGAATTGCTGCATCATGGCTGAGCCAACCTATTGTGGTCGATCATGCGACGCGACGGCTTCTCTGTTGCACAGCCATGACAATTTCAGCGACAGACTGCATCTTCGGACTATCGAAAGCAATCGCCAGGAAAATGTAGCACATTGAAAACTTGGGAGCGCTCTTTGCAGGCTTCTTCAGCGTCTAAGTAAGGGCTCTCTTCGCATGGCTAACCGTGTCAAACCTAGCGGCGCACAATCATCCTGAAGCGGCAAGGCGTGATCCGTCGATCCCACCCGTCACTGGACGCCCTGAATCTTTCGCACGTCTTGTCGAGGCATCATCATACTATGCGCACCAATGAATGCGAAGTTCCTAATGCGAACCGGTTACAAAGATGCCCCGACATTCCACAACGTCTCTCATCGGGTTCATTGTGCGCGACGTGTTCGTCTCAGGAGAGAAGGCAGTATGGTAGGTGTCGCTGGCCGATCGAAAGGATGCATCACGTGCAGGAAAAGGAAGAAGGGTGTAAGTGGCGTGCAACCTTTTCGTGCGTCAAATAAGCGTGAACTTGGGCTGAAGAACGTAGTGCGACCTCAAACAGCCTGAGTGTGGACAGTGCATAGAACGAGGGTTACCATGTGGCGGCTATGACAAAGATCGTGTCTTCATATACCACGATGCCGGAGTGAAGCGAACAACTCTGGCTTCGCAGTATGCTCAATCACCACGAGGTGCAAGTTCCGGAATGCTCTCACCTCCAGAAACGCCCCCAACGACGTCGTTGATATCTACCACGCCTGCACAGGCATACTCAGGCTCAGATGTTTTCTCAATGTTTCCACGCGTACTATCTGCGAGTTTTGCACAGTCAGCATACAAAGAGAAGAGTCTGGAGGCATTCATTAGCACATATGTACCGCGAGGTGACCTCAGCAGTACGAATGAAGAGGGTAAACAGCTCGTTGGAATGATGCCACGACTCAATAGTCAAGACGAAGCTTTACGCCTGGCCATTCTCGCTATGGGAACCCTAGCCCTGAGCAAGCAGACGAATGACTCGTATCTCGGACAGCAGGGGCGCAATATTTACGGCAAAGCGCTTGCGGAGACTAGGAGAGCCCTGCAGGATCCGAGTCGAGCAAGGAGTACGGCTATGCTTGCTATTCCTTATGTAAGTAAACTTGTGGACGATTTGAATTCAGGTTGACACTGACCACACGTTTCTAATGCAGGTCATGGCCCTTTTTGAGATACTGTTTGGCGCAGAAGAAGCGTCCAGCAAGCAGGCGCAGAACTGGCTTAGCCACGCGCAAGGAGAAATCGCCCTGATAGTCGCTCGAGGACCCGAGGCATTTACGGAGGATGCTGCTCACGCAATTTTCGTCAACGCTAGATGGCGACCTCTCATTGCTTCCTGTCGGACACGAACAAAATCAATCTTGAACGAAAAGAGGTGGAAGACTATACCCTGGAGAGGTCGAATCAAAACGCCCCAGGATAGTCTTCTCGACATCATGGCCGGAGTCCCTGAGATCCTCGCTAATATAGATAGGTGGGGAGCTCTCAGCGCTGGAACTCCACAGGACGAGGCAACCGATCTAGCAACATGCGCTAAATGCTGGACTTTGCACATTGAGCTTCAAACATGGCTTGTTGCCAACGAACACGAGATCCATACGCCAGTCACAACCACACCAACACCAATCACATTTCCAAACTTTGATGTAGCATGTCTTACAATAAGATACTGGGTGATAGCCCTCATGCTTTACTCTAGCCTCGACACCGCCTCTCGAATACCAACGACCGATATTTCGACTATGCACCCAGACCGTCCACATCCACGTCAATTTGCTCGACTCATCGCCCGCTCAGCGAACTACTTTTTCCAGGAGAGGTATGGTATTGTGGGGCCAACTACATACTCGTTCCCACTAGGCAACACCATGCTATACCTGAATCGCAACCTCATGCTCGACGGACAGTACGCCAAACTGGTAGGAGAGGCATGGAATTCTCCGAACATGCCCATGGCAATCAAAAATTTCTTGAACAGTCAACGACTTTCAGTATCCTAGCTACTCAGGGTCACCTTAGGGTAGTGATTCCTGTTCTGGTGCTTTTACATGAGCTTCTGCTGCAGGGGGACTGTTAGTTTAGCGATCTCTCGTTTTCGTTTACTCGCAAGCTCGCTCAGTCATTCATAATCACGTGTTGAGTTCCAGCAGCAATCTTCTCGTGTTAGATCAAGCACTTGCTACAAACCTGCTGTTCTATAAGGATAGGTCAGATCTGATTCTTACAACGGCTATCAATCCATCCTAGGGCTGTTCCAGATATCGTCGACGACTATATACGCTAAGACATACAAAACACTGAAGCACAAGTTCAGTCATCGTTCGCGATACCGCGTCGCCAACGGTGCGGTTCATCGGGATCTGGATATACTCTATGCTCAGCATCTCTGTCTCTCTTGTCATGACTATTCATTCATATTCCGCACTGAGTTCTATGCTTCGTTGGCTCACTATCATCTGTTTTTTCCTAAACTCCGATTTCACTTCCCTCCAATGAAATCGTTCTCGCACTATTGACACACAACGCTATACCACGCTGTGTCCGTCCATACCTCGTTTTTCACTAGTGGATGGCCGCAATAGTCAATTCAATCACTCTTTTCTAGCACCTTAACGTTTTTCTAGAAGAGCGGGCACAGCCAGTGCGTGTGCCAAGAGTATGCTTTCACAGCGATCTAGTCGGGACCGGTACCGTGCTTACCAAAGAGCTCTCGACAGAGCCAGCTCTCCTTCTACATACCCACCTCCACCCTCTGACATAGTCCCCACCATACATCACTCTTAGCAATATCGTCCAACAGCTTGAGATATCTGCAGAATCCTCTCATACGCCAAGCCAGTAGCTACTATGGCGGAGCCATCAGGTTATTCTGTACAACAGCGTCCAACGACTTCAAGTCCGCCTGACCCCGTCACCATGTCTCCAGTCGCGAGTGGAGTCATGAGCTCTGTCGACATCGATGCGTCCGCGCAAGGCCCGCCGCTCAACAACAAGCGGAAGCGAGCGAGTATGGAAACCAAGCCGTTGAACAAGGAGCGCTCCCACATCGAAGGGGCCACTGCGAAAAGGCCTCCTAGAAACCACGACAGCGCGACCGATCGCTCGATCGCCCGACCAAGCAAGAGGCTGAAGACTACAGATAGTTCCTCTGCCGGTGACGACAAAGTGGAAGCGCAATTCGGTACACAGGCCGAGGCTACACACGAGGAAACGCCTCTGATTGAGGAGTCCACGGAAGAAGAGCGGGGTGATGCAGCGGGAGAATCCAGCGAGCCTGAACACGCGGATTCAGCAAAGCCTACCAAAGGTAAGGGAAAGGCAGTGGCACCGCCCAAGGCAAAGTCAAAGGCCACCGACAACTCAAGCGATGAAGGTAATGAAGAAGAATATCTTTCGGCGCCCAAGCCTACACAAGCAAAGACCCCGAAGAGGAAGAAGGCGCCGCGAATTCCTCGTCCTGACGCCGAGGTCCAAGCCTTCCTGGACGGTGTCCCGAACGTTACAAACTGGACCAGCACAACTGGGATCCACCCCGATTACTGCAAGATAATCGAGTGGCTCGACAAAGACAAGCTGGAGATGAAAGAGATCATTGCGTTGTATCGACAGCTTCCGAAGCGGATGAGCGATGGCGACAACCCGGACAAGAACATATACAAGCACTATGAGAAGTGGGCACCGAAGTTTTATACGGAGAAGAACTTGGTTTTTGTGAGCAGAATTGATCGGAGGAAGTACTTGGCTGCTGAAAAGGCGGCAGGGCGAGTGGCTCCAAACCCGCCAAAGGTGAAAAGTTCCACGGCCAAGAGTGAAAACAATGGTGGAAAGGGGAAGAAGGGTTCTGCTACATTTCTGCCTGCGCAGTTTCATAAATCGCCCACTGGCGCTCAGGCAGAACAGCAGCTCACTGCCTCAACGAATTCGCAGCCTCAACCAGCCGGATTGCTCACCAGTATGTCGCTAAACCAGCAGCTCGAGAATCTTTTCACTCAGGTTCCACCACGTACACACCTGTCTGCTTCCAGAAACGATGGAAACGGCAACACTAGCAACGTGAACCTCTTCCCTAAAAAGAAGAAGAAGAACCAAGCAAATCCTATCACCACTGCCGCAACTACCGCCGCTCAGGACAGCCGCTTGAACGGCCCATCCGCCGAAGACGTCACCCGCTACTTCATAAACCGCAGTAGTGCAGACGTGCTATACTTCAAGCGCTCAGCCGGCGATTCGATGCTCGGACACCAAAGCCGCCCGGTCCTAGACCTCCAGTGCGCAATGCAGTACTCTGAGTACCTCGCGGAATGCGTGCAGAATGATCCGGAGCTACAGCTTGTCGAGTACAACGATAGTATCAAGGACGTTACTATCGCTCGGTACGTCGCTTGTGTGGCGCCGTCACTGCGCAAGGATTTACCGGCGTATGACCTTTTCGAGGTGCGCAAGGGAGAACTACGCGCTACAGAGATCCAGTGGAGCATGCAGGAGCTCAAGGGACTGTATGAATTCGCTCGGGAGTTGCGTGCGTGGGACGTCGTCGACATGGTCATGGATCGCATGCACGCTGAACTCCACCGGCCTACGCCCCGCATCCTCAAGAACGAAGACGGGCATGGGAAGACGTTCGAAATCTTGGATTTCTCGCCAGCGTTCCTTGAACACCTTTCCAAGTGCGATACTCAGGGTACTCACTTCTTCACCGACATCTTGGTCATGCAGGGCAAGGCTGGTTGGGACCACATGTACAAGTATGACATGGACTTGTGGACTCCGGCGATCAAGCAGATGCTCATCGGCAAGCTTCTCGAAGTCTCACTCGATCCGATGGTCTCAGTCTGGGACGCAGACTTCATCTGCGCTGAATACCATCACCATCACGTACACAACTGGGCATGCTACAAAGAGCAAGACCCGGCTCCGCCTGTCGCCGAAGCCGCTTCAGACTCAGACTTCAACTTTGTAGCTGGATACTGGCAGCGTGAAACCGAACTCAAGGCAATTGCGCACCAAGAAGCACAAGTCCGAACCCTGCAGCTCATCGCCCCAGGCCGCCCTCTTACAGAACCTGAGCAAATCTCCCTTTCCACTGCTTCATCCACCCTCAAAAATCTAACCAACACTCGTCGCAAGGCAGACAAACTCCTCACCACAACCGAAGATCGCATGCCATCCGCCTCCCTCACCTGCTTCCTTGAGCCCGAATACATCCACTACACGCCAGAAGACGAATACGCCGCACCTACCGCCGCTCCGGAGCCCGAAGAACAGCCTGCTTTCCCCGGCGGCTTCGTTTATCCCAAGAACCTGGGAAATACGAAGAAGGACAACAAGAAACAGCAGATTGGCAAGATGGCGCTGGTTAAGCGGAAGTTGTTGGATTTCAGGCACGCGGGGGTTGATGTTGGGGATATTGGGGACATTGGGAATATTAGGGATATGGAGATGAGTGATGAGGGCGAGGAAGGTGAGGGCGATGGAAGTGGAGACGAGGATGAGAGTAGTGGGGATGAGGAAGAGTAGTCGCGCAGGATGTTTGAAGGCGGTTCGAGTGCTAGAAGCAGGACGTGGGATTGTTACAGAGACTGAGGGATCATGATGGGTGATTCAGGATGATTACAGGAACGTGCCATCGAATGAATTTCGCACTCGAATCTAACAATCCAACGGTCGAAATGCCACTTATACCTCATAAGCAGGATATAAAGAAATGAAGAACTCACTCCGTGCGCTGTAAATCCCCATACCCCCATAATCCGTTCCCACCGTCCAGCGAAGTCCAAATACTCAGACCATAAACACAGCAGCAACAGCGCTATCGTACCGTGCAAATCTCGCAATCTCAATACGCACCACCACCTTGCTACAGCGATGTAACAAAACATTCTACTGCACTGTCCAGTCAGTAACTGCACACCTCTCTCTCAGTGACGCAAAAGTCTGCGCATACACCAGACGTCAACAAATTCCCTGCCCACCCTTCCTATCCCTTTTCCTACCGAGGAGAGATAAAGAAGTAACCTTTACATATCCAAAGACTTCTAACAGAATTACGCAGAGTATCTCAGAGCTGCGAATACATCCAGGCTCCCCTAAATGTAAAACAAGTATACCCTGAAAAGACCAGTAGCTCATGTCGCGTATGTGCAGAGCGAGCACGGATTGAGCCGCCGCCTGGTAGTCGAGCACACGAAAAACCTGTTAAGAAAAAACAAGCACCCAGCACGCTGCGCAGTGTGTCTGCCAATACTTTGCGACTCGAAAGATGATTGTTGTCGGGTATAGGTGATCGAGGCCCATTGAATGGTTCGGGTGTGGAGAATTTCGTCGGAGAATTCGACAGAAGAGAGATGCGGTCTTGCGTGGAGAGAGCGGGGGAATCGGCGCTGAGCTTGATCGGTTCGTTGCTCACGGTGGCTTCAAGCGGGTATCGCCTCTTCTTCGTTGCTGTCGTGGACTTTCCATGCTTGGGATGTAGTAATGGATTCACTCTGGTCGGTGCCAGCAGAGAACACACTGTCATACAGGTGATCCTCCGATCTGAGCCTCTTCTGGCTTGTCTTGCGGGGTCCACCTGCGCTTTCGGGTTCAATGTGAGAGAACTGTACGCCCATGGTATCTTTCATCTCGACATTTAGTACACGACTGTCGTTCAACAAGACGCAGCTGAGCGGGAGATATTGCTTCGTGGCAGGGCAGGCGGTGACACAGACACTTTGGGGCAGAAGGAAGAGCGGATATATGAGTGAGTAACGTCAGGAGTATGTATCACGTTTGGCCGTGCTTGCTTGAACTCAATTCAAATCGCACATTGTTATAAAAGTGTGGTATCTTCTTCTCCATTATCTATATTGCCCTCCCCACTCCCTCCTCATCCCCGCCCCTCCCGAGCAAACATAAAATCACCCAAACCTATATACCCAATACACCTTCCCCGACCCAAAATACATATATAAACGCCTACCGCGCTGATATATGCACTTTGAAAAATTCCACCCAAAAAGGTAACAGAATGCTCCTGTACATGCTTGAACAAAAGAATCCGAAGATATTGGAAGGGAACTACGCGCAAATTAAATAAAACGGGTAGTGGTATCGCTGAAGAGTAGAAACGCCGCGCTGAATGGGATTAAAAACCGGATGGGAATGTGGTGTCGACTTGGTGATGGATGATGTGTCGTTCGTGTAGTGTTGATGTGTGTGCCGCTGCACTTGAATGATGGTCGTTGTGCGCTGCCTTTGCGCTGTCGTGGGGGCGAGGTGGTAGTGGTGGTGTCGTCGTGAAGCGTCCCACGCTGCTACCCTCAGCCCCTATTGATGAGGTGCTTATCATGTTGCACTTGAAGATGGCGGTTTAGCACCCCCGTTGCGCTGTGAAGGGTCGAGAAGAATAGTGGTGGTGTCGTCATGAAGCGTCCCACGCTGCTATCGTCTTCTCTTAGTACCTGAGCTTACCCAGAAGCCCATAGCAATACGCGCACTCCCTCTCGCTCTTCATCTGAATCATGAAGACTCTTGCTCTTGCTCCGCTGACGCCGCCCGTCTTTGCGACGCGGCCTACGTGCCCGTCGTCGCCGACGACGTCTTCCCACACGCTTACAGCAATACCAGATCTTGCCACGCGCTCGAAGCACGACTCGGATAGGGTGACGTCGAGTAGCACCTCGCCCTTCTTGCCTGTGACTACAATGCGGCGCTCTTGTTTGATATCTCTCTGGCCAGGCGCGCGTTGCAGTGGATTTGTGGGTGAAGATGGCTCGGTTGGGTTTGGGCTGGGTAGCATGATTGTCAAGCGGGCGCTACCCATGTCGCGCCATTTCTTCAGGCTCTCTCGCTCGTAGAGTCGGCACTTTGTATTTGTGATGCCGGCCGGTGCGCCTGGCGCTCTAGTGTCACCGTTGGGTGTTGAGGCTCCTGAACCGCCGCTGGAGCCGGCGTCAAAGGATGATCCATCACTGCGCGAGCCGAGTGTTGAGTTGCGGACGCTGAAGACGCCGTTCTTGGCCCAGGAGAAGCGACCGAGTGCAGAACGAAGCGCTGTATTCATGGTGCCGACGGAGGAGTCGGTGGCTGCGGAGATGGATGCGGCTCGTGTGCTTGTCTTTCTGTAGCTACTCCTGCGACCAAGCGTGCCAGTGAGCCATCCTGAGGAACCGTTTTGGTTCGAACGGGCAGCATTAGAACGATCCATGGCCTCAGCCCAGCTCGTTTGTCCATATGGTCCGCGTGCGTTCTGAAGCGCGATGTAGGTTGGGTTGTTGATACGCGACTGGTTGATCATGGCGTACAGCTGGGAGCATTCAGCGGGGTTGCGACTCCTCAGCATTATGTTATTGCCAGCCTTGATTCGGGACTCTCCTGTGGGCGGAGAGCGGATGGAGATGTCGATAGCAGTAGATTTGCGAAGTGGTACCAGAGGGGTAAGCTCAACCGCAATAAGGGGAGCACGTCCTTCTGGCTGGATGATCTCGTCGCCGTCAGCCACGAAGGGCTTTGAATGCATGGAGGAGATTTCGAAGACCTCGATCTTTCCTGGTGTGACAACAATGCTGCACTCTTCAGGATGCAGGCTATCCCACCTTCCTGCGTCGGACCAGGAGAAGATGGATGCAACCGCCTTGGTGGCCTTTCCGCTGTCTTGAGGAACAGTCCGGTAAGGTGTGTTGGATGCGGATTGAGAAGGCGTGATTGTGCCGTTTGGAAGAGTGTAGATGGAGCCGGGTGGCGAGACCTTAGGGAACTTCTTAGTGTCTTCGACGTCGACTTTGTCTCGGCTTGGTCGTGTAACATCTCTGCCACCTGAGTTTGGTCGCGTTGCGTAACCTCGCGGACCAATGTATCCAATCGGCATCAGCGGCATTGGCACATCGTCATCGAGTTCGTCTTCAGATGAGTCTGATGTGAGGCTTGCATCGTCTTCTTCATCTATTTCTTGTTCTCCTTCGGACGCGACATCATCCTCGCTTTCGCTAGAGGACTCGGTGCATGTGGAGGGCTCATATTCATGCTTTAAGGGCGACGAAGAGCGGCGTTTATTTCTGAAACCAGGCAAGCTGGGAGTAAGCACAGGCGTCGTGGAGCCTTTCAGTGTGACAGGTGTTGCCGGGCTTGGTGATCGGTGTGGTGGCGGCGCTGGTGGCCCGTCCACCTCTTCATCCACTTTGTCAACCTCTTCGACGCTTGGCTCGCGATGTCTACGCGTTCTGGCTGGTGCTGATGCGGGTAGTTCTCGAGGACCTGTCAGCGTGGAGGATGATTTGACCGGTGTAGTGGGCTGGCTTGTTTTGCGTGATCGTGGGATACTCGGCAGCTCCATTGATGGCACAGATGATACTCTTCTGTGAGCTTGGGGACGCTCCGGAGACGCTGGTGGGGAGCCAGGCGGCGACACCGTATCATCGATGCTTTGTGTATCCTCTTCAGACTCGTCCGAGTACTCTGCCTCAGATCCTGGCATCCAGACGCTGTAAGCCTTGCTTGAAGATGACACTGTAGAGGGCGCAGGTGGGAGCGACTGGGGTCGTCGTTTGGTGGATTTTCTGCGCGGCTTGATCTCCTCCTCCACGGGCTTTGGCTCTTCTTCTGGGTCTTCAAGGGTAATCTGGCGCGACGGTCGTGCTGAGCTCGGCGAGCCAGCAAGATTCTTTGAAATGCGTTTAGTGGCTCTAGCGCGCTTGAGACCAGTAGATGAACCAGTGCCGGCTAACCTCACTGCCTCGTTAAGGCTGCGGGGCGTGCGATTAGGGTCTTCATACCCTTCGCTGACCGGACGCACTTCCTCAGCTGGGGAAGATAATTCAGTGGCGTCATAAGTGTTGCTGACTTGGGACTGTTCAGCGCTGGGTGGTGTTGTTGGTGACACGGTACGCGACTGTCTGCGCTTCTCAGGCGTGTCATAACGCCAAACCTTCGAGACTTCGGTATGTTGTTCGCCAATGGGAATCTCGATTTCGTGCGGGCTAGGCGTCCTGCTCTTGTGTGGGACAGTCGACACTGTACCAGCTGATAGTAGTGATGATGGTGCATGGCTGCTCAAGGGTTGTGCCTTGCTTTGTGTTCTGATCTCGGAGATCTGTGGCGGTATCGGAGTAAGACCGAGCATTTGCACCCACTCAAATCCTGCTTGTTCGTCATCGGAGATGAGAGACATGACCTCGCTCCATTCGGCTCCATCTGCTTGCACTCCTTGAATCATGACGATGATCTCACCCTTGAGGTCACCATTGCGGGCCGACACTCGATTTTGTATGATGGGTGGGAGAAGGAGCCAGCGTCCAGTTGCATCGACCTCGCAGAACAGTAGATCTCCACTGTTTCCATATCCTGGAGCATCATCACGGATGAGGACTTCCACTCGACAGCTGACCTCTTGGCCAGTGGAGTGATAAAGGTGCAAGTCGAAATGATCTCTAGCACGCACGCAACGATGAGGATCAATTCGTACGCCCGCAAGTGGTGCCAGGCTTCGTGGGTCGCGCGCACGTGTAGCATCGATGTTTGTGGCAGCTTCGTCTTCGAGTCGGGCATGTTCGTCGTTGGATCGCTTGCGTGCAGCGTTGACGAGATCTTGGAATATATTCGATATATCTTCCGTGCGCTCTGATGGCTTAACATGGTTCACACCCTAGACGAATTAGCTGGGTTGTTTGACAAGCAAAACGATTCTTACCTTCAAAGTCTTTGCCAGATACTTGAGCCGCACTAGAGGCCGCTTAAGCATGTAGGCCACATCGACTCGTTCACCATCTCCGTTGACGACATAGCCTTCGGCATTCCGTGGCATGCCCTCGTCCCAGGGTGCCCCATCCTCGGGACCATCGACGACTTTGGCTGGCTTGAATGGATCGTCGTCAGCGGGTGCAAGGCTGATTACAACATCTTGGAAGCCCAGACGCCAGGCAGCGATGTAGTCGGCGTACACTCGCTGTGCACTTTGTGCCCAGGAAACGAAAGCTTCTGGGTCTTCTTTGGGGACGCGCTTGTGCAGGTTCTTGAGCCGCTCAAGGGATACACCCATGTTAACAATTGGTTTGGTGACGTCGCTGGGGTCGGTGTGGGCTGAACGAGAGAACAAGCCAGCAGCGACAGCAGAATCGGACTTTGAAAGGACGCAGCTGAGGAGGACAGGAATCACACCGTCAACAAGAGTGCGTAGCTCTCGCATATATTTACTTTCGTCCGAGGCAAGCTCCCTCATGATGTCGCCCATGGTGGCAGTAGCAAGGCGACTCCTGTTTGTACGGATGCTTCGAGCAGACACAATGCTCTTCGTGCCTGCCGCTTTGGGCATTGATAAAACAGACATCAAGTCGGAATGCGTGGCAAGCTTCTTGCGTCGCGTGCTTCTGCGGCTGACGATGGTTGAAGTTTCCGGATTTAGATGCGATCTGCCAGTGACGGTCTCTGTTTCCTCAGAGATGGTGCTAAATTCAGAGTAAGTTGCTGCAGAGGGAGGCGCTCTTTGCGACGAAGTAGCAAAGGAATCGACAGAGGCAATTGTAGAAAGACGTTTGCCCTTGGATGGGAAGCCACGCTGCACGGAAAGCGGTCGTGGTCGCAATGCCTCGTGCTCATATTCGATATCTACCGATGACGAAGGCGCGGTTGAGGCAACCTCAGAATCTTTGTCATCTCGATATGGCTCGTCATCAATGGACATGGTCTCGCGCAGCGGTGAGGATATGGATCGGCTCTTGGTTGGAGAATGGTGGCTGCGCTTTGCACCTCGACGCTTCAAGGTAGGTGTGGGCGAGAGGGAGACCTCGGAGTCCTTTTCAGTGGAGACTGTGATAGTAGAGTCTGTAATGGTAGAATCCGTAATGGTAGAGTCTGTGATGGTGGATTCTGTCATCGTGGAGGCCGTCAGAGTTGAGGCGGTAAAGTCAGTTGTGACTTCAGATACGACGGTGCTGGCTGGCTCATCGACGATCTTGGTGTCTATCTTGATCTCGTGGCTGCGTCGTTTTCTGCGCCGCCTGCTTCCACTTCCACCGCTGCGGGGTCGCTCTTCTTCCACAGGCTCATCTTTGGACTCGGTCGACACGGTCACATCTGATGCGTTGGCTTTGGGCGGCAGCTCAAGGGTTGATATTGACTCTCTGGATCGTCGCTTGCGGCGCGACTCCCTCTCGAGCGGCGGAGCAGGGGTTCCATCAAGCCATGCCTCGAGTCTTGTCCCGAAGCTCTTGTTGGGCGGTGTTGCGGGCGCTGCGGGCTCGGGAGGTGGTGAAACGATATTCGGTGGGCTTGTCCTGGGAGACGACCTGCGACGGCGTCTCCGTCCAGGCGAGACTCTGCGCTCCTCGTTCGCCGATGCATCACCCTGGCTCTTGGGTCTCCGCCGTCTGCGCCTCTCGCGTAGCTCGTCGTCTCGTGGTGAAGTCACTGCAGATATCCTGCTCTCTTCGTACTCTACTGTGACGACATTGTCGGGGTCATGGACAAGCGATGTGTCTGATTTTCGTGCAGGCCTTTGCCTAGGTGTGGAAACGTCTTCTGCCGACAGCGACCCCCTCGGCGATGTTCGCGCACGCGGCCGGCGACGAACCTTGATAATTTCTGCGGGTTCTTTAAGAGGCTTCGGTGATGTGGCCAGTGCGGCGTCCTCTTCGCTCTTTACTTCCCCTGCACTGCCCGAGCCTTTGCTGTTAGGCCGTTCGTTCTCGGAGCTGGATGGTTTCGAGGGTCTTCGCTGTTTGGCGGGAGGCTTCTTTTGGCCTGTACTCTTCCCCATGTATGACACGAGCGCATTCACTGCCGGGTCCAGCGGCTGCGGCTGCGGTGATTTGGGCTCTGGCTTTTCGAGGGGCGGCGGCTTGATGTCTTCATTGCTGTCCTGCCGGTCTTTCTTGACGATCCTGGAGGGGCGCACCCAGGCGTTGGGGATGGTCTTGGGCGGCGGACGGGCGGTATCCTTTGGCGGCGACTGCTTGTTGCGCCAGCGCGAGTCGCTAACAACGCGCTTCTTGGGGGCGGTCGCTACGAGGACCTCGTCGTCGAGCTTGTTGTGTGCGACGGGCGTCTTCTTGGGGCTGGTGGACCGCTCCGGGCTGACGTCGGCCGACTTCTTGGGCGTGTGCGCAGGCTTCCAGTTGGGCTTGTCGTCTATGGGCTTCACTTTGGGCGTCGTCGGCTTCGGCGAGGGTGCGGATGGGGTCGCCGGCGCGGTCTTTGGGCTCTCTGTCGCCGACGGGCCCGCCTTCTCTGCGCCGCCCGCCGCGTCTGGCTCGACCTCTTGCTGCCATCGCTTGATCTTGTCCTTTACGTTGGCGGGCTTGTTGATGCCAATTGCTTTCGCAAAGTCGGGCCCATTCATATTTGTCTGGCCGTCGTTGGCGCCCTTCTTCTTGCCCGGCGTGCCATTCCTTTTTTCTGGGTCAGTGGGCAGCGGCGAGACCATGAGATCCCGCCGTCATTTGGGCTGCAGTCGTCGTCGTCGTGACCGGGTGGTGCGCTTCCAGTCGGGGTGTTGTTGTCGCCAGTCCTCGTCGGGCAGTCGGTGTTTACAGGGCTTCACAGCTGGTCCGCCCCGCAGTCAGCGTCGCCGGGTGTGGGTATTAGAGACAGCGGGAGTGGGAGAATGGGCGTAGCGAGCGAACGGGTGGGCGAAGTGAAGGTGTCAGGTTGGTAGTAGACAGCACGCGCACGGCAGGATCGATGCGCGCGTTCGGGCGGATGAATCTGTCGATCCGATGCATGGCTCGATGGCTCTCCCAGCCTCAGCAAAAACAAGGCTAGACAGCGGTTGTTAGTGTCTTGTGTGCGCGAACCCGCCGTCACCACGCAGAAGACAAGCAATCCACAATCTTGGCTTCACACAAGTCTAGATAATGCCGCCAATATCCTACATGTATACACTCTCAGTCCTCGAGTCCTCGAGTCCTTGCAGCCATTTGTTTACATGTCTTGGACGCTGTTGTCTCTGCCCAAGCTGACTATTTCGGGAACATCCATGACGCCGCTCGCTTAGTGCGCCTCGAGCATCCACTTCCATGTCGGAACATTGATGAGCCTTGGAAGCAACCCAGTCTCATACTCACCGCCGGCCTTATAACACATGCACCTATTCGTTCTGCGCGAACTCAACCGTCGCTTCGTCCAATACTCGTCGAATAAATAATGCATGCAGCAGTACTCCACACCAAATACCCACGTGTAGTTCTCGCAGTGATCGAGCACGCGCCGAGCTATGGATATCTCAACTTGGTGTCAATATTGCGGCCTTACCATTTCGCCGCCTGCCAACATTACCCTCTGCATATAGATACAACTCCGTCATCTTCCATCGCTTGATGCCATGGAATGTCTTGTCATACTCCATCGCTGATATTTGCATTTAGTTCTCAGCCAGGTCTTGTACTTGACTTTGTGTAGTGAATGCAGCCAATGCACGTGCATTTGCCAACACAAAGGCACAAGGACCTTCAAGAAGTATAGCAGCCTTGTCTCGCGATGTTAGTCTATGCACTGTGCAAGCATAGCCATTTACGCGTGGCGACCGATTAGCGATTACACGTCGTTGCTGCAGGTGTTTGTGGCTAAGTTGTTCACACAATCGAAAGCGAACTGCAAGAGGTGCCACTCCGGGGGCAGAGCAAGCCAGAGCAAGCACGAGGTATCTACTGCGGCGTTGTCAGCGAAACCATCGAACGAGACATCGGGACAGCACTCAGCATTCAGCAAAGAACATGTGAGTTCGCAGAGAGCCGTGCTAGCCTTAGTTCAGCCGTGCCGCAATCGCGAACCTCACGCATCTATTTCACTCATGCAACACGACACTCAGGCATCTAGTTCCATCGCATGGAGTATCCCAATCATATCTCTAGACTACCCAGAGCTACAAGCAGCACGGGCACAAAATTCTAACCGTACAACAAACAATCTGTGAAGCCTCGACAAACACTACTTGGTGTTCTGTACACGAAGCTGGGCTACACCATCGTCCCTATTCCACACGTCCCTGAGGGAGCGACCGGGTCTGGTTTGACGGCAACTGTCACTGCTACAGGGGGTACAATGTTTCGGCAGTGCCAGAGCCTGGTCGAGCTGGGCTCACTTGGATCTCTTCGCAAATGTGTGGTTAGTCCTTCTCATGGCTTTTCCCAATCCTTTAAAGTATGGCCAGCACGTCCCTTCAATCGAAAGCCCATACATCAGAGCGCCCGCCTCTCATCGACAGGAATCCCATGGTCACCGCAAGTCCCCTCACTAGGCGATTTGAAGCATCTAAACCTGAAAGATATCCATCCTAAGCATAGAGAGCTCCTGGAAGCAGATAGATCCAGTCTCCACTACTATGATCGCGTTACATTACGGCGCCTCATAGAGTGGCTGGAGTCCGGCCCACCGCCAATTACGCAGTACAGACTCACATTTGGAAAGCACAAGGGAAAGCTACTTGAAGAGGTTCCGGACTCGTACATGGTTAAATACCTCATTCCGCGACACAAGGACAGCATGGACATGGGCCACTGTGCGATTGTAGGGGTTGCTGTTGAGGACTTTATGAAGAGACATCCGGAGGTCAAGAGTCAGGCTGGTAACACAAAGACCAAGCCGGTAGAGGGAGCGGTGTTGAAGTCACCAATTGTTGAGAAGAAGGAGAGAGGACGACCTCCAGGGAAAGCTGCGAAGAAGTCGACGGTGCCGAAGCATGTCATAGAGGGAATCCCTGCTGAGCTTCGTCTTCGCATAGGGGCGAAGAAGTAGCGCGGAAAGTAGATCATGATGTACATATTGGGCCCTTTCAGAGCACATGAATAGACTGCACAAACGTTAAATAATGACCTACCGTTGATGTTGAAGTTTGCCATCTATACAGTCTTGTGGTGCTCATGCGATCACATGATATCGCATCTTGTTCTCGCAATGGGGCTTATACACATATGTACAGCTTCACCGGTCTACTCCCACAATGCAAGACAGATAACGAGAGCATTGCAGGATTGTCCATGCTTCTGCGTCATCTCTCGTGTGTTGCGGTGCGGCGGGCGAGGGCAGAAACGGCTTGGCGGCAGGCGCGCGCACAGGCCACCTCGCTTAGGAATTCGAGCTTAGCACACACTCGAGCGACCTGAAGTTCACGATCTCTCCATCGACAACCTGCACCTCACAAAAACGTCGCCATGGGTAGGGTCATTCGCAACCAGAGAAAGGGTCGCGGCTCTATCTTCACGGCCAACACCCGCCTGAACAAGGCCCCCGCCCAGTTCCGCACGCTCGACTTCGTACGTCCGCCGCACGCAGCCACCAAAATGAGGGCATCTGGAGCACGAGGCTAATGGGGCAACAGGCTGAGCGCAATGGATACATCCGGGGTGTCGTAAAGGAGATTGTTCACGACTCCGGTCGTGGTGAGTAGCCCCGCGCAATTTTGACCATATTGGAGCACAACTGACAATATTTACAGGCGCTCCTCTCGCCAGGGTCACCTTCCGCAACGTATGCAGCCTTCGCTCGCCGCTCAATTAGACGCATTGCTTACGAAAATTTCAGCCATACAGGTTCAAGCACAACAC